ATTTGCTTCTAGGAACTTTGGGGTTGTTCCACTTTCCCCATAACTAGTGGACCTAGGGAAGAGAGAGATAGGAAGAGATAGAGGAAAGGTAGTAGGTTAGGGTCATCAGGGCGAAGGGTGTCGGCGCCAGTCTACCCAAGGTTTTTGTCTCAGTCCCAGAGGGACCCTATAACTATTACTATTTTAACGCTGCCACCACCAAGACCATTTATAAATGGGGGGCCTTGGTCCACCAGCTAAATATATAGTAAAAACCCACCAAATATTACTTCGCACAATATCTATGTAATTGCAAAATACTAATTAGTCTCTTCAGGTAACGTGATTCTTTTACCAGACAAAGGCAAAACCTAATAAAGGAATATTTATTATGAGCAAAAAAAGAATAGTGTCAGTGCATACAAAAAATAGATGATAAACAAATTATTTACATCAACAACAGATACAAATAAAAAGGATAAAACAACACAAGTCCTGATTACTCACTTAAGTTTTCAAAGTAAAACCTCTGCCCAGAGGGGCTCTGGCAAGGAAGGATGATGGTTATTTACTCAAAATTAGATCTTGGCCCCAAGCAAGTATACCAACACCTCTCCAAATCATTGGATATATACCCTGTGAATTATCAAGTCTTGCCCAGGTGTGGCATTAAGGCGTACCTATAGAAATAAGTGACCACCTCATTTGTTCCAGACCAACCTCAATCCAAATGGAAACACTGGCTGTATCTGCTCTTATGTACCTGCCACAAAAATAATAATTGCATCTATGAATTCATTATTTTCCCCAATCCATATACACATTCCTTACTCGCGACCCAACATGGCGGACATCACAATACCCTCCCCCATGGTCTAGCCATACCACTCGTGTTTGAGCTTGTTTAGAAGATGGCGCTTGTCACATTCCAAATATAACAAAAACTGAGGCTTAATTATTTTTCTGTGGGGTAAATATGAATGTTTTTTTCCTTCCTTTGGATATGATACGGGAACAAGGCTAATGGCCATTAACATATCAAAAGAGATTGCCTCATCAATTACAAGGTACATGCCAAATGGATGAAGATAAATTCAGACTTTTGCAAGTGTAGAACCACACCTTGCAGGGCCTTTATTAATTCACATCCATATGGTAAAATCCTTGTCACATCCCTATGTCATTCAAACTGCGCCCTGTCATCTGACCTGTGTTGGGGGTCCCAGCTTCAAAAAGATCTTACCTCCTGACCTCCATACAATCAAATTAACCCCTTTTGACATTGACAATACCATCTCTGCCAGGTCGGTAGGTCCTTAATGCACTACACAAATTACATTAAAGGACAACATTCCATAGTGCAATAATAAATTATGCACCCTTGCCGTAGTTAGACACTGTCTAACTACAAAAATGCATAATGCATAAAATCACTTGATATACCTCAAATGAAAACATGATTTTTTTCATTGCGGTATATCTAAAAACTGCTTGTAAAAGCTGCAGATCTCCGTAAAACGCCTCTGTAAGCGCTACCTCCGCCAAGTCTTTCTGTGGCTGTCCAATCACAGACTTGCCAATGAAGCTCAATGAGAAATCTTTGTAAGGCAGGTACTCTGGGCAGTAAGCTAAACCACCAAAAAAAGCTAGTTTCTGACAGCCAGGGGGTGTGTAAAAAGTTTACTTTATGAAAGTGCACCTTTCTTCTGAAATCTTTACTTATTTTATTATATACAAAATAAATAGAGGAGGATACACTTGACATATCCAAAGTTTCATTGAATTTGTTTTTCCAGCACATTACACAGACTCTCAGTGATGAAGATCTGAGGAATTTGGAGGTCAAAGCACACATTGGACTTTTTGTCACATTCCTCAAACCATTTCCGAACAATTTTTACAGTGTGGCAGGGTCCATTACCCTGCTGAAAGAGCCCGCTGCCACCAGGGAACATCTGCCGTGAAGGGGTGTATGTGATCTGCAGCAATCTCTAGGTATGGGGTGTGTGTTAAAGTAACATCCACATGAATGCCAGAACCCAATTCCCAGCAGAACATTGCCAGGAGCATAACACTGCGTCTGCTTGCCTGACTTCTTCCCTGCTACCCTCTTTTCCCCAGGAAAATGACACTCACCCACCTGATCTAAAAGAAACCGTGATTCATCAGACCAGGCTCCATGGTCCAGTTCTAATGCTCACCATTCCCATTGAAAGTGCTTTCGGCGGTGGACAAGGGTCTTCATTGGTCCCCTAATCAGTAGGCCCAGCACGCAGGAAATTGTGATGCACTATGTGTTCTAAAAATCATTTCTATCATGGCCAGTATCAAGTTTTTCAGCAATTTGAGCTAGAGTAGCTCATTTGTGTGATCAAACCAGAAGGGCTAGCCTCCCCACGTGCATCAATGAGCCTTGGGCACCCTTAACCCCGAAACCAGTTAATCGGTTGTCCATTCATGTACCACTTTTGGTAGGTACAAACTACTGCATACCGTGAACACCCCACAAAACTTGCCATTTTGAAGAGACTCTGACCCAGTTGTCTATACATCAATATTTGGTCCTTATAAAAGTCACTCAGATCATTTTGCTTGCCAATTTCATCTGTTTCCAACAAATGAAATTCAAGAACGGACTGTTCACTTGCTGCCTAATATATCCCACCACTTTACATGTGCCATTGTACCAATATAATCAATGTTATTCACTTTGCCAGTCTGTAGTTTTAATATTGTGGCTTGGCCTGTTACATATGAGAAAGTAATAAGCAACATAATGGAAAATAGATGTGCGAATACATGGTTTTTCTATTAGTAATGTCATAGGGGACCCTAAAATTCATGTTTAAATCAAAATTTCATTTGGCAGATTGACAAAGTGGAAGGAAGAAATATTGGAGACAGACTGTAAAAGTGAGACTGAGCAGGTGACACACAATTGTTCTTTTGTCACCAACAAGCTGATAAGAGAAATACAATAAGCACAGTGACAATCGACAATAGCCAGTCCAGAAACCTTTTCCAGGCTGGCTAATGACACTACCAGAGGTAGTTCTTCAACTCTGCATGTGCAGCATTTCATACAGAAGCACTGAACATACATACTCCAAGCACCATGACCACTTTAAATCAAGGAAGCTTGGAGTTACTCTTCAAAAAAAATAATAAATAAATAAATAATTACAGCCAGCCATATTAAGATTTTATTTTTTATTAAATGTACAAAAAAAATAAACACGCTAGAGTGGAGGAGAAGGGAAGGCCCTACAATTAAGGGGACTCCGTTTTGTCAGATTTTTTTCCCCCCAAGATTGTCAAATAACTTGAATCCACCTAAGTCAAAGTCCAAGAGACAGCTCAGTTTCTCTCTTGGTTTTGGAATGATCAGTTGTGTATGTAGCCTTGGATGTTCTCCCAAAATACATTATTTTCATTGGTAACAGAAATGAACACAAGCCTTCAGAATAACCGCAGCCCCGCTTTAATATTATTCAGCTCTGCCTGGCTCCAGAGCACAGTTTCCGGTGAGGAAGAGGGCACAATAGGAGAGCTGCCAACAAAAAAATGCATTGATTTTGTAAAATAATCTTTGGGACTCAAATAATAAGTTCTGTTCACAATGATCTTTAAGAATCCTCATACCATACATGATGATGTAAACTGCCATGTCACAAACTAGAGGGGTCAGGAAATACTTTAGATCTGCTTGTGAGAACTTAACACTCATATAAAGGACTTTCTTCCTGAAAGCAATAGTCAAGGCTCACAAAGTACATTCTTTGAGGCTGTCAATGTTTCATAATGCATTATGAAATCCAATAAGTTGTTGCTTTCAGGGAGAAGGATCATTTAGGAACATAAGACTTGACAAAGACTGTAGATCTACAGCAGTAATAATGGGAACATCAGAAGGAAGAAGCAACATTGTCCAACAATCTGTTGCTGCTCCTTGCAGAGATTTCCAAGTTAGGACACTGCTGTGCATATTTTTGTTTCCAAGTAACTCACAGCTAGGGATGTAAGCCCACAGCTCATCTTTGGGACTACAACCACATCAGTAACCAAAAGTAAGGTGAACTTCTTTATGGGATAGTTGAGAAACAGCCATGTTGCAAGGTATACCATACAATGATTTATATGTAGTGAGGAGAAAGGGTAGAGAATGAAGGCAAGCTCCTACTCAGCATGCTCATCAACTGTTCCTCTCCCCCAAAAAAAAAAGACCTCTTTGTAGATCTACCCCAGTAGGACTCGAATAGGAGTCAAACCTATAACCTAGACTAAGATGGTAAAAACGAGATGTTATTATAACATAACAAATGTGCTAATAAGAGAATAATATTAATTGTGTTCTAAAGAAAATGTATGTCTGTATTCGTTAAAAAGAAACCTGAGTCCTATGATTAATTGTATTTATTATTGCTTTTTAAACCTTTAACTGAATGTTTCATTTTCTTTCAGTTCACCTGCAGCAAGAGTTGGTGAATAACTCACTTTCTTAATGATTGGTCTAAATACAGGTTAATGGCATCTCTGGTAAGACCATGGTTATTTCCACTTTAAAGGGATACTCCAGGTACATACACATTTGATGCAATGTGTAGATTAGATACAGGCATGCAGTTGCTGTGTCTGTTGGAAGCACTCGCACTCTTCCAATCCTCTCATTGTTGGCCCTTGTTTTATTGCTCTGAGTCTTTCGGAATACAAAATAAATTTTGACAAATCTATGGCCCTTACTCTACAACTCATCTCTTAACATTTCCAGAATATGACATGCCAACATAGTTAAGATTAAAGGACCACTCTAGGCACTCAGACCACTTCAGCTTAATGAAGTGGTCTGGGTGCCTGGTCCAGCTAGGGTTAACCCATTTTTGCATAAACATAGCAGTTTCACAGAAACTGCTATGTTTATGAATGGGTTAAGCCTTCCCCTATTTCCTCTAGCTGCTGTCTCATTGACAGCCGCTAGAGGCGCTTGCGTGCTTCTCACTGTGATTTTCACAGGGAGAGCACGCAAGCGTCCATAGGAAAGCATTATGAATACTTTCCTATGTGACCGGCTGAATGCGCGCGCGGCTCTTGCCGCGCGTGCGCATTCAGCCGACGGGGAGGAGAAGAGGTCCCCGTAGGGGCACCCTCAGGGCCCTATAGTGCCAGGAAAACGAGGTTTTCCTGGCACTATAGTGGTCATTTAATTTATTTATACTTTTCCTGTACCTTAAAGATGCCTACATGTGAAAAGCTCATTTGGACTCATCTAGCAGGAATTGCAAAAGTGTTTGTAATAAGATGCCAGAAGTCCATACTCTTCATTCTCCTTATGGGGAACAACAATGAGTGAGCAAGAATTTTAGAGACCTACTGGTACCCAGTCATCTCGGTTTCCCAGTAGCTCTCAAAAAGTATATCTACCTAAAAGGCACGTATAAATGTGGTCATTGCAGTGCCTGTCAATACATAGCTAAAGAAACTAAGGTATTTCTGGCAGCCTGAACCAAGATTCCCACTGTGTACAGTCCTTCAATTGCCGTACAGAAGTGGTGATTTACCTTCTAACATGCTCCTGCGGAATTAAATATGTCGGAAAGACATTCTGCCCATTTAAATTTCGAATTAGGGAACATGTTAATTCTGTTAGAAGGCGACTAGAAACACCAATATATAGGAACCTCAAGATACATCATGCCAACTCATCCAGTAAGATACGCTTTATGGGCTTAGAACTCATACCCCAAACTCAACGGAAAGGGGATTGGGACCGTAAGCTAATGCAAAGAGAATCTTACTGGATATATAAACAAAAAACACTTTCACCACAGGGACTAAATGAGAGTTTTTCTTTCTCGTTATTCCTATAGACGTCTAGGTACTTTACATAAAAAAAAAAAAAGGAATGTACCGACCTATTCTACTTGATTGTATGCGGTCGGTAAATATGTTTATATGTAAATAACTAATTAAAGTTTTTTAATTTTTTCATATTAAATAGTTTGCATAGATCCCACTGGTTTGTACCTTACTATACCTTATGGCTGATCCTAGATATCGTTCCCCACAACCACTCAGTATTAATACTTATACTCCTAATGGTGTACCTCTTTATTTTTCCAATTTGCTCAAATAGTTAAGGATCAGGACATCCCTATATACTCTGAGCATATACTTTCACATGGATGCACCACACGTAGACAATTAAGGATATCAGGACATATGAGCCCTAATTTGCTAGGGTAAATCCTCCTTTATGTTTAAACGCGTGCAGCTATATAGAGAGACCTTTTTGACAAAGGGTCAATAGTGGAAGCCTGTTTCTTAAACATTAGATATTATGATATCATGAAGTATAATAATTATGGAGTTCTAACACCATAATGTTATTACTTAAATGGTACCATATAAACAGTAGTACCATATAGACTCAACATGATCTTGGAACATTTAGTAAGTTTCTAAGAGATGCACCATTGGGACTTTTTGCCTACCATTCCAATAATGGATATACACTAATTAAGACCAAAGGGATTTGTGTCAATATTCTGACACATTGATCCACCTTGTAATCACTGCTGGCACAGTTGATTTATGCCCGAACACGATCAGTAGGCGTGACGATAAATTTCGTCACCCGTTAATCATTCTTTTGCTAGCCGCAATGTCAGAAGAAGGTGTGCCTAGCTGCCACCCCCCTGCATCGATCGGTCTAGCGTTCGCTAATTGACGTGACATCGGGTAGGGGGTGTGGCGATACCACGCCACTTGCCTCCCCACGCCCAGCTTGCAGGACAGGCATGGCTCTAATCCAATGGCTGTGGGCCAACTGACGAGACGTTGAGCAGGGGGAGTGGCGACTTGCCATCACTCACTTCCCCCCCTCCCAGCATGTCGGATCAGCTTTCTCTCAAATGGAAGTATTTAAACCCGAGAGTGGGACATGCAACTTAATAGCTCCTGACGACGGTGTATATTTACGCCGAAACGCGAGTTGAGCGTCTCTTTATTTTATTATTCTGCACTAGGTAGCACTTAGGTAGTTAGTATGGTTTAATTAAGTTCGTTTATTTAGGTTTTGGTGCTTGGACAGTGTCAGGTTTGTTGGGGTGGTCTGGTCTCAGCTTAGGGGTTGGGTTTGCTCACCCCTGAAGACTCATCCACCTAGCATTACAGCTCACCTGTCTTTCTGTTCGTAGTGTGGGCACTCTCTCTTTTCTTTCTGTGAGGTAGTAACCTCCATTAGTCCATTCAACCCGAGTTACTTTGAGTTATAGGGGACCTTAGTATCTACATTGGGAAATGCTTTTTGGACTGTTATATTCCTCCTCCTCCCTATCTCTTACTATTTTGCTATTTTAAGGACTCTCTTCTCAGACAGTTTCAAATGGTTTAGATAGGGCGTCTTTTTTGCCCATTCTTTTCTCACCTTTTCCATTTTCTCCATTCCTGTATGTGTGCCCCCACCTTTCCTATTAACTAGTTGCTACGTACTTTTTTTTCTGTGTATGCAGAGCTACTATCGGGATCCCCAATTTTATGAGCCCAGACTTCCCTTTTCTCCCCCTTTTCCTAATCTTCACCCTTTCTTTTATGGTCTATTACAGCTTTTACGGTTCAAAGATATTCCAGATACAGCAGGATTTTTTCTTTGTCTAGCTATGGTACAGTGTGGCTTGAATTCACTTATTTCACCTCTGGAATCGTAAGAAGAAAAAAAAAACCCTAACACCACAAACCCCTCAAATAAATTGCTAAATGTATTGTTGGAACTAGAACTCTGAATTCTAGTCAATTTGCTACAGGTCTAGAGTTACTTATCAAAAGCCTTAAAAAAAAAACCTCTTCTGGGTGTAGATTTCTCATTTACCATGCAAACATATCTGAAAAGGGAAAAAAAAATTAAAAAAAATGCACATTTGTGGTAAGATTAGCCATCTGTAGACAAATATCCGCTTTGCTGGTTGGCAAACCAGGCTTTATTTGCCATGCTCTGAAAGAGTTGTTTGCCTAGACTGCATCTAAACATGGAAACTGCTGGCTTACTTCCTGGTATTACAATTTAATTCACAATTTTGCAACACAAACTATTTCAGTTGAGATTCAATATTTACCTTGTGGCGTCAGCATGTCCATTCTGCTTTCCCTCTGCATCCTGCTGTTCAAGCACAGACATGATAGAGTAGCGCTCAATCATAAGGCAGCCTGGATCATCAATCTGTCCCGGAACAACACCAAGAGGATACTCACCCCACTTCACATTATCTGAAAGACAAAAACAAAGAATCTTTATCTCCTAGGTTTAATAACATTGGGTACATTACATTATTGTCCTGGTGAGCAAAATATTAAACAAGAGTTATAAAACATGTATGCCCATGATATAATACAGAACAGTCACCTGAAACATTGGTCAATGGAGAATGACAATAGTTCTTACACATTTCATCTCCATTGGATTTAAAAAATTTCACCTCTAACCAATCTTGATCTTCAGCATCCATTTCCCCCCCCCAACCTCCTCCCAGACCTAGACTATAAATTGTTAATGGCAGAGCTGTACGGTTATTGTATTTTATGTTCAACGTCATGTCAAGTTTCACGACATGCCATATTGTTTTTAAAGAGACACAAATGTGTGTGTATATACACACACACACACACACTTTTTTTTAACCATACAGTAGATGTAGTGGCAAAATGCATTGCATTGATTTATATAAGAAAGCTAGCTTAGATTTACTGCAGAACTAGTTTGTGCAGCTGCTGTGTGCCCTGTCATTTTTTTATCCAGCAGCGCCTTTCGAATCTATGCTGGACACTGTCCAGTCAGAAGCCAAATCCTGCATGTGTGCTACTGGCCAATCATACGCGTCACTGAGCTATAATACATGTACACCTCACTCAGAAATATACGAAGGGCAGGCACAGAGATTGGTGCAACCACTGACATCCACTGTGAAATATACTTAAAGGACCACTATAGTCACCCAGACCACTTTGGCTCAATGAAGTGGTCTGGGTGCCAGGTCCCCCAGGTTTTAACCCTGCAGCTGTAAACATAGCAGTTTCAGGAAGACAGCCTCCAGGGCACTTCCGTGATGCTCAATGCGAAAATCGCATTGATCACACAGAAAGTCGTACGTTTTTGGGCGTTTAAATGCTCTGGCCGCGCATGTGCATTCGGCTCCACTCAGGAGCTGACGTCAGAGGGGGAGGAGAGGTCACCAACGCCAAGGGAGCCTGTGCTGGATAAAGGTAAGTGGCTGGAGGGGTTTTAACCCCTTCAGCCCAGTGGGAGGGGGAGACCTAAGGATTATATGGTGTCAGGAAAAGGAGTTTGTTTTCCTGACACTATAGTGATCCTTTAAAAAGGCGATTATGTAGGAAATCCTCCCAGCTGTCTGAATGGCAGCCTAGATGGTGTGACAAAGGCATTTCATTAAAGTAACAATAGTTCTTTAAAAGAATTTAACCTCACAATAGAAATTTAGATAAACTGCTTATACCTGCACTAACACTCCATGCAGAGCCCTGTAATGCCGTTTTCTGCTCTTTAGCCATCTTTGCATTTATTATTTGAATGTATTCTTCCTCATAGGACTCTTCAGTAATCATCTCTTCATCCTCTGTGTGCTCACTAGTGTCCGGTTCTTCCTCTTCTTCCATTGCTGGTCTCGCCCATGAATTAAAACCTCTGCTCTTGGATTCCTGCCTTATTTTCCACTCCAGGCTTTCCACCGTGTAAATGGGCTGGTCACTGTAGTCCACAGATACATCAGAGTCATCATCCTGAACATAGATAGAGCAGAGACACAGAAGCTTCTCCTGGGTGTTAGAAGATAGACTGGGCTTCATATATGCAAAGATCCTAAAGAAAAAAAAATTAAGAAGATGTGTGTCTGCTTCAAAAGATTCATCAATTATTTCCTTTAAAGTATACATTGGTGTTATTTTCAGGATCATAAAATTAATCATCAGTAGACCGTGCACTGTTGCTTGACTGCAATATAATCTTGTAAAGTTATATAATGCAGTGTCTATGGAATCTGTTCTAAGATTTTAGAAGAACACAAATCGCTGCTTCTTGGTGTATATATGATGAAATATGCTCAACACTCTCAAAGACATTCCACAACGCGGATTGAAGGAGACTGTGACACTCAATGATGCATATAAACTATGTCAGCTAGACAGGATGAGCTGCATGTAAAAAGAGAACAAAGAATTTTGGGGTAGATCACAACATAAACAACATTTGAGTGTTTTCACTCATTTTGTAAGCGCATTGCAGAAGCGAAAATACTGAACATCTTCGTTTCTTTAAAAAATTTTTTTAGATATTTTATTTTTTAACGCATTAATAAGGGAATATTTATTCAGAGTCTAGAGAAACTCCTTTTAATGTGCAATGAGGTAAAAATAAATTAAAAACCAGGACATATTTTGCATACAACCTACAGTAATTTGTTTGTTCTAAATACAAGTAAAATAATTTACTAACCTAGGAACGTTAAATAGTTGGCAAGAAAAAGTTGAGATAGGTGAGCTCAGTCATATTGAAGAGTGTTTCTAATTTGACTGCTCTAATCTAAAATTTGCTATTATATTGCTGATGCTCCACAATTCTTAGTTTAGTGAATAATCCTGTTAGCATATGGTTTTAAGAAGTCTTCCTCTGTTCAAACATCACAGATGCATTATTTTAACTAAGTTTAGTAAACCTAAAAGGCATAGTAAAAAATAAGCTGGGGAAAAAAAATTAATTTATTCGGTCAATCTAAAAATAAGACAAAAAATAATAAATTTGTATATTCCAATTCTGTAACAAAACAGGAAAATATTATTTCTTGACCCCAAAATGGCAATGGTTTGTCTTTCAGAGCCAAGAGTTATAACCCACATATTAACTATTAAATCCTTGAATATTCCTGTTTTTTTCCCCCCAATCAAACAAACAAAAAAAAAAAAAAAAACTACACAAAGCCGATATCACCACCACTTTAGGCATCAACATCTTTATTGTGCTTACTGAAAAGAATTCTACTGCCACATGAAAAAAAATTCCATTCTTTGAGCTTTCATGTTTTATTTCTTGCAGTTGTACAGTCCTATGAATGAACAGGGAGTGGTTTTGGGCTACTGGTGTGTAAATAGATCATATCCTCCTGAAAAGTGTTTTATTTATTTCACGTAAACAAGTTCAAATATTCTAGCCCTTCCCCATAACTAAAACCTCCCATTTACCCAATTCTTTTTGCAGCCTGCCCATGCATGGTTTCCATAATATTGACAATTAAGGAGACCAGTTTTACTCCCAACTCTTTTCCAGTTCTGTATAGTTGACTTGGTTACATAGTGTTGATTCTCAGTTTTTGCAATATGCAGGGCTTACTTACAGTCTTAAGAGGTCTGGAGTCGCTTGGCAAGGAGACTCAAGGCATTTCTGCATTAATTTTTTCCACTGCAAACCCACCCGGTGAGCAAACAGTTTCCATTTGCTTTTCACTGCTGCCTGATTGCGAGAGGGAATGACGCATTTTCTCTCTGTTTGAGGAAAAATAATAATTTAAACAAAAATTTTAAACTAATATAGACGAAGTATTCTTTCACAGCACTAGAAGGGAGGCAACACATGTAGACAATATGTAATTTAAAAGGTGCATTCCATGAAGTTATAGAATTTAAACAAAATCCCATAAACGACATAATTCCCTTTAATGATGGCACCTCAAAAAATAAAATGTCCATAGAAGAATTTTTTTAAATAATTCTAGCCAGACGGATGTAAATTCCTGAAAGGATAAAAACAAATACAGTAATATATTGCATGTTATTAAAAATATATGCTTTAAAAATCCCACCCAATTATGGCATCTTTACAAAGGGAGAGTGGCTGTGTGCAGCTTAGACATTCAGTGCCTTGAGAACATTGGAGATGGAGACGACTGCCAGGTATCCAGAGATATTGCCAATATATAAACAAAGCCCAAATGGGAGGGGTGAAACACATCATCATGTGATGTCATGAATACAGAAGAGACTAAGACATGCTTCCCAAATTCCAGCCCTCCAGATGTTGCTGAACTACAACTCCCATGATTCTCAGACTGTATTTCATTCATAGAATCATAGGAGTAGTAGTTCAGCAACATCTAGAGAGCCAAAGTTTGAGGAAGCCTGGACTAAGAAGTTGAATCCTCAGTCCACTTATTGATAAAGAACTCCAGTGCTGATGTTTTTAAAGTTTATAATCTTTAAAAAAATATCACCAATATCTCTGTATATCTGACTCATCTCCATCCTTGTCCTGATTTTGGATCTGCCGGTTACAGGATCTAAGGTTCCCCTCCCAGAGTGATTGTCCAAGAGGCACACATCCACTCTCCTTTTGTAAGTTGCCATCTTGGGATGGGTTATTTTTTTTTAGTACATATATTATCGCACTTTATATTTTTATGGTTTTTCTTTTAGAAATACATTTATCTAGGTTTGGCTATTTCACAAAACTCTTTCACGCACCTTTTCTTTTATGAGGTGCTTTCATGCACCAATCCAACAGGCATGTCAAACAAAATGAACAGTTGCTGGCAATTTATTAAATTGAGCTTTTCGTTCACATTTGAGGCTCATCTTCCTCAGAATGTATGTTGCCAATTCCCCAAACCTACCAGCTCTTTGATTGGCTGTCAAGATCTCTGATATCCAACAGCTAAGATAGTGGGCTCTAAAGTCATTATCAGTCTCCGAGCAATGACCTAATTCAGAGAACATTTTCTCCAATAATTCCTGCGTAAATGCCTGAGCATGCAAGACCTTGAGCAGTGGCTGCCAGAAACGGAATAGCACACGGGGGAGATGCAAGTTTTCATCACTATCTGCAAAACAACACAAAGTGGAAAATCAGTCAAATACAAGTAAATTAAGTGCCCGCTTTACCTTACATATAACGATGCCTGAGAAAAACAAACTGACATTTAGTTTTCCCTTTAATCTATAAGGCCGTCACAAAATGGGAAAATTCTTAGAAATGGATAGTTAACATATAAATTGGCGTTTGAGCGTTATATAGTATTCATATCCCATAAAACGGTTTAGAACTACTTTAGAACAAGCTTACACATACAATAAAAGCAATAAGCAAAGCAAACTTTAGTAAGGCCTGCAATAAGCAAGTTCATTTTATTTAACATTTCTCACATTTACAGGGGTGTGGAATTTATAATCCTAACCTGCAATACCTGCTGGCTCACAGAGTTCTCCTTTAGCCCTACTATGTGTAAGCTACAAGGATGCTACAAGGGAACCAGAGGGATAGGGGGTCCATTTGCATCTCTGAAGAGGAATGGTAAACATCAGCTCTGTCATGTACAGACGCCTTACTAGGCTAAAGATGGCTTTCACTCCAATAGCCAAGAAGTGGGAGGAGAGATTGGACACACTACAGGGATTTCAGTTCTAGAATGAGAAAAACATTCAGACTCGCAATCTCTAAGCAGCCAGTTAAAGATAACCATCAAAAGTGTTGATGGAAAAAATGTGGCTTAAGGAGGACCAGATACTTGTGAATGTATTCCCAAACAATAGCAAAAACAACTAAAAAAGATTTCTAGCCCCACTTGTCTCTATGCATGCTAAACACTGCAAAACGATAAATTACTTGGTATGAGGTAGGCAACATTCGTAACGCCACTGGCCACTCCTCAGATGGCTGCTCAAGGTGCTTCCTTAAGTAGTCCTGCCTAATGTGCAGCAATACCATTTACTATCTTCTCCCTCTGCATGCAGACTCAGACCTTTCCTCATAGAGATGCATTCATTCAATTCATCTCTATGAGGAGATGTTGATTGGCCAGGACTGTGTTTGACTTGTGCATGGCTCTGCCTCCTTGACAATCCCAATCCTAAGAGGGAAGCATTGTGATTGGCTCAAACCACCACTTTTGATGATGTCAGCAGACAGGGCCTGAAGCAGCAGTTGCAGACTTGAATACAAGTAAGATTTTACTATATTTAGGAACGCAAGAGGGGGCCAGATGGTGGTTTTAACACTATAGGGTCAGATATACAGGTTTGTGCTCCAGACCCTATACTGCTCCTTTAACGATCTTCATAACTAATGTTGCGGAGTAAATCTACCATAATGCTCTTACAGCCATAAAGCTGACAAATCATCTGGGAAGATGGGGTCCACATCTGGAGTGCAGAAGGTTTCCAGCCCTCTACTGGGGGAATACACCAAAGAAACAAAGTTTGTCAATATGTAAATACTTAGAGATGCTTCCAGAGAAACCGCCTAATCCGATGGATCTCTCCTTAAAAATAAAATTAAAAAATACCACAACAACCTCTGTATCAAACAGTATATGAATTCTGATATTTCAGGTTGACTGGCTGAGGAAGCAAAAATCAATGTTTCATATTTAAACATTAAATTGATATCAGAATCTACCACACCCTTGCTAGTGAGAAGAAAATTAAGAATACGGGTGTTAACTAGAACCACATATCTTTATAAACAGTTAGCATCTTATAAACAATACAAATTTTGCATGCCTCGTGCGTTTAAGGAAAACAAAAACGCCAAAACCACAAGTAACAAAAGTCTGTGTATATATTATATTGATAATAATATAACAATATTATAAATGTAAATATAGATTATATACACTCATTTATGGTCGGAGACATACAATAAGTTTAAACTATACATTCAAAGGTCGAGGACCTTTAGCTATACTAAAAGTAGCAAGTCAGTTGTGGTGTGCCAAAACCAACAAACTGGTAGGCCTGAAAAAAAAATAAAAAAAAATGGGGGGCCGACTGCAACAAGTTACTCTTGCTTGTCGCTTCACGTGTCTGCAGTTCAGTAAAAAAAGAAATGGGCAAAAAAACAAACAAACACGATGTTTTGGCAACATAAGTTATGTAAAACAAAGAAAGTTGTAATTAAAAATTATTCAACTCCCATTGAAAATCATTTTTATTGTAAAAGCTTACAACAAACGCCTAGCCAGTTCAGTAATTTCAAGTGTTCCAGCTCAAGCACACCTGATGCAACTAATGAAGTCCTTGGGTAGTTGTATCAGGTGTGCTTGAGAGAGCAGCTGTTGTGCGGTCAAGATAGTATCTTTTCAGGGGGTTGATTTATTCTGATACTGGAGAAGTCATTATAAGTAGATTTTTTTTAGTTGAAATATGGAAACCACTTGAATCATTCGTTGTGTGGAGCCATTTCAATTGCTTTTGGTTGATTTGTTCATTGCAAACAGCTGAACGCCTGTACATTTTTAACAATAAATTTGATTTTGAATAAGTTTGATTACAACTGCATATGCTATCTTAAAACACTACACAGGAAGAGTCAGAACCAACAGAAAGTATCATCCAATCAATGTGGAGTCTTAGTCTGGCTTTGGACTTCTAGTAATTGGTGTAAACGGATACTCCACCTTCAGGTTCTATTTTCAAAGTCGCTAGCTGTTTTGCAGTAGGTATTATAAAGCCATCCTCGAGAAGAATATCTGCTGCATTTCCTGCACTGAAAAAGAGGGGGAGGGAGGGGATCAGGGAGGGAGGGAAGAGAGAGAAAGTATGAGTCTTCTGCATTTGTACATGACAAATTCAAATGATGGTCACAAGTTGCAATAAGGATGAAATACCAGTGAGGTGAAGTGACAGTTGCACATAGAAAGCTTATCAATAAACTGCAATCTTTAAGTTTGGATTCCAATATTGTTGAATGGGTAAGGCAGTGGCTGAGTGACAGGCAACAGAGGGTTGTAGTTAATGGAATATATTCGAAGCTTGGACTTGTCACCAGTGGGGTACCTCAGGGATCTGTACTTGGACCCATTCTCTTTAATATTTTTATTAGTGATATTGCACAAGGTCTTGATGGTAAGGTATGTCTTTTTGCTGTTTGCCTTAAGGACAGAGCTTCAGAAGCTTGTCTTTCACTCAATGACAACAGCATTTTTTTCATTTTTTGCTGTTTGCGTTCAACTGCAATTTGCATTTTACTAATTTATTGCACCGACACATTCTATACCGTTTTTTTAAAGGAAAGAAAGGGCTTTAAATTGATGTAACATATATATAAATGCAGAGAATTGTCAAGGTACAAGCAGAGGTCAAAGGAGTAAAGAGAAACAGAACAACGATAGGACAAGCAGAGGTCAAGGATAAGAGAAGACAGGATAAGCGGGAGACAAAGCCAAGATTCAGTAACCAATCAGACAGATAACTAAAAATCACACCCCAAAACTGGTCTACTTATTCGGCCTGGGTGTGAAAATTTTTAAAACAGTGGCCAATACATAGGCCGGGCTGAGAGGGGCAATCAGGGCAGTAATAGCTGGTCTCAGGTCTTACGCCCCTCTTGTAACACACCCTGCACCTTTTCTGGGGGTTTTGTTTTTTAGGGGTTGGTGGAATCTTAAAGCAGAAGTGACCTGCCTCCATTCTTCTGCTAGGCTCCACTGATGGTCTCCTTGTGTGGCAATCAATTAGCCCAAAAATGAGCTCAAACTGGAATGAAAGAAAAGTGCTTTTCAGCCCAGCATTTTTCTTTTTAAAAATGACAGGCATTGTGGATTGCCATCTGCATCAGATATATGCCCACTTTTTATACCATGCCCTGGTCTTTCGCATGATCAAATACAGCTGCATCAGTTGATCGGACAGGTCAATGCCCCCCCATATGCCGATTAAATTGCCTTATGCAGACTGGCACTCTTTTACATTCCTCTCTGCCACAAACTGCGACCCTCCGAGTGTTTTCACCATGGATAGTGGTTAAGATGAATACATCCTTTTTATCTCGAAGCAGTACAACATTTTTAACAGTGGGATGCTATTACAAAAGTTATCGATGTATAAATGATAACCTTTATTAAATAGTGGCATTATTAAGTCCCAGACAATTTTCCCACTTGTCCCTACTATATCTGGGCAACCTGGAGGATCAAGGTGGCTATCCCTTCCTTCGTATACACGGAAGGTGTATACGTAGCCACTGCCACTTTCACACAGTTTATAAAATTTGATCCCATATCAAGATCTTTTGGATGGGATATATTGTCCCATATATTGTCCCCCAGTCTTCCCTTAAACTTCATGAGGGACTCGTCAATGGAAATGTTTTTATTGGGGGTATGTATAGTGGCAAATTTACTATTAAAGTGGGAAATTAAAGGGCATATTTTATAAAGAAGATCATACTGCGGATCACCTTTTGTGGGGCACTTGTTATTGTCACTAAAGTGCATAAATCGCAGTATGTCTTCATATCTTTCCCTCGTCATTGTCTCGGCAAAAATGGGGGTATTGCAAATAGGATGTTTAGACCAATAAATCCTAATTGTGGGCTTTTTAATTAGCCCCATTAACATGGTCAGTAACCAGAATTGTTGGGTTCCATCTCTCTTTCCTGGAGATAAGAGTCTGGATTGCGTGCCAGATACTGCTCCGCATAGAGATTAGTCTGGGTGACTATCTCCCCAAAAATCTCATCCCCCCAAGAACAGCTGCATAACATCCAGCGCACTATAGCCCGACAAGTCAGTCTGTATGCCAGGATTGGCTGTAAACACTGGGATGTCTGGGGAAAAATTATTAGGGGGTACCCAATCATCTGCGCCATGTTCAGCATTAGGGGAATCGTCAATTTCCCCTGATGGTCCTGCAGTATCTGGCACATAGTCCCTGTCCCCTGCGTCACTCTCTGAGGCAGTGTCAGTCGCCTCTGAGTCGGCCGCCAACAGGGAATAAGCCTCCTCTACGCTATACTTTCGAAACATTGTTAATATAGTTAACACAGCTAACCAAACTTTAACTAAATAACTTTTTTTTTTATTCCCTAATTCCCACTAAATTCTACCCACCCAAGTAACTAAATCACAAATACAATCTAATAATAAAATTTAACCCCTTAGGGTTACAAAAAACTAAATTTAACCCTTGGGAAAAAAAAAAATAGATCACAGTAAAGCACTGTGACCTGTATATTGATCACTGCTAGCAGTGATCAAGCAGCAGGGAAAGGGTTATTTATTTTTTATTTATTTTTTTAATAAAGGGGAAAGGGATTAGGAACTTTTAATAGAACTTAACTATTCATATGGGACACAATGTTGCAACGATCCGTCTCTCTCCACTTCACAAACCCACACGTGGTGGAGGGAGGCGGATCAGATATCCCAGCAGCATTGTGACCGCTGTGACTGGCTGTCACAGCGATCACATGGGCTGGGATATCGGTATTTGCTGCTGGTGGTCTGCCCCTGACTTGGAGGCACCCAGCAAAGGCGTTAATTTTAACGCGTGACGGACAAGGTCCGTCACTCGTCATTAACGCTTTCCCGAGTGACGGACCTTGTCCGTCACTCGTCGTTAAGGGGTTAAAGGACCACTATAGTGAAAGGAAAACAAACTCATTTTCCTGGCACTGTAGGGTCTTTAGGTCCCCCCCACCCTCAGAGTCCCACTCCAGCTGGGCTGAGGGGGTTAAACCTCCTTTAGCCACTTACCTTTCTCCAGCGCCGAACTCTCCTCCCCCTGCAGACGTCAGCGCCGCATGCACGGCCAGAGCTGCGTGTGCATTCAAACCAACCAACGGAAAGCATTACTCAATGCTTTCCTATGGACGTCCAGCGTCTTCTCATTGTGATTTTCACAGTGAGAAGTGCGGAACAGCCTCAAGCGGCAGTCAGTGACACAGCCACTAGAGGCTGGTTTAACCTTCAGTGAAACATAGCAGTTGCTCTGAAACTGCTATGTTTTCAGCTGCAGGGTTAATACTAGAGGGACCTGGCAGTATAGCATAGATATTACTAAGTATTAACTATTTTATGCAATTGAAATCCAATATAGTAAGCAATATTTTTAAACTTAAAGACAAATAAAATGCTTAAAATGTTTATTATCTATATGTGACAAGATTGTATTAATTTGCGCCTCTTAGATATTTCTATTGAGTGGACCTGGCACTCAGACCACTTCATTGAGCTGAAGGGGTCTGGGAGCCTATAGTCAGGGGTGTACTTAGAGCATTTGGCACCCGGGACGGATCCTGTGCTTTGTACCCTCTTGACCGCCCCCCTGCCCCCCCATCCCCCCAAAAAAGAAAAACCTGTTAAAAATGTTAAATGTTTTATAATTTACAATTTGTAAAATTTGCAAAACCACTGTCAGCCCCTCCTACAAAACTCTTGTCCTGCCCCGACACCTCCGACAAAACCCCTGTCCTGCCCCCTTCTACAAATCCTGTACTGCGCCCCCATCTACAAAGCCCCCCGCTTATCCCCCCTTATAAAAGACTTGTCCCAATACAAAACCCCTGCCCCCTTCTACAAAATCGCTGCAGGCAGGCAGTGTCACACACACAGAGTTACAGGCAGACACACATACACACAGACACACTGTTACAGGCAGACACATTGTTACAGGCAGACAGTCACATATACAGTCACTCACACAGTCAGAGTTACACACACACACACACACAGGCAGACAGTTTTACACACAGTCACACACTCTTACTTACAGACAGTGGGCTGGAGGACTAGATTCCTTGAAGTCATTCCCTGAAGCTTGTTGGGGAAGCAGGTATTCCTTTCAGCTGCACCTCCATGTGTAGCAGTAAAAGCAGCAGGTAATAGTCGTATTAAGCCCCCCCCGTTTGGCTCCGTCCCAATTTTGATAAGCTCAGCCCCCTTTCCCATTCAGTACGGCCAGTTCAGCTGCTCTTAGCGTGTGAGCTGTTCTGGCCGCCCGGCACCCTAACTACAATTGGGCACTGTGCGGCTGTACAGCTCATACAGCCCCCTACAGCTCCCTGACCAGGGTCATGGCACCCTCTACCCAGTGGCAACCAGGGCAGACCGCCCCCTCTCCGCACCCACCCCCCTTAGTACGCCACTGCCTATAGTGGTCCTTTAAGTTTGGGTTCCAATATTGTTGAATGGGTAAGGCAGTGGCTGAGTGACAGGCAACAGAGGGTTGTAGTCAATGGAATATATTCGAAGCATTGGCTTGTCACTAGTGAGGTACTTCAGGGATCTGTACTTGGACCCATTCTCTTTATTTTTATTATATGATATTTATGATATTGCTGAAGGTCTTGATGGTAATGTATGTCTTTTTGCTGATAATACTAAGATATGTAACAGGGTTGATGTTCCAGGAGCGATAAGCCAAATGGCAAATGATTTAAGTAAACTAGAAAAATGGTTGTGGCAACTGACATTTAATGTGGATAAGTGCAAGATCGTGCATCTTGGAAACAAAAACCCAAGGGCAGAGTAAAGAATATTTGATAGAGTCCTAACCTCAACATCTGAGGAAAGGGATTATGGGGTGGTTATTTCTTATGACTTAAAGGTAAGCAGACAGTGTAATAGAGCAGCAGGAAATGCTAGCAGAATGCTTGGTTGTATTAGCAGTAGAAAGAGCGAAGTGCTCATGCCATTGTACAGAACACTGCTGAGACTTCACTTGGAGTATTGTACGCAGTACTGGAGACCGTATCTCAGAAGGATATTGATATGTTACAGAGAGTTCAGAGAAGGGATACTAAATTGGTTCATGAATTGCAGGAATAAACTTACAAGGAAAGTTTAAACAAACTTAAAGGGACACTATAGTCACGAGAACAACTACAGCTTATTGAATTTGTTCTGGTGAGTAGAATCATTACCGTCAGGCTTTTTGCTGTAAACACGGTCTTTTCAGAGAAAATGCAGTATTTACATTACAGCCTAGTGATGACTTCACTGGCCACTCCTCAGATGGCTGTTAGAGATCCTTCCTGGGTCATGACTGCCTAAAATGCATCCAAACATTCAGTATCTCCGCCCTTTGCATGCAGATACTGAACTTTCCTCATAGAGATTCATTGATTCAATTCATCTCTATGAGGAGATGCTGATTGGACAGGGCTGGGTTTGAATTGTACTGGCTCTGCCCCTGATCTGCCTCTGTCAGTCTCAGCCAATCCTATGGGGAAGCATTGTGATTGGATAAGGCCACCACTTCTGATGATGTCAGCAGACAGCTTGTTTTTCTGAGGCAAACAGCATGCAGAGTTACAGCTTCAGGCTTGAATACAAGTAAGATTTTTACTATTTTTAGGGAGACATGAGGGGGACAGGGTGGCTAGATATTGGTTTTAACCCTATAGGGTCAGGAATACATGTGTGTTTATGACCCTATAGTGCTCCTTTAACATGTATAGCTTGGAGGAAATACCAGACTGGGGGGTATGACAGAAACATTTAAATACATAAAGGGAATCAACACAGTAAAGGAGGAAACTATATTTAAAAGAAGAAAATCCCACAACAAGAGGACCTAGTCTTAAATAAGAGGAGCAAAGGTTTAAAAATATCAGGAAGTATTACTTTACTGAGAGGGTAGTGGATGCATGGAATAGCCATCCAGCTGAAGTGGTAGAGGTTAACACAGTAAAGGAGTTTAAGCATGCGTGGGATAGGCATAAGGATATCACAACTATAACATAAGGCCAGAGACTAATGAAATTATTTAGAAAATCGGGCAGACCAGATGGGCTGAATGGTTCTCCTCTGCGGTCACATTTTATGTTTTTATAAAGAATTCGATTTAATTATCAAAATTGTTTACTTATTTATTACTTTAAAATTGTGACAGCACACCTCAAAAGTAAAAACACACCCATGTACCTTTTTTCCTTCACCTTCTACACTCACCTAAATATACACTCACGTTTATTATATAGCAGACTTGAGAGATGTTAAAATAGTGGAACCAAAGCATATATAGAAGACACCAGAAGCAACATAGGACATATGTGTTCAACATTTAAAAACAAATACATTGAAACATAAACCTAAAATGTATTTCCTTTACCCATAACCCGTAAAATACAGATACCAATAAAGTTCATGATACCCATAAACTGCATGAATGAGTGAACCTGCACACCCCTATTACAGGGAGTTATGCTATTGACATCCAATTGACTGGGTGCAGGAAGAAGTGAGATTCCATAGGAAGCAAGCCATTTCTGATAACGAAGTGAAAGCCATTGCACTCCACTGGTAAGAAAAACTGGAAGATCCTCAATGGTATTTGATGTCTGAAGAGTGTAAACATTTAGTGACCTGCCCTAGTAAGTGTGATTGGTGAATAATAAAGCAAACAGAGGTGCGGTAGGAACATAACGATGCAGTCCTCCAATACAAAGCATGTTCCTTTTAATCATTGTCATAATGCTGGTCCTACCTGTAAATGTTTGAAAGGTCACTATGACCCAGCATGGGATTGCCATTGGTGCACATAGTGATTTACTTATTCTTTAAGTGCCATTCAGGCTTATCACCTAAGCCCTCTTGAGGTAATAAATAAGTGAGCTGCTTTCAGGGTAAACTGAGTAAGTAACATCGGAGATGCCTAAAGATCTTATAGTTCATAGTCCATATACTCCTATTGACAAATAATCTTGTAGACATTGGAATGGTTTAGTTGTGTTAGAAGATACAGCGTATGCCTGGCATTTGTTGGCTGCGCCACTTTCAGATGTGTTTATGCAATCTGTAAGAGTATGGAGCTTGAAAGTGCAGAGTGAATTGGGAAAATGATAGTGTCCATGTTGGGAAGATGGTGGTCCCAAACACCTGTAACTGCAGTAGAGGGAAGTTTTGTTTCGGATTCCCTCTGTGATGCACACCTTACTTTATTAAAACACGTCATTAGTGTTTTGCTGAGTTGAGTAAATGAGGAACTGTCATCAACAAAAAGGTGACAGTTCCTCTAACTGTGTGCTTAGCCACATATTTTGTCCATTACTAACAATTTGAGTTTACCAATAAATCAGTAAATTTTTCTTGATATTTGTATTTGGCATTTCCACTAATGATTTAGATTAAAAATAAAAGAATTAAAAAAAATCAATAAAAAAAAATAAAAATCAATCTGCCATTAAGGTCATAGGTCTACAGCAATGTTATTTACATTTACATTTACAATTTGGGGTCTGACCGTGCAGTAACCACTGAATAATAATATTAAATAGAACTTTGAGTCTAGTTACAAAAGCCAATATTAGTGTACAGTATCTGGGTGCTGGATTTTTTTGTGGAATCCTCCATTCATAGTGAGTAGTTTGCGTCTTGACATCCATGGTGACCAGCTCTTCTCTTGATCTGGTTATGGTTAGAATTCCAGCTTAATACCGGATGACTGGTAGGGCATATGAGTTGATGGGTTTGATATTTTTCTTGCAATTGAGCTGGGGCTTCAGGACCAGTCTGACTCTTTGGAGGCAATTGGATGTTGCCATCCTCCTTGACACTTCCTCATGGTTGTCATGCGTTTGCAGTAGCTTTTCTCTTCATCGCATGTTTGATCTACTGGTACTTAAACACCTTCCGTCCTGATCATCTTCCTGCTTTTTGCCATCATCCACCCAACTTTACAGTCTGATTGACATTCCGATGTCTTTGCTGTATATCCTAGTAAGGTGGATCAGTGAGTCAATATCCTACTCACTTTTGGCATACAGTTTGATGTCGTCTATGTAGAGATGGCTGCTGATGGTAGCTCCACTCTTGAACCTGTATCCATATCCATTCTTAATGATAATCTGGATAAGGGGGTTAAGGACTACAGAACAGCATCAGGGATAGTGCATCACCTTGATATAGGCCACATCTGATGTTCACTTGTGTTATTACTCTGAAATTGGCTTCTAGAGTGGTTTTCCCACTGAGCTCTTGAACGTTTTTAGTGTCTTGCTGACCTTGTATAGAGCCAAGCATTTCAGTATCCATGTGTGTGGTATTGTGTCATAGGCGCTCTTGTAGTCAATCCAGGCTGTGCACAGATTGGTCTGTCTTGTCTTAAAATCGTGTATGATGGGTTAGTCTGTCAATAGTTTGTGTTTTGAGCCTCTGGTGTGGTTTCCAATCCTCTTTTTGATTATTGTTCATGTACTCACTCATATGTCCATGATGCCTGACTGGACCTTCCATGTTGAGGGGAGGAATGCAATTTGTTGGTAGTTAGACATTGCGGTTCTCTTGTGAGGGTCTTTTATGACCAGTATTGGTCTACCTTGTGTTAGACCATCAGGGGACTCTGTTGCTAGTAGCCGGTTCTCTTGTGCTGCCAGGCATTCATGCAGCATTGTTAGTTTCTTTATCCAGTAGGTGTGGATCATGTTAGAACTTGAGGCTGACCAATTATGCATGTGGGCTAGTCGTTGTTGCACATCTCTGCCTGTGACGGTTTCCTGTTCTGCGAGCATGCAGTGGTCTGCTTTCAGGTCTAGTAGCCACTGGACCCTTGTGTTATGTGGTGACTATTTCTACCAGTACTGTTGAGTCTCTGCTCTGGTGGTTATGTTGTGGTTTCTCTGTAGAAGTGCATACACCTTGGATGGTCCTTTGGTAAACAGGGCATTTATTCTCTTGTACACAAAAGAATAGAATCACCCACACCTAAAAATAATAGGGTAGTGAAAAAACACTTCTCAATGGATAGTGGTAACTATCCAGGGATATCCCAGCACGTATCCATTTTAAATACCATTTAGATGCAAACAAAGATGGAGAATACAGCTGCAGATCTACAACATAGAGAACAAATAATAGTGTAACACTGTAAAAAAAAAAATATATAAATGCGCTGTTACAGGCAACACTCACAAGATAGAAGAAAATATTTCACCCAAGGGTGCCTCCCCTGATGAAAGTGGGGGAGGCTAAATCAGCTCCTCTTTCCTTTTGATGAGGAGACTGGACTCCGGAATGTTGGATATAACAATTCTACTTTTAAAATATATATATAAAAACACAATAAAAAGTGGTGCTGTACCAGGTCCAACATTTTTCGTCCGAGAAGGACTTCCTCAGGGACCCCCTGGTAGTCTCCTTCAGTCTGATCTTGTAGTCAAGCATTTGGAAGATCACTAATGCTGTGGTATATATGAGCTTGTTCGTCTCTGTGATGGTGGGATTGTGGACAGTGTATTATTAACCCCAGCTAGCATACTGTCTGGTGGCAGTTTTACAGTGATCTTTGGTAATTTTTTCCCGATATAAGAAAGAATATATACAAGTTTAGTGGGGACAGTTGTCCTTTAAAAGGGATGCTATAAGCCAGGGATAGGCCACCTTTGGCACGCCAGATGTTGTGGACTGCATCCCCATTAATGCTCTTTAGGGATCGACCGATTATCGGGTCGGCCGATATTCGGTATTTTCAGCTATATCGGTATCGCCCTATAGAGATACCGATATTGCCTATAATGCAGACCAGGACCCCCGGGCCAATGACAAGCCCAGCGGTCCTGGAGGGCCCGCAGCAAGTTCTTACTTACCTTCCAGCAGCTCCCCTGTCTAAATCTCGCGAGTCCCGCGGCCATCAGAGCGTTGCCACGAATTACCATGGCAACGCTCCGCATGGCACGCTGGCCTCGAGATTTAGACATTGGGAGCTGCTGGAAAGGTAAGAGTGTGCTGGGCCCCCTCTGCACAGTCCATGCCACCGGACCACCAGGAAATGTCATATCCCCTCCTCCCTGGTCAAGTAAGAAGCAGGGAGGGGGGACTAAAAAAATAAATAATTTTTTTTTTTTTTAAATCCCCCTGGTTTTATACACATACCTAACACAAACACTCTGCGTTATATAAAACACACTACGCCATTCACAATACATTCACTAATGAAATACTCTCACTGAATCCACGACACAAACATTATTGAAAACATTTAAAATAAAATAAAAAATCTGACTGGCATGTATATTTTGTGCATTTACCTTAATAATAAAAAATTATTTGCAAAAAAAACCCAAAACACGGTAAATGTAAGGAATATCGGTAAGTTATTGGCTATCGGCCTCAAAGTTCACAGAATATCGGTATCTGCTCTTAAAAAAAAAAAATAAAAAAAAAAATCAATATCGGTCGATCCCCAATGCTCTTAAACCCATAATGCTAGCAAAGCATCATGGGAGGTGTAGTCAAAAACATCTGGAGTGCCGAAGGTTGCCTTTGCCTGCTATAGGCACTCCAACTACTTTTTCTCATTGAGAAACTGCAAAGTTCATTTTGCAGAACCCAGACAGCCACTAGAGGCGCTTCCGGGATTTTATCGGACTTTTAGTCGCCTGAAGCTGGACATTCTCAAACTCTGTGTGAGGACATCCAGAATTCATTAAATCCCCATAGGAAGCAATGTTTTTCTGTGGGGAGGGCCTAATCAGGCATTCGCTGCGCATTAGCGCCCCCCCCGTCCCCCCCTTTGATGACTGAGGAGGTAAAGGGCTGACCCAGCAGCGAGGGAGTTTAACCCTTTCCATGCTGGGGGGGCACAGGTAACTATAGTGTTAGTGATTTCGTTGGTTCAAACCTGTATTCCTGTCTTTGTAGGGATGTTCAAAAAGGTCCAAAGACATTTTTCACACAAGAAAAACAAAAACCCACAAACACTTTACACAGGTTTACCAGGGCACCATAATAATTAAGGGGACACGCTAAGCAGCAAAACAACTTTAGCTTAATGAAGTTGTTTTAATGTACAGATCATGCACCGATAGTCCCACTGCTCAATGATCTGCCATTTAACAGTTAAATTACTTTATGTTTGCTCCCATAGCCACACACCTTCAAGTATCCATTTAAATGGTACAGAGTGGGTACTCAATATTTATAGAACGTATGACTTTTAAAAATAAATAAAAACACATTAAAAGTATCTGTAGCTCAACACATATACAATCAACAGCCTTGCCTTAGTATGTCAAGTGAAAAAAAATTAAAATACATAATGGTAGAGCTAAAATTAGCTCCATTATTTGAAATATTAGTTATAAGTGCAGAGACTATATGTTGCCTAAGCCAAAATAAAGCAACACCTCTTCAGTTCTGGCATTTTTAGAGTGAAAAAGGGTACCTATTTTGTCGGACCAGTTCTTTGGCCTGTGCAATTGTCCACTCCAACTCTGCTGTGGCCAACCATTGCTTCTTAGCTTTTGAATCTTGTTGAATTTCTTTAAAAATCTGAAAAGATTAACAGGGAATTTAAGAAAGATTATATATGCAAGAACTTTGTGATGAATGCTTGTTGTGCCTTCTAAAGTTTAATCAGAAACTACAACTTTGTTCATGCTTTTTGGTTTCTCGATTACTTATTTTAACACCTTTCCTTCCACCCTGAGGTAATCATGCCTTTTTGCTTTGTTTTACATTGCAAAATAATACAAAATGAAATCCAATTACAATTACCTTTCTCTTCAATCCAGATCTAGTCAGTTAATCTACCACACAAAGAATGACTGTAAATTGTAGGGATCGACCGATTTTTTTAGATCAGATACCGATAACTTACTGATATTCTGTACATTTACCATTTTGAAAAAAGAAACTACTTCTACACAAATCTACTTTTAAGGTAAATGCACAAAATATACATGCCAGTCAGAATTTTTTATGTTTTCAAGAATGTGTGTGTGTGTGTAGTGGATGCAGTGAGTACTTGATTAGTGGATGCAGTGTGTGTTTCTGTAGTGGATGTATTGTGAATGCAGTGTGTATATAATGAATGCAGAGTGTGTTTGTGTAGTGTGTGTATAGTGAACACAGTGTTTTTGTGTAGTGTATATAATTAATGTACAGTGTGTGTGTGTGTGAAGGGTGTATAGAATGATTACAGTGTGTGTAGAGTATATCATTAATGCAGTGTGTGTGTGTGTGTGTGTGTGTGTGTGTAAGTATGTAATGTGTATAAAATATTGGGGGGGAAGCTTTTTTATTTAAATTTTTTTAAAGATTACATTTTTTAACATTATGCATTAGTCCCCCCTCCCTGCTTCTTACCTGGCCAGGGAGGTGGGGTATGGCATTACCTGGTGGTCCGGTCACATGGACTCTGCAGAGGGGATCCGCAGCACACTTACTTTCCTTCCCAGCAGCTCTCCGGTCTAACTCTCGCAGCCTGCGTACCGCGTTGCCATGGTAATCCGTGGCAGCACTCTGACCGCCGCCAGACTTGCGAGATTTAGACATGGGAGCTGCTGGGAAGTTAAGGAAGAGTGTGCTGCGGGGCCCCCAGGACCGCTGGGCCCATGACAACCGTATCTGTTGTCATGCCCGGATGATGGCTTTTGTCTGCATTATCTGCAAAATCAGTATCTTTATAGGCAGATAAGGATATTACTAAAAATTACTAAAAATATCGGCCAGATCAATAATCGTTCGATCCCTAGTATATTGCAACCACAATGCCACATTGCACTGGAGCCTGCAATGCTCAGCAAGTACAGTTCTGCATACCAGCAAGAGGAGGAATAAGGGAAAGATTTGTGCACATTCTAGGGCAGGGGTCAGCAACTTACTGCATGTGGGATGACATACTCATGTTACTCAAATGGGTCCATAGGATAGATCCTCTGATCTCCACGGAGAGACTAGAGCACCCCTCTATGGGTGCAAGGAAACATATGAAATGCACATCCAGTAGACCACTACTAAAAGACCACTTCAACCCCTCTCATTGTCTGGCAATCTGATATCACACACGGCCCAAAAAAAAAAAACAAAAAAAAAAAAAAACACGTACACAAAAAGCAGCCACTGCAACAAGGCTATGCATATTACAACTAAATTCTACACTTTTTTATAAATGGTGTTAGACATAGTAAATCCACACCCTTCTATATGAACCAAAACTTAGTTTTAACCAAGATGTGTTTATTCAGTGATGGTTTCTAATCCATTTGGAATATTGGCATCAAAAAGCATTTCACCAATACAAAACCTTTGTTGATCACAATATCTATGTGTTACTTTTGTATGCTCAAAAGGGCTGTGCCCTTGGAGCCTGGACTGTCATACGCCTTACTATGTTTTCACTGTTATAATAAATTGCACACACAAAAAACAAAAACAAAAAAATGTATTTCACCAACGATTGTTAGGACATTGTTTGAAGTAGGTTTATTAGACGCTATCGAAATCTCAGTAACCATAGCCAAAAAATGACTCTAATGTTGAGCGTGTTGTTGTTTTTGTTAGATTTTGGAAAAGTAGAATACTCCGAAATGCAGGAGATAAAGGCGCCCCCAGCTCTGAGTCATTAAATTATAGCATACACACCAGAGCCAAAGTAAGAAAGAAAAAGAAAAAAATAGCAATAAGAACGATAAGCTAGTAGCTTATAACTAGGGCTCTGCAAAATTGATGCTCACCTACGCAGGTCATTTGCACTCTGCTGCCATTCCTGATGCCAAATCCCCCACTAAGGCAATAATGCTAATATTAGCAAAGCCAAGATCAAGGACTACATTCCGCATGATACCAGTATTTAGATCAAGTAGATGTTCTCTTTACTTACAGATAATTCTCTTGACCAAGGTTGGTTTGTCACTGACCCTTCAGCCTGCTTCCTTGAGCTTCTGGCAAAGATATCTCTAATGAGACAGGGGTATATTTTATATACACCCCTATATACTTATTAACCCTTAATAGGAAACACATGGGATGGGGGGCAGCATTGTAACAAGGCTGTGTAAGTGTTAATAAGTACTATATATTGGGGCTGATGTATACTGTAGTCATTGCTGCCGGCACAGTAGTGATGGGAGTGAGCGCAGGACTTCTCTTTTTGTATTTGTATTTACTTTGTATCACACAGCCTTGTTACAATGCTGCCGCCCATCCCATGTGTTCCGTATTAAGGGTTAATAAGTATATAGGGGCGAGGGAGGGGGGGCTTGACCTGCAAGCTGAACAGTCGCATGGTGGAAGAGCTCCTGCCACACAGACTGTTTATAGGGAAATACTCGCAGATTTCATGCCTGAAACAATACCGGGGTACACTACCCATGCTGGGGGCACCCTGGTGAATCACTCAATGCCAAATTCGAGTTTTCGAGAACCCATGGTGGCAGGCTGCGGTGGACGGAGCTGCGGGGGGGGGGGCGGCCGCTCCCCTCGCCCCTACGCCGGAGGTACCGAACCCTAAAAATAGTAAAATCTTACTTGTATTCAAGTCTGAAGCTGCTGCCTCTGCCTGTGAACTTCCTCTGACATCATCAGAAGTGGTGGCCTTATCCAATCACAATGCTTCCCCATAGGATTGGCTGAGACTGACAAGGAGGCAGATCAGGGGCAGAGCCAGCATGAAGCAAACAGCCCTGGTCAATCAGCATATCCTCAGAGATGAATTGAATTAATGAATCTCTATGAGGAAAGTTCAGTGTCTGCATGCAGAGGGAGGAGATACTGAACGTTTGGATGCATTTTAGGCAGCCATGACCCAGGAAGGATCTCTAACAGCCATATGAGGAGTGACCAGTGAGGTTATCACTAGGCTGTGATTTAAACACTGCTTTTTCTCTGAAAAGACTGTGTTTACAGCAAAAAGCCTGAAGGTAATGATTCTACTCACCAGAACAAATTCAATAAGTTGTAGTTATTCTGGTGACTATAGTGTCCCTTTAAGTGTTTACTCCTAGTAGAAGTACTTGTATTACAGTTTCCAACTAACCAGCAGCTAAATTCTACTCCAGAAATTAAGGGTAGTTTGTGCGTGAACAAAACATATGTTTTACACATGGAATAACCTCAAGCAGCGCGGTCACATTTTAGATTTTGATTTTAAATTAAGCCTTTATTTCTTTTCTTTTTTTTTAATTCATTGTAGTATTTTTAGTTGTACACAAGAAAAAGCAAAGGACTTTTTTTTTGTGGAGGGCATGATCTTTGGGAAATGTTGGCAAAGGACAGTCTGAAAAAAGTTCCATCTCAGTTGCTAAGCTAGCTTGCCCACAATCCATCAGACAAAAGAATTCCACAGAAGGTCAAACTGCTGACATAGACAGTAGAAAAAGATGGAGGCACCAGGTATTAAGATCATGTGCAAGCAAGTCAAGATAAATATAAATGAAAGGCAAGTGACAAAGAGGGGAGCTTAGTCATTTAGAGGTATTAGAAAAGTAAAACAAAGAAAGGAGAACAAAATCAAGTCTCTGCCGCTTTAAATTTTAGCGTGCACTCATTTTTAACTGAATATGAATAGGTTTAACTGCAGATTCTTTATGATTGTGAAAGAAAAAGTCCCCTGAAAAGCAGATGTGAAAAGGCATTTTGTTTTCTTCAGACTTGAGAAGCAAAAAAAAAACCCCCACTAGCTCACAATAAAAGTCACCTTCCTGAAACAAAATAGAATATTTAAAATGCTGTTTTCATTTGAACTCTGACATTTTTTTTTTTTTAGTTGAAAATTATTAACACTGATTAAAGGAACACTATAGTCACCTAAATTACTTTAGCTAAATAAAGCAGTTTTAGTGTATAGATCATTCCCCTGCAATTTCACTGCTCAATTCACTGTCATTTAGGAGTTAAATCACTTTGTTTCTGTTTATGCAGCCCTAGCCACACCTCCCCTGGCTATGATTGACAGAGCCTGCATGAAAAAAAAACTGGTTTCACTTTCAAACAGATGTAATTTACCTTAAATAATTGTATCTCAATCTCTAAATTGAACTTTAATCACACACAGGAGGCTCTTGCAGGGTCTAGCAAGCTATTAGCATAGCAGGGGATAAGAAAATCTTAATTAAACAGAACTTGCAATAAAGAAAGCCTAAATAAGGCTCTCTTTGCAGGAAGTGTTTATGGAAGGCTGTGCAAGTCACATGCAGGGAGGTGTGACTAGGGTTCATAAACAAAGGTACAATAAAAAGCTGCGCACAAAAAATAAAGTCCAATTAAAATAAAATAAAATAAAGAAAGTCCAATTGGTTTGTTCTTACTGGTGTCCTTGATTGGTGAGGTCTTCTATTTATTGTGGTGGTTTCACTTAATAAAAGAGAAAAAGAGGGACAACCAATGGTGTAGTATGTAAAATTCGAGTCTAGAGGTAAGAATAATGGTATAAAACTCACATTTACCAGAGCTAATGTCCAGCTCTGGAGTGAAGCGCGTACAGCGGTTTAATCCCCGCTTGTGGGATATAAGGCAGGTTCCTCTCCATGAATGGTATCCAATTCTCGGGATAAAACAAACAGAAGTGCCGCCGGACATGTGACCTCTTCAAACCTTCTAAAACTATACTTTCCCACCCTCGTTTTTGATTTTAATATATCACAATCAAGCTGTATTATTATAAAGTATATGCTGATTATGTTATTTTCGAAATTTAAAGCTGTATACATGTTTTTAATTTTGATTGGCTGAACCAAGTTTTGGCGCCAAAATTCAACTAATTATGTTCCTATATAACATCTATGTGCCAGGTAAACTATGTTATTCCATTTGAAAAAGTCCTTTTTGTGACGAAACGCGTTATGGATATTTGAATATTGTGTTTTTTATATATTAAAGTATTATTGGTCATTTGTTTGTGCCAATTATCTTTTTTATAGACACATACTTTTCTCATTTACCCTGGCCTTTTTATTGTTATTTTAATTTTTTTTTAACTGGTTTTAAAAAAAAACTTAAAAATTCCTGGAAGTTTCCTGTACCCAAAGAAATCCGTAGGTGGGGATCAATCCACCCAAGCTATCATCAAAGAGCAGTGCGTCTGCTCTTACTTTGTAAGTACATTTCTTTTATGATTTTATCATTATCTGCCATACAGTGAGCACTATTGGCTGTTTGTTTTATCCCGAGAATTGGATACCATTCATGGAGAGGAACCTGCCTTATATCCCACAAGCGGGGATTAAACTGCTGTACGCGCTTCACTCCAGAGCTGGACATTAGCTCTGGTAAATGTGAGTTTTATACCATTATTCTTACCTCTAGACTCGAATTTTACATACTACACCATTGGTTGTCCCTCTTTTTCTCTTTTATTAAGTGAAACCACCACAATAAATAGAAGACCTCACCAATCAAGGACGCCAGTAAGAACAAACCAATTGGACTTTCTTTATTTTATTTTAATTGGACTTTATTTTTTGTGCGCAGCCTTTTATTGTATCTTGTTTTAAAGGGTTTGAGGGATTCCCTTTTAAGGTTGCTGCCTATAGTTACTTAGCGCTGTCTCATTCCTCTTTTTTATTCATAAACAAAGGGATTTAACTCCTAAATGGCAGAGGATTGAGCAGTGAGGCTGCAGGGGCATGATCTATACACCAAAACTGATTCATTAGGTTAAAGTTGTTCAGGTGACTATAGTGTCCCTTTAAGTCTTCCGTTGTCAATCTAAAGGGTTATTTGTGACAATTAGCTAAAGAATATTTTTAGACAGAATGTCAGTTAAGCTGTGTCGCTCTATAGACTCATCCTACAAATCAAGGGAAAAATAAAATTGTAAAAATTATTGTTAAGACACCTCCCGTGTCTTTAAGCCAAACCGCCGTTTAGTAAACCTTCCCCGGCTGCAGTACAGTCTCTGTTCGCTTACTCGGTAACCCACGAACCAAATGCAGGGGAAGCGGCAATCTCCCGATCGAAATCCACGAACGGCTCCAAACTCCCGAACGGCAATATACGAACTGCTAGGAACCGTCGAACAATAATATCCCCAAAGCGGCTTTCGTTCCATCCAGCAGTCTCTAACGTGAAGAAGAAATCCCCCAATAACGAGACAGAAGCTCCGCATTGAGGGTCAAATAAGATCTGGGTTTACTGTGGGCTACCTGCCCGTATTTATGCAGGTCTCCCACCTGGTGGACACTCCCCTAGGGGACCAAATGGAAGACTTAAAGTACAGACAGATAGCAGGACATTTCTGACACACAGTCACATATTTTACCCACAGTACATTCTGATTCCCTCCCCTCTGTCCTGGAGTTAATTACCAAGTAACTCAATTAACTCCAGGACAAGGACAGTCGCCATCTTAAACATGAAATAATAAAAGACACAAAAATGCATAACTACATGAAGACTGAACATTTCCCATTCGTATTACATGTCCCCAGATAGCCGGGATCTGAGTGCATTTTATTGGCGAATAGCGCTCAGATCCCACACACATAGTTCAATCGCCATGGAGTCAAAGTTCTTACAGTCCTTCGGTACACGAATGACTCCATGGGTGGGCTATCTGGGTTAAGTCTTTTGTGTGTTCTCAATCTCCCGAACGGCCGATGTTCGCATGCTTTCGTGGAGGCAGCCAGGCGTTCCCTTGTTTCAGCGGTGTTCGACAGAAAAAGTGTCCGTTTTCCGTTCCATAGAAATAGAGCCAAACACCGCTGAGCGTTCGCATGATTTAAAATGGCCGCTGCCTCGTGGTCGACATACGAACGACGACCACCCTGAGTTCGGTTTAATTGAGAAGTGTCTGCGGTTAACCACAGCGTTATAATGGTGATCACTTCGTTAACCTGCAGCACACTCCTCACTTGGGTGGCCGTTCGTTCGGCGGTTTTGTTCGGGAAAAAGAGTCATTCGAATGGCTGGGCTATAGAAACCAGCCATTCATACGAACGGGGACAAACAGACGAACGGGCAAAAATCCAGCAGACAGATGGTTCTGTCACACGGCTCCCTCCTTGTGGGACACTCCGGCAGACCCGGCTTGACCCTGTGGCGGGTCAACTTGGGGATGACCGGACTACGAGGTGATGGAAACGTCTGTTTGTCGTGACAACCCATCTGCGTTTCCGTTTAGCTTACCGGGTCTGTAGCTGATGGTAAAATTGTAGGGCTGTAGTGCCAAGCTCCATCTCAGCAGTCTCCCATTGTCTCCTGAGACCCGGTTAAGCCAAACGAGTGGGTTGTGATCAGTCACAAGGGAAAACTCTTGCCCATACAAATAGGGGCTTAACTTTTTCAGTGCCCAGACCAAGGCCAAACATTCCTTCTCCACTGCCGCATAACTCACTTCTCTGGGTAACAACTTTCTGCTGAGATATGCGACAGGGTGCTCTCCTCCATCTTCCCCGACTTGGCTCAGCACAGCCCCCAGTCCATACATGGAAGCATCTGTGTGTACGAGAAAGCGTTTGTTAGGGACTGGGGCAGCCAAGACAGGGGCATTCACAAGAGCCTGCTTCAGTGCCTGGAACGCAGCTTCACAAGCCGGAGACCACAGGACCTGCTTAGGCAAGTTCTTCTTGGTCAGGTCTGTCAGGGGCTTAGCGATAGCGCTGTAGTCAGGGACAAAGCGTCTGTAGTACCCTGCCGTCCCCAAGAAGGCCAATACCTGGGTCTTAGTAGTAGGTGTGGGCCAGTTAGCCACTGCCTCTACCTTGGCTGGCTCTGGTCTCTGGCTCCCACACCCCACTCTGTGACCCAGGTACTGTACTTCAGCCATACCTAGATGACACTTTTCTGGCTTCAATGTCAGGCCAGCGGCCCTAATCTTATCCAGCACTACCCCTACATGTACCAGGTGTTCCTCCCAGGACCCACTGTAGATCGCAATGTCGTCCAAGTATGCACAGGCAAATTCTTGGAAGCCATCCAGGAGTCTATCCACCATCCGTTGGAAGGTAGCCGGTGCATTTTCATCCCAAAAGGCATGACCTTAAATTGGTACAGGCCAAATGGGGTGACAAATGCCGACTTGGGGATAGCATCCTCGGCCAGGGGGATCTGCCAGTATCCCTTGCACAGGTCTATGGTGGTCAGATATCGCCCCCTGGCAATACGATCTAGTAATTCGTCTACCCGGGGCATTGGGTAGGCGTCAGTGGTGGTCCGCTCGTTGAGTCGCCTGTAGTCCACTCAGAACCGGGTGGTCCCATCTTTCTTTGGCACCAGGACTACAGGCGAGGCCCAAGGGCTGTCGGAGTGCTCGATAACCCCAAGTTGGGTCATCTCCTGTGTCTCCTTCCGCATTCCTTCACGGACTGCTTCAGGGATACGGTAGGGGGGCTGTCGCAACGGGGTCTGTCCAGGGGTCTCTACCTTATGCACAGCTAGGGTGGTATAACCTGGTTCCTGGGAGAACGTCGCCTGCTTCTCCCATAACAACTGCTGCGCCTGTACCCTTTCTGTGGGGTTCAACCGGTCCCCTAGCTGTACCAAGGTAGTAAGGTCAGTCTGGGAATCCCTTTCTAATAGATCTGGAAGGGGTAAATTCTCAGAATCATCTGCAGCTGGGGCACACACTGCTGCAATATTCTCAGGTCTCTCCTGGTACTCTTTCAGCATGTTCACATGAAAGGACCGCTGGATCCTCTCATCTGCACAGCTGGCTATCAAGTAAGTAGTGTCGCAGATCTGCGCCACTACCTTGTACGGGCCCTGCCAAGATGCTTGCATCTTGTTGGCCTTCACAGGTTTAAGCACCAATACCTTTTGCCCAACCTGGAAGACCCGCTGTCGGGCACCCTGATCGTACCATCTCTTCTGTCTCCCCTGGGCCGCCTGGAGATTCTCCCTTACCATCAGGGACAGTTTCTCCATGCGGTCCCGGAGTTCCAGAACATATGGCACTATGGGGGTCCCTTCCTGCTCCGTCTCCCCCTCCCAGTGGCCTCTAATGAGATCTAGGGGTCCGCGGACCCTTCTCCCATACAGCAGCTCAAAGGGGGAGAACCCAGTAGATTCCTGGGGCACCTCTCTATAAGAAAATAATAGATGAGGCAGGAATCTCTCCCAGTCTCTGCAAGTGTCTGTAAAGGTCCTCAGCATCTGTTTGAGGGTACCGTTAAAGCGCTCGCAGAGACCGTTAGTCTGTGGGTGGTAGGGTGAGCTAAGTAACGGCTTAATGCCGCACACCTTCCACAGTTGCTGGGTGAGCACAGCGGTGAATTGGGTTCCCTGGTCGGAGAGGATCTCCTTAGGGAACCCGACCCTAGTAAAAATTCTAACCAGGGCATCAGCAACCGTCTCTGCCTCTATGTTAGACAGCGCTACTGCCTCTGGATAGCGGGTGGCATAGTCCACCACGGTAAGAACATACTTCTTACCGGATGGACTAGCCCTGGCCAGTGGACCCACAATGTCAACGGCTATGCGGGCAAAGGGCTCCCCTATAATAGGCATCGATAATAGCCTAGCCTTAGGGTGGTCCCCCCGCTTTCCTACCCGTTGACATGTGTCACACGTGCTGCAGTACATCCGCACAGCCTGGTTAAAGTTTGGCCAAAAGAAGTTCTGTGAAATCCTATAGGCTGTGCGGCGGGACCCTAGATGTCCAGCTAAAGGAACATCATGCCCTATCCGTAGAATCTCCTGCCGGTACTTTGCAGGTACCACTAACTGGCGATTCGGCGGAGAGGCAACACTCTTCTGGGAAGGTTTAGGGATCCTATATAACCTGTCCCCCACCCACTCATACCGTTCCCCATCTATTCCTTCCTCCCCAGCCTCTGCCCTGTCCTTGTATCTTTGGAGGGTCGGATCCGCCCGGGTTTCCCTCCCAAACTCCTCTGGGGAATCCCAGCTTAAGGGGACCTGATCTGGGGTATCAGTCGGGGAAGGAGATCTTACCTGGGTCTCGTCAGCAAGCAGGCTGGTTCCGGCAGCACGGGTCTGGGCACGGGTAGTCACTGGGTTCACGTCTGCAGGGCCCATCGGAGCATAGGCCGAAACCAAAGGGGCCAAATCGTTTCCCAAAAGAACATCTGCGGGCAAGTCCTTCATCACCCCCACATCCACATGCCTAGCGCCCACTCCCCAATCCAAATGTACTCGGGCAACAGGTAAGCGAAACACGGCACCCCCTGCTACCCTTACTGCCACAGTGTCTCCAGTGTGTTGATGCTCTGAGACCAAGTTCTTTTGGAGCAGTGTCATCGTGGCTCCTGTGTCTCTCAGCCCATTCACCACTCTGCCATTTAGCTTCACAGTTTGCCGATGTTGCTGGCGATTATCCTGGTGAGCCGCTTGCACTGGGTCTGCCTGTTGTGTTGCAACTGCTGCCTGCACACGAACCACGATGTCAGCTGAGGGGTTGGGGCCAAAATGTGCCAGCCTTATTTGTACTGCCCGGTTGAATTGTATTTCCTCGGGTGTTAAATCCAAGGTACTGGGCACGTTGACTCTTTCCATTCCCGTTGCTGCATCCATCTCCATTAGCAAAGCAATAATCTCCCGTTTCTTTAGATTGCTTGCTGACCTTCCTCGGCGTTCCAATATGTCCTTAAGTGTAGCACGCCTTAATTCCTCGTACTGCATCTCTTGTAGCTGACCTCCAGTGCTGTAGGATTCATCCCGTCGCTTGCCACCAATTGTTAAGACACCTCCCGTGTCTTTAAGCCAAACCGCCGTTTAGTAAACCTTCCCCGGCTGCAGTACAGTCTCTGTTCGCTTACTCTGTAACCCACGAACCAAATGCAGGGGAAGCGGCAATCTCCCGATCGAAATCCACGAACGGCTCCAAACTCCCGAACGGCAATATACGAACTGCTAGGAACCGTCGAACAATAATATCCCCAAAGCGGCTTTCGTTCCATCCAGCAGTCTCTAAACGTGAAGAAGAAATCCCCCCAATAACGAGACAGAAGCTCCGCATTGAGGGTCAAATAAGATCTGGGTTTACTGTGGGCTACCTGCCCGTATTTATGCAGGTCTCCCACCTGGTGGACACTCCCCTAGGGGACCAAATGGAAGACTTAAAGTACAGACAGATAGCAGGACATTTCTGACACACAGTCACATAATTTACCCACAGTACATTCTGATTCCCTCCCCTCTGTCCTGGAGTTAATTACCAAGTAACTCAATTAACTCCAGGACAAGGACAGTCGCCATCTTAAACATGAAATAATAAAAGACACAAAAATACATAACTACATGAAAACTGAACATTTCCCATTCGTATTACATGTCCCCAGATAGCCTGGATCTGAGTGCATTTTATTGGCGAATAGCGCTCAGATCCCACACACATAGTTCAATCGCCATGGAGTCAAAGTTCTTACAGTCCTTCGGTACACGAATGACTCCATGGGTGGGCTATCTGGGTTAAGTCTTTTGTGTGGTCTCAATCTCCCGAACGGCCGATGTTCGCATGCTTTCGTGGAGGCAGCCAGGCGTTCCCTTGTTTCAGCGGTGTTCGACAGAAAAAGTGTCCGTTTTCCGTTCCATAGAAATAGAGCCAAACACCGCTGAGCGTTCGCATGATTTAAAATGGCCGCTGCCTCGTGGTCGACATACGAACGGCGACCACCCTGAGTTCGGTTTAATTGAGAAGTGTCTGCGGTTAACCACAACGTTATAATGGTGATCACTTCGTTAACCTGCAGCACACTCCTCACTTGGGTGGCCGTTCGTTCGGAGGTTTTGTTCGGGAAAAAGAGTCATTCGAATGGCTGGGCTATAGAAACCAGCCATTCATACGAACGGGGACAAACGGACGAACGGGCAAAAATCCAGCAGACAGATGGTTCTGTCACAATTATGTTTTCTCAGAAAGCAGTTTACATAATGTATTTGTGCAGCCCTTTTCTTTAACACCCCATTCAGCAACAGTATTATTGTATAGGATATTACAATAATATCCCCATTTACCTCACATGTATAAAAAAAGAGTGGATCATGTTTCTAAATAATTTATTGAAACTTAAATTTTTATTTTTTTTTTTAATTAAAGAGACACTGTAGGCACCCAGACCACTTTAGCTCATTGAAGGGGTGTGGGTGCAGTGTCCCTTTTGCACTCTTCCAAAGAAACTGCAGACAGCCACTAGAGGGCTTCCTGAATTGAAATGGAACTTTGTTATGAGATGCTGGACGTCCTCACACTCTGCATTTGGACATCCAGCTTCAGATTTTTCCCCATAGGAAAGCATTGATTCAATGCTTTCCTATGGAGATGTCAAAACCGCTTGGGGCATTTGCCGCGCATGCGCTTTCGCACCCGCTTGGTCGCGGGCCGAGCTTCGGTACTAGGAAAAAGTAAATAAAGTGTTAACGTTTTATTTACCTGGGCGGGGCCACGCAAGAGAGGTGGGGCAGTGAGGGGGTAGAGAGGCTATAGTGCCAGAAGATACTACACTGCTCAAAATAATAAAAGGAACACTTAAACAACACAATGTAACTACAAGTCAATCACACTTCTGTGAAATCAAACTGTCCACTTAAAGGACCACTATAGTGCCAGGAAAACACACTCTTTTTCCTGGCACTATAGTGCCCTGAGGGTGCCCCCACCGGCCCGGCTCTGGAAAGGGTAAATGGGTTTAAACTTACCTTTTTCCAGCGCTGGGCGGAGAGCTCCCCTCCTTCTCCGATCCGCCCCGTCCCGTCCCGTCCGCTGAATGCGCACGCGCGGCAAGAGCTGCGCGCGCATTCAGCCGGTCGCATAGGAAATTATTTACAATGCTTTCCTATGGACGCTGGCGTGCTCTCACTGTGAAAATCACAGTGAGAAGCACGCAAGCGCCTCTAGTGGCTGTCAATGAGACAGCCACTAGAGGATTAGGGGGAAGGCTTAACCCATAAACATAGCAGTTTCTCTGAAACTGCTATGTTTATTAAAAAATGGGTTAACCCTAGCTGGACCTGGCACCCAGACCACTTCATTAAGCTGAAGTGGTCTGGGTGCCTAGAGTGGTCCTTTAAGTAGCAACACTGAGTGACAATCAATTTCACATGCTGTTGTGCAAATGGGATGCACAACAGGTGGAAATTATAGGCAATTAGCAAGACACCCCCAATAAAGTAGTGGTTCTGCAGGTGGTGACCACAGACCACTTCTCAATTCCTATGCTTCCTGGCAGATTTTTTGGTCACTTTTGAATGCTGGCAGTGCTTTCACTCTAGTGGTAGCATGAGACGGAGTCTACAACCCACACAAGTGGCTCAGGTAGTGCAGCTCATCCAGGATGGCACATCAATACGAGCTGTGGCAAGGTGGTTTGCTGTGTCTGTCAGCGTAGTGTCCAGAGCATGGAGGCGCTACCAGGAGACAGGCCAGTACATCAGGAGACGTGAAGGAGGCCGTAGGAGGGCAACAACCCAGCAGCAGGACCACTACCTCTGCCTTTGTGCAAGGAGGAACAGGAGGAGCACTACCAGAGCCCTGCAAAATGACTTCCAGCAGGCCACAAATGTGCATGTGTCTGCTGAAACGGTCAGAAACAGACTACATGAGGGTGGTATGAGGGCCAGACGTCCACAGGTGGGGGTTGTGCTTACAGCCCAACACCGTGCAGGGCGTTTGGCAAATTCGCCACTGGCACCCTGTGCTCTTCACAGATGAAAGCAGGTTCACACTGAGCACGTGACAAACGTAACAGAATCTGGAGACGCCGTGGACAACATTCTGCTGCCTGCAACATCCTTCAGCATGACCGGTTTGGCAGTGGGTCAGTAATGGTGTGGGGTGACACAGCCCTCCATGTGCTTGCCAGAGGTAGCCTGACTGCCATTAGGTACAGAGATGAGATCCTCAGACCCCTTGTGAGACCATATGCTGGTGCGGTTGGCCCTGGGTTCCTCCTAATGCAAGACAATGCTAGACCTCATGTGGCTGGAGTGTGTCAGCAGTTCCTGCAAGACGAAGGCATTGATGCTATGGACTGCCCCGGCCGTTCCCCAGACCTGAATCCAATTGAGCACATCATGTCTCACTCCATCCACCAACATCACGTTGCACCACAGACTGTCCAGGAGTTGGCAGATGCTTTAGTCCAGGTCTGGGAGGAGATCCCTCAGGAAACCATCTGCCACCTCATCAGGAGCATGCACAGGCGTTGTAAGGAGGTCATACAGGCACATGGAGGCCACACACACTACTGAGCCTCATTTTGACTTGTTTTAAGGACATTACATCAAAGTTGGATCAGCCTGTAGTGTGTTTTTCCACTTTCATTTTGAGTGTGACTCCAAATCCAGACCTCCATGGGTTGAAAAATTTGATTTCCATTTTTTTCAGTTTTGTGTGATTTTGTCGTCAGCACATTCAACTATGTAAAGAACAAAGTATTTCAGAAGAATATTTAATTCATTCAGATCTAGGATGTGTTATTTTTGTGGGGGTTTTTTGAGCAGTGTATAAGTACCACAGTTTTGTATTCCTGGTACTTCTAGTAATTTTTTTTTATTTTTTATTTTTTAAAGGGCTACAGGGTGAGCCAGTTGGTAAGACTAATAATACCCTCTTCCTTTTTTGTGTATTGAAAAAATTGTTACCAAAATAGTCATGCAAAGTCACCATAAATTGTGTATGAAAAAAAAAAAAGTCTTTCTTTCGATTAGCCATTTTCAACAATTAAGATTAATATTTAACTATGGGTTTGAAGCAGAGCTTTACAAAAAGGGTGGGGGGGGGTGTTGTCCCTTTTAGCCACTAATGATGTTTCTGGTCATTCTGAATAAGGTACACCAGACACCTGAACTGGATGTCTTTCTCTGTGGTGAAATAGGTCAAATAGGAATGAATGACAGAATGTTCAAAACTAGAATGGGAGCTGACAAAAGCTAGAGTGTGAGCTGAAAAATCAGGACATTATTTCTAAGCTGCCACCACTCCCTCATTTTCAAGCCCACCTACACAAATCTTAGATCAAAACATTCAGCTATCCCTGCTGCCACTAAACATGTCCACAGCTAAGCCATAGTCCTGATAGTTTTCACAATATGACCATTTGTTTGCAACTCACGCCGTCCATTGACATTCATTGAAACTTCACTCTAGCCAGCTCAAACTTGAAGGGCAATTTCTAAACTGCGACTGTGCCTTCCTTTAATATTTCAGAGACATACGATGCATAAAAATGTAGGTCTGGGTCTTGTGATTCTCACAATATAAAGCTTTTCACTGTAGGATTTATAGTCTTTAAAACTACGACCATTTGAAGATGGCAACCGCCTGTAAAGTGAGCAATTTGGAGCAGTTTGTTTTTAACCGCTCTTCTCTGCCCTTCCTGTAGAGTGAGTTGCCATAGGAACCCAGGTGTGTGAGCAGCCAGCAGAGTGTTCCGGAACACAGAGGCTGCTACATGAAACATTCTCTAAATGGCTGTCAATCCTACAGTTTTGATAACACAAAAGTGAGCACTATCACATTTAATAAATATATTTCCATGTTAGTCAATTCGTTATACCTGTAACAGAAAAACAGTAACATACAATGTTACAACAATACAGCTAATCAATGTTTCTAATAATACGTTCTATTTCTTCTAGGTTTTTTTTAGTTGTCCTGGCCGGTTATCCGTTTCTTCCTTTTTATGTCGGAGTCCGAAAAAAACTGCAGATCTTCATCAGCATGAGGTCAACAATTCACTCCATAAAGTTACTCTGCCCAGTCCAACCTTTCCACAGTTACTCAAGCCACTCCGCCCACTCCAGTTATAGACTACTGGTGGAGGCAAGAACACTTCACACAATTTCCCCAGAAATTGTAGCTTTTCTAGTTGAATTTGTTCTGGTAAGTAGAATCATTACCTTCAGGCTTTCTGCTGTAAACGCTGTCTTTTCAGAGAAAACGCAGTGTTTACATTACAGCCTAGTGATAACCTCACTGGTCACTCCTCATATGGCTGTTAGAGATCCTTCCTGGGTCATGGCTGCCTAAAATGCATCCAAACATTCAGTATCTCCTCCCTCTGCATGCAGACACTGAACTTTCCTCATAAAGATTCATTGATTCAATTCATCTCTATGAGGATATGCTGATTGGCCAGAGCTGTGTTTGAATCATGCTGGCTCTGCCCCTGATCTGCCTCCTTGTCAGTCTCAGCCAATCCTATGGGGAAGCACTATGATTGGATCAGGCTACCACTTCTGATGATGTCAGCACACAGATTGTTTTTCTGAGTCTAATAGCATGCAGTTACAACTTCAGGCTTTAATACAGTAAGATTTTTGCTATCTTTATGGAGGCATGAGGGGCCCAGGGGGCTAAATAGTGGGTTGAATACTATAGGGTTAGGAATACATGCTTGTGTTCCTGGCACTATAGTGATCCTTTAATGCCTAAGACAAAACTCAACTTTACAGCAGCTGTCAAAGTCTTACTCCAACCAAAAACAACCTGTTTTAAATAAAACACTGGTGGTGATAGTGGGTTTGCCATGTGTGTCCAGCCCTTTAAATCCATGGAGAACACTGTGGCAGATCGCACTCTGCCACAAAGCTTCTGGCCTGGCAGGTACTCAAGAGAGACACCGACGGGGTCTCCCATTATCGCACCCTGCCAATTTTGATTGATGCTGGGCTTTGCAAGCTACACAGCGCCAATCACAGTATTATTGACATGCTGGAGTTTCACCATCACTGTTACATTTTTGCAATACTGAAAACTGCATTACAGACATTTCCTTATTTTTTTTGAGAATTGAGAATGCTTTCCTATGAACTGGCTGAATGCGCGCGCAGCTCCTGCGCATTCAGCCGAAGAGGGTGGAGAGCTCCCCGCCCGGCGCTGGAGAAAGAAGTTTAACCCCTTCTTCTCCCCAGAGCCCGGCGGGAGGGGGTCCCTGAGGGTGGAGGCACCCTAAGGGCACTATAGTGCCAGGAAAACTAGTGTTTTCCTGGCACTATAGTGGTCCTTTAATGTTAAGGATACATATAGAATATTACAAAATTCTGTCCTTTAAAAAACAATATAGAATACGTATGGGAGCACTTAAAAAGAAACCCTTAATTTACAGTTGAACACACGTATTCTTCTATTGTCGCCAGCATGCTAAAGACAGGTGCCTAATATGCACAAAATTAACATTAGCCAGCCCAGAAACCTCACTTCAGGCTAGCTATTAGCACTGCAGGAGGTGGAGATAAATTGCCAGTAGCAAAGAGCTTTTACTCTGTATGTAAAGCTTTTCAGACTGACACACACTACACATACAGACTTCAGAAACTTTAATTGACAAAGGTGCTTGAATTGGTTATACTTATTGGAGCAACCTTTAAGTCTGGAAGGTGGGGAGAGACAATTTTATTGTTTTTGCAGTCACCTACAGGGCACAGATGCCACAGCATGAGGGTGGTCCCAGAGCAGGCACAGAGCAAGGGGTACTTGTAGGGCAATAGAGAACTGTCCTGATGCAGACTTGTCTGGAAGTGGAATTGACATACCCAAACAGCTTAAAATCACTTGGGGCTCAAAGAAATAATGGGGTACCTATATTTGAAATCATACATCTTTGCATTTCTTAGAGAGCTGGCACTTACACTTAAACTCAACCATAGGTAGCCAAGCAAACAGCGTTCACAAAAATAATTGTACCTTGAACTGTTCTTTTTTATAGGACTGCAGAGTCTCCCTCAGTTTAACTGCAAGGAAATAATTAGAAAAAAAGTTATAAAAGCTACATTGTGCAATTAAAAGTGAAGGATAGTATAATAAGCAGATTAACAGTTTCTGTATATTCTGTAATTTCCCAATAAAGCAATCTAACCAGTTTCAAAGCAAATAGTACTTGGCCTTCACTGCAGATGCCATGAAAAGGGAAATACCCTAAGAGAACAAATATCCTGTATAAAAACACAATACAGATAGGGTAAACATCGCTTATCAACAAGTACAGAGCTTTAATCATGCAAATAAAAAAATAAAATAAAAAAGGCATAATTTATTTTAACCCTTTTCCTTCCTAATTGTGATAACTAGACTATTCAATACAGCATTGACAGCCTTGTAAGAAACCTGTGTTTTTAAACTCTTCGGAATGGAGTTCCTTTGGTGCAGTCCGGGTAGCATGCGAATTATCAGCTGCTGCTCTTTCAAAAGTCCCGGCTTGTTGGTAGGCTCCGCCCCCTTCTCAACGTGTTTGTGTCTACGCGTTTCTCTGCTCACAGACGGCTTCGTCAGGACGTAAAGTGCTAACATCCTGACGAAGCCGCCTGAACGGAGAAACGCGTAGAAATGGAAACACGTTGAGAAGGGGGTGGAGCCTACCAACAAGCCGGGACTTTTTAAAGAGCAGCAGCTGATAATTCGCATGCTACCCGGACTGCACCAAAGGAACTCCACTGACCCCTTAACATAGGAGACATCTCCCAGCTTGTTTTTATATTTGATATTTGCTACATATTGGTAATAAAATTAATACCCAGCTGATCAAGTAATTACATGTGACATTTAGCACTATTTAAGAAGTGCCAGGTAATCTATACAGATCTGTTCTATGATCTTTTTATTTTTCTCTTGCATGCAGAGTATGAATTGGAATACCATCCAGTGAGAAATATAAGTATTTTTCTTTTCCTCTTGAAAGCTCTGTTGCATGTGGGAGAGGGGCTTACTGTAGTTTGATATCGCTCCACTTCTTAATACTATACTTTGAATACTCTATATGTGGTGAAGGGATCACTTTGAAGTGTGGTAGCTAGTATCTAACAAATATTTGGGAACTTATATAACCTATAAATAGCTCTATTTTTGCCCCTATAAAGTCTTTATATACTAAGCGCTCCAGTATTGTGCGTTTTATTTTGTAGACTCATATACATGGTGATATTCCACTTGGTATTCTATAAAGCAAACACCATGGCATTTGAAATTCAGGGCATATGTATCCCTGCTTTAGCCCAGTTTATTCAGGAGATGCTAAATGTGCGAAGCACCAATATGTCCACCTGTTGTAGAGTGGTTTAGTCATCTGTGCTCTGTTGGTATACAATAAATACAAGACTATGCAAATTAGACATTAAACTTGCAGGCATATGCATATCATTTTAAAAAGAACATTTTGAAACGGCAAATTGAGCACTGTTGCCAATATGCTTATAGACCAGTAGATTACCTAGAGAAACAGACTAGGATTTATCCAGTAAACTAGGTTTTGAGGATAACTGTCAAGGTAATTACCCCAAAATCCTGCATGTCAGGTGGTGATTCTAACGTGCAAGTTTCCTATGACAGTAACACATACTGTGAGTATATTACATTTATTTAGATATCCCTTACTCCACAGCTTGTGCAATTCTTGCATCCGGACAAAATACATCATACACATTACAAGTCAGTTAATCATCGCTAGCATTGGCAAGTCCTTTAACATACATTTAAAAAAATTTTTTTTTTTTTTTTTAAATTAAGTATGCAAGTAGTTGTAAGCCATTTTGCTAAAACTTGAGAGAATGTATTGATTAGTGTTGGGAGAACATCTGTGTGAGATCCAACAGCCTTCATAGACTATAAACATAGATCTAGAGTGTGTTAGGTCAAGGAGATGTAAGCATATCACAGATGTTGCTGTACATTAAATGGTGCGGGTTATCAAATGAGGAACAACGTTTTATTCACTATACTGAGAGTTGTGGAAAACAGACAAGGGAAATACCCTTAGAATTTATAAGATGTCAAGAGGTGAAACTCTAAACTAGAATAACATTTCTAAAGTTTAAGTTTCCTCTGACATTAAAACATACCATGATTGTATTGTTTTAATAGCCCATTATGCATAGTACATGTTACAATCTAAGTAACATAACCAAAACAGCAAGCAGTAGTGGTTATGTTCCAGGAATGTCGTCCCCCTCTCCCCCCAGTAATGCATGAAACCATTTTAGAACGGTTTGACTTCTTACCTGGAGTCTGCCAGGCATCACTCCATATCATTTCAGTCAGAGAAAGAAGTTTTTATTCATCATGATTAGATCAGATCACAATGAAAAATATACAAATTATTTTTCCCTCTACAAGGGAAGTAGTAAGCAGGCCACGTGGAATAGTCACAAACCATGGAATGTATCGCTATTTAAATAATCGTAGTATAGTCACAGTACGAGTTAATATCAGAGTAAACCTGCACATTTGAAATGTTACGCTAGTCCAGATTATGAAACCACCTGACATTTGCCGGAATTTCAGATTTAAAATAAACGTTTCCAAACAAGATTTTGTCAGCCTCATAATACCCAGTGAGAAGGTCTCATCCTCTCAGCGGCAGTGGTCTTATTTGAGGTCATTGGACAGTAAAATAACCCCATGGAGTAAAAAATAAAAATAAAACCGTATGATGGCAATAAAAGTGGAATCTAAGCAGTCATATTATATCTACTTTTTCTGTAGTGTAGTTCGAAAAGCACTTCATCATATACAGAGTGCACAATGTTGGGGGTTGGCCGAGGACAAAACTAAAATCAACCATATAGCCGAGTGACCATTTGCCAAAGTGAGTTGGCAATATATTTTCTGCTTCAATTTGGTCATATCTAGAGTTTCTTTTATAACATAAGTTGCCTTGGTTATATGGGCACACACAGTTACTATATCATCGCCTTTAAATTTTTTACTTGACAGGAATTAACTGTCTATAAGGGGAATGTGCTATAAAACATTTGTCTCATTACAATTCTGAAACCAATTTGGATGCGCTACACATCTGATAGTTATAGCACAATATTTCAGAAACTCTCTCTTGGTGATACTGAAATAATGTGATGAATCCTGACACCTAGTGGCCAAAACAAAGTTATTATAGCTTGCTGCCTCCATTGAATGCTTTTATTAAAGGATCACTAAAGTCAACCAGGACATGGGTTGGTTCACTAAGCCAAGTTGTATATATCTGATAGCATTCACATTGTGGCCATTTTCAGTTTAAAAAGCAGTTCAAATCATCATAGGTGTTGATTTCAACACATCTTTGGAGGGAAACCAATAAACCCATAATCCCATGCTGGGCAGGGAATTATAGGACATGATTTATCCCCATAGACAATAATGACGGTTCCTCATTGGAGAGTTTCATTTTAGTTTGCAGCTGCAGTTAGACCAATTGATATTGTTTTCTAGTACCTCTGTAACTATATACTTTACTGGATATGTTAATACCAAGATAAATAAAACCAGCAATACATAAAAGTAGAATAAAGATGCACCCAGTACTTCAAAATGACCACAGAGAGACACCTGCACGATCGAGAGAGTATGTACTTCTATCTTTTGTATTATGACAGACGTATAGCTCTTCATGTCAAGTGAACGCTGGAGCAAAGTTTAGAACAAAGTATTATTTCCACAAAGGTCTTATGTTTATTTTATTTTTTTTAAATTCTTTATTTTTGATTCGACACATATTACGGCATGGCAGTATTCAGTGGCTCGCGGAGGGGCCAACAGTGATTGAGACAAACAATGCATTATACAGAAGATAAGCGGTTTTATAAGTTAATGCCAGGTTCTGTTAAGCCGTGCAGTGTCGCCGTTTCTGTTTTGATTGGCTTTTAATGCCCACAGATAAAAATAAAGTAAAGTATAAAATGTAATACAGAACAAAACTAAACAATACTAGACAAATAGTAACTAAATAGAGCTACCTAAGGTAAGAGCCTCCGATATAGTTCCCTACTATGAGCTTCCAACCCACCAGCAAGCCCTAGATGTCTGTTAGTGCGTTTGATTTAGGTTTCTGCGTTCCGCATCCAGGGCCCCAGTGTCATATACGCATGTCGTTTACAGTAGCTTTTATCGGCTTATCCTTCCCCCTCCTGTGTGTGTCCCTATCCCGGATGACCTCTCAGGTAGGGATTTTGATGCCTTCCCAACTTTGTGTTTTTTGGACCCTGAGGGTCTATCAGCGCGAGTCCTGGGAGCGTTGTCGCGAGTTGGGTTGGCCCTGCATGTTCGCTACTGGAGCCCTTGTCGGCTTCTATACTGTTTTCTTCCCTATCGGCTGTCTCCTATTAGTTTGTCTCAGTGCGGTCTACGTGGGACCCTGGGATGAGCGTGGGCGGGCAGTCTATGCACGACATCCTCTATGCCACATGTGGGAGGAAGGGTAGGGGAAGGACGGGGGGGTAGAAGGGGGAGGGGGATAATTGTTGAGGCGCGCGTCTGTCCGTGGTCCGGTCCCCTTCTCTTCCCGGTGGGGTGGGGTTTTATTCGTTAGTATATTTTTCCCAGGGCTTCAAAATTTTATGAAAGACTTTTTCCGTGTTTCGAATTTGAGCTGTGAGTTTGTCCATCAAGTATGTGTCTTTGATTTTTACTATCACGTCGTTATCAGTGGGTGTGGTGTGTTATAACCACGTTTGAGCTAGGGCCCTTCTGGCTGCAAGTGTGACTTTGTTAAGGAGTACTTGCTCCCTCCTGGGGAGGCCATCTATGGGTCTGGATAACAGGATGGACCAGGGGTCCAAGTCCACTGGTCTCTCCAGAATGTCAGTGATTATTGACTGTATGCGCTTCCAGTATTTGTGGGCTTCTGGGCACTCCCACCACATATGTATGAAGGTGCCTTTGCTGTCACATCCCCTCCAGCACGTGTCAGTCGTGGTTTTCCCCATTCTATATAATTGTACTGGTGTGGTGTACCATCGCATGAGCATTTTGTAAGATTGTTCCTGTTGGACTACGCAAATCGACATCTTTGCAGTCACTTCCCAAATGTCCACCCAGTCCTCCCCCTCCAGCTCCCCGCCCAGATCTGTCTCCCACTGGGTTATGTACCTTGGGTCTTGAGCGTCTTTGTCAGGGGCGCTGAGTTGGGTGTATATGGCAGTTATGAGGCCTTTGGGTACCGTTTCAGCGTTACATAGCTGTTCAAAAAATGTCATCTGGGTGTGGGCTGCTTGTTTAACCACCGGGGTTTTAGCAAAATTTCGTAGTTGTATGTATCTAAATACATCTCTCGTGGTTAGGGGCACCAACGTTTGTAGAGTGTCGTATGTTTTGAAGGAACCTCCCTAGTACATGTACCCATATCTCTGTATCCCCGTACTTTCTATCCCCTTAAAATCTCGTGTGCTCAGCCCGGGCTCGAATGCTTTGTTTTGTAAATATGGAGTAAGCGGCGAGGGTGTATGTTTTAGGGCATATTTAGTGGCAGTCTTATCCCATATACGGATGGAATTAAGGATCGCCGGACAAGTGGTAAAATCTAAAATTACTATGAGAAAAAAAAAAAAAAAAAGGCTTCACAATTTAAAGGGGCACTCCAATCCCCTAGTTTAGTGTTGCTTTGTTCAGGTTTGTCTTCTTAAAACACAGTTCTTTGGTTGGAGTAACCCTTTAACCCTTCAATGATTAGCCATAGATGCCACAGTAACCATTTAGTTTACATACCGGAGAGTTTTTTCCTTTTCTGTTCTTTATAAGACAGTTCTGGGGCAGCTTCCTCTTCCTCTTCCTCTTCCGACAATTCTTCTTCCTCAGATACCCATGAAGAAGTTGCAGAATTGCCTAGTTGGCGGGACCAGTATTCCCGTCTTAGCCACTCCATCACACAGTCCCAGCCTTGAAAGATAAAAAAAAAAAAAAAAATTAAAAGACACAGAGTAATGTTTTTAAATAAATAAAAGGAGTATGTAGATGTATTTAGAATGATGAACTAATGACTGTCATAAGAGGACCAGGACCTACACCAGCATTCCATAGACTGGGATCATACCATTCCAAGCGAATACATATGGAGCTGATGTTAAGCTCAAAACAATTCTAAGTGTATTTCTTTTTCTTTTCATCTAATATCACCAGCATTGAAAATACTGCACAAGATTTTGTTTTCTCGTCTTATTTCATATCATCCTATACTTAATTGGATTTGAGGACATTACTGACGGCGCCGCTTCCCTACATCACCTTTTCACATTTATCTATATTACAACACTCTTATTTCATAGTTCACGGTTACTGTATAGTACTTAGCCATATTGGAGAGCCCCTACATCAACAAAGCTATTGTGGAAATAGATTTACCATCTTTCCCTACCCTTAATTTATTTTTTTTTGGTTCACCTTGCCTACTTCTCCTGTGTATGTTTCTGCCACTTTTATTTCTTATTAAGACTAGTCCTACCTTTGCGAATTTCCCGTAATGTGCCAACGGTAGCTTGCTGGTACACACCACTACTACCATACAAGTTTTTAAATGGCAATATTTTGTAATTTATGCATGTGCTATAAGCCTTATTAACAATAACTTCTTATGCTTCACAGGTCAATATTGAACTTCCTTGTCTTTTTAAACATTACAAAAATATTTAAAAAAAAAACAACAACAAAAAAAAAAAAAACACACACACCCACCCACCTCTAAAAGGTTTACACCAACCATCATGACCACTTTGTTTTTTTTGTATTTTTAATATTCTTTATTTTTGCTGTGCAGAGTAATACAAAGATGCCTGCAATGCCATGACAGCAGACACAAGCTTTTACATATCAACAAAAGAAAATAAAAAGCATGGCATTTGATTTTCAGCACAATTTTGTAAATATAACAGTAAACAAAAGGTCTAACATGTCTAAACAATAAGTTTGTACAAGAATAAGTGGCAAGAGACACACAGACATGAGAGTCACTTAAGTTAGATACCACTGGGTCATAGTGCATGAAATTGATATCGTACTGATTTAAATGAGGCTGAGGCTTATAAAAAGTAGATGGAGAGAGTCCCAAAGAAAATGCAGTCCAGGTATGTTGATGTGAGCGCTGCTCAGTCAGGACTTCTCCATCAGAGTGACTGTGCTTGGGGGATCTTTCCTGACGGCTTGCAGCCAATGTGAGTAAGATGTGTGAACAAAAAAAAAACATGGATAGTGCGCTTTGGTCTCAATATGTTATAGCCGCTTCACACTCGAGGGGGAGTCTCCCTCACCCCCTGTGATAATACAGTAGTGAAAAATTATATATGCCTAGGTTTGAATAAATTTCACTCCTATGGCACATATAGTGGAGCGCTGAAGTAATAGATATAGCAAATATTTATTCCCTTACATTCAGTATTAACGTTGGGTATTATTCATATGAAAAAGAGAAAAAAAATAAAAAAAGAGTGTAACAGCATAAATCTGTAAAGATATTGTACAGATAATTTGGGTGAATAATGTCAACTCACATTGATAAGAGCCTATAGTAGGACAGGCTCAAATCGCACATGTTTAACCCTTTCACGTATAACGAGTTATAGGTATACATTTTTCCACACAGTTGTGTAACTTTGTAACATAAGCTGGAGAAGAGAACTACAAAACTGACAAACAACCAGAATACAGTCAAATAAGGATTTATTTTAAAATCAATTTCTTTTTTATTTCGGCAGGATTCAAATGAAACCACATTAATCTACAATCAGACATTTCTATTTGCAAAAGTATGTGCTGTTTAATACACAGGTCTCCAATACTCTACTGCTCTACTGGACAGTGTTAACACACATTCAAATTCTTACCTTTCCTACACATGCTCAGTTTGGGCAATTTGCCATGAGTGGCCTCATGCCGTAGGTTCACTATCCATTCTGGGATATTCAGCTATAGCAAAAAAGACAAAATCATTATTACAGATGTATTAAATACCCACAAATCTCTGTATGCTCTATAATGAGACTATGGACATGGTTACAAACAGTCATCTCTAACAATGGTAGTTGGTGAATTCAAGTGTTAGGGTTTTTTTTTTTGTTTTTGTTTTTTTTTTAAACATAAGCCCTGAATACCAGATGTTTGCTAGGAGTGGACGGCACAGACTGTGAGGAAGATAGATATATATTTACTTAGGGAATTGCACAAAGCGAGGAGAGAAATCCCCCCTAACATGCTGTCTCAGGGCAGCATAGGAGCAGCAATCCATCACAGATGTGGTGGCATAAGAATAGCAAAACCCTAGTGTTATTTTAAGGATTTCTTATATCTCTTTGTAGGATCTCAGCTTTTTTGGGGGTTATATGCATCATATTTTAGTTATTTCAAGTTGGAGTGAGAAAGTAATTAGTAAGTTTTTTTTAGATTACCAACACTACTTTTTAATTATAAATAGCAACACTTATTGTAAAATTAATTCCCAGCCTGCTAATGGGGCAAATCACAGTCCATATGAAGTAAGACATGTCTACTGGAGGTATAAAAGACCACCTAAACCTACTTCACTCCATGTAGTAACAAGTCATGTAAGACAGTGTAGATGTAAAGATTTTTGTCACATACATCTACTCAGTGGGAAAGTAAGGGTTGCTGAAATGGGTTATGGAAAAAGGAATTTACATGGGAGACTTTAGTGGTCCTTTAAAAACACAGTTTCTACACTACATGCCAAATTGTATTATGTTTTTAATACGCGTTTTAAACAAAAACAAAAAACTACATGTGCAATTTTCAAAAATCCCAAAAGGGATGAAGTCTCACCTCGTTGGCCAAGCGTCTCAAAGGAATAGCTACAGCTTTCTGCTTCTTCTCCGTGAATAAGTTTACAAACCTGTAAAAATTGAAAGATGCATAAAAAAGTTATTTTGCCAACAAGAAAAGGTGTCTATTTAACCATAACAGTCTTGTCTTATAAAGATGGGAACAGTAAAAGATATTGCCAACAGCATGAACTGAAGATCTGTATTAAAGGCAGACTACAGTCACCAAAGCAACTTTAGCTTAAATAAGCAGTATTTGTGTATAGATCATGCCTCTGAAGTTTTACTGCTAAATTCACTGCCATTTAGAAGTTAAGTCACTATTGTTTCAGTTTATGCAGTCCTAGCCATACCTCCTCTTGCTGTAACTGACACAGCCTGCATGAAAACAAAATGGTTTGATTTTAATCAGAATTAACTTACTTTAAAAGTTTTATCTCCTGCTCTACAATTTGAAATTTATACAGGATACTCGTTGGGGTCTATCAAGCTACTAACCGAGCAGAAAATAAGAAATTCCTATTCGAACAAAATAATGTGCAAACATTAGATGACTCTCTACAGGAAGTGTAAGTGTAAATAATAAGTGACCACCTCATTTGTTCCAGACCAACCTCAATCCAAATGGAAACATTTGGCTCCATCTTTCCTTATGTACCTGCCACAGAAATAATAACTGCATCTATGAATATGTTCTTTTCCCCATCCTATAGACAGGTCACACACCCCACCCGCGATCCAATAGGACGGACATCACAATTCCCTCCCCTATGGTCAAGCCATGCCACTCTTGTTTGGGCTTGTTTAGAAGATGGCGCTTGTCACATTCCAAATATAACAAAAACAAGGCTTAATTATTTTTCTGTGGGGTAAATATTAATGTTTTTCCTTCCTTTGGATATGATACTGGAACAAGGCTAATGATCAATAACATATCAAAAGAGATTGCCTTATCAAATACAAGGTACATGCCAAATGGATGAAGAGGAATGCAGACTTTTTTCGCCCCCAAGTGTAGAATCGCACACCTTGCAGAGGCTTGATTAATTCACATCCGTATGGTAAAATCCTTTTCACTTCCCTAAGTCATTTAAACTACCCCCTTCTGTCATCTGACCTCGGTTTGGGGGTCCCATCTTCAAAAGATTCAACCTCTTTTGATCTCCATACAATCAAATTAACACCTTTTGACATGGTCAATACCATATCTGCCAGGCAGGCAGGTCCTTAATGCACTACACAAAGTACATTAAAAGGACAATATTCCATAGTGCAATAATAATTTATGCACCCTTGCCGTGACAATACCTACCACAAGACTGAATGCTAGGAACTGCAATTGCCAAAATGTGCAATGCCCGCATGGATTGAACAGAACTATATCATGAATGCACTTGCCATTACTGACTGTGAATTGGAAAATTATAAAGGAAGTGCACTTTGAGCACGAACTAGGGGATGGCTGTTTAAAATGGATTTGAACAGCAAGTTTATCCTTCCTTCTGATTAAAAATGTTGCATTCCAGCCAACGGCATCTTGGACAAGGTTATTCCACATATATGTTTGCCTGATATTGACATTTGTTTTATACAAGATTAAAAAATAAATTACTAATTTTAATTGTATATAATCTTTTTGATTACTTTGCTATTCAACAAATATAAAGAAGATAATGGTCACCCTTAATTGGCACTGTGGTATCTTTTAACTTGGAACCAGTTTTCTGAGGCTCCATGCAAGGCAAACTGCTGTTTAGATGGACACTATAGTAACCCAGACCACTTCATCTCATTGAAGTGGTTTTGGTCCAGTGTCCCTGTCCCATTTAATCCTGTAATGTAAATGATTGAAGTTTTAGAGAAACTGCAATAATTACCTTGGCAGGACTAAGTCCTGTGGGTGTCAGACATGATGAAAAAGCAATTAACAGGCTTTCACTAGCTGCCAAGTAACAGGTTTGATGGCATTGTCAGGCATATTTCGATGTAAAGATAGTATTATCAAGATATACATACAAAAATAGATGAGATTTGCACTTACCTGACAAGAGCCAATCCATAGAGTAGCACAAGCTCCTCTGCCCCTATTCCACCACTTACGTCCAAAATCTTGCAGCGCACAAGATCTGCAGTGCATTCCACAGCAAGAGGCATTTTGTTCCCATACCTGCAACACACAAATAAATAAATAAAAAAAATAAAATAAAACCCAGTAGGTCTACATGAACAAGAAAAGTTAAAACAAAGATAAATACCATATTCATAAGATTTCATTTGGTAGGTAGCATTGTGTTGACAGAGTAAGCTCATTCAACAGACTAATAGGTTGTGTGCATATTTAAAAGGACCACTTTAGTGCCAGGAAACACACTCGTTTTCCTGGCTCTATAGGGTCCTTGGGTTCCCCTCACCTTCAGGCAGTGACAGATCCAGAGCCTGATCTCGGGAGGGGCACTTGTAGATTATTTAAAGAAATAATGCAGACACAATAACCACTACAGCTCAGTGTAACGGTTATGGTGTCAATAGTGCTGGGACTCCCTGCCAGAGTAAGTAGTCAAACTCTTTAAGAACAGTTTGACAACTTACCTGAGGTCTGCTGGGAAATGGGGCTGTAGTAGGGCATATGAGAAGTGGTGTGTGTGTGTGTGTGAGTGGTTCAATGTGTAAGGGGTGCAGTGTGTGAGTAAGGGAGGCAGTATATGTCAGGAGTGCAGTGTATGTGTGGGTCAGTATTTATGTGTGTGAGGATTGCAGTGTATGTGTATGGGGGCAATGTGTGTGTGATTATAAAAAAAGCCCCCTACCCTTCTTATCGCACACATTGCCGCCGCCCCCCCCCCCACACACACACACAGCCCCATACATACATATTAATTAAATTTAAAAAAAATTAACACATTATATTAAAATATTACAGATATTAAAAGCCCGCCTTAACCTTCTTCTACTTAAAAAAAAAAAAAAAAAAAAAAATTTAAATAAAACAAATATTCTCGGGGGCGTGGCCTGGGCTCCGACGAACATGGCCGCTTAAGCGCTGTACTCCGTCCCACGACAGCACACAGAACGGAGCAACCCACTACTAACCTGCACACACCGCCACCAATGGGTCGCACAAAGAGAGGGGACCTACCCCAGACCCCCAAACCCTCCTTTTCAGGGTCGCAAACGGGGCCGATGGACGAATACCTCCACGCGCCGTGCGGCCCGGACCCCAGCTCCCCGACATCCAAAATGGCGCCGACCTCGCCAGCATCCACATGCTCCACTGCCGACACCACTACACTGGCAGATATCGGAGCAGAATTAAAACGCATGGCAATGATGATGGTCACAAAGGATGACCTCACCCACCTGACAAACAACCTACACAAAGTAATTAAAGCTGAAGTGACCGGCCTGAAGGCTGAAATTAAAGCACAGGAACACCGCATACAGCAAGTAGAAAAGAGGGCACAGACCACTGAAGACCACTCTGCAGCCACAGACACGGCCCTTAAACGCCAAGGCACTCTCATACTGGCCATGAGGCGACAGCTGGAGGACCAGGACAACCGCAGTCGCCGCAACAATATCAGGGTAAGGGGGATACCTGAATCTCCAGAGGGGGAAAACATAGAGGAGATGCTCACCTCCCTATTCCGCATCATCTTAAGGGAGGACACACCAGCGCTTATTAAATATGACAGGGCACATAGAGCACTCCGTCCCCGGCCCACGGAAGGGACCCCCAGGGATATAATATGCTGCCTACACTCCTTCGCCATCAAAGATCTGATCATGAGGAAAGCTAGGTCCAGGGCCCACTGGAACTACAGGGGCACAGAAATATCCCTCTACAATGACCTATCACCTATGACCCTAGAAGCTAGAAGAGCCCTGAGACCGGTTACCACCATCCTGAGGGAGAGGAATATGCAATATAGATGGGGCTACCCATTTAGCATCACAGTCCGCTATAATAACGAATGGGTCTCCGCACGATGGCCAGAGGACATCCCTCAATTCCTACAACGCCTGAACCTGCCGCCAACCCCCGTCCCGAACTGGGTATTCATGCCGCTGGATCCAAGACCACAACCGCAGCGACAAGCAAGGCGAAGAAGATGGAATTCCCCGGGTGAAGCTCCGCGACACCGACCAGATCTAAACAACCCGGAGGAATAACCCACTACCTGACCACAATTCCGAGACAACACAGACAGCTGGAGCCCACGTTGGAGAAGCGCCTGGATGCAAACCTGCACCCCAAGAATCAGGTACTTTGACATTGGGTAGCTAACACATTGACACGAGACTGAAGGAGGGGACACCCCCCGGGTGCGGGAAGGCACCACTCTTCACCTTGGGACAGACCGAACTAAGGGATATCTCACTAGCAAATGGGTCCTCCACAATACAAAAGGGTTCTAAACAATAAAAAATAAATAAAAAAAAGGGGGACGAAAAGGGAGGGGCGGGAGGAAAAACAAAGCAGGGGAGTAAGACCTATTGGGGAGGGGGATTAAAGGGGGGAGGGTTGGGGACATAGAGATCGGGTCCTAGAGACCGCCTGCAGCATTGACGCTCGTGAAGACGAAGAACTGATTCCGTACAGAATCTATAGCTGATTTTGAGGCCCGAGACTGCTCCTTACTGTATAAATGTTGAGAGTAACCTATTTTGAAAGGCTAGAATATGCAATCTCACTCTGTGTTATTTACCAGGGGACTGACATGTACAGACAGCATACACCCAAAGAGGCCTTTACACTACACACAATCACAAGTGCCTCATTTAGATGGCACACTGATGACGGGAGGACACTGGGCAGACGGCCATCCCACCACCCCCTGGAGGCTGTGAAATATGAACGTCAGAGTGAACAGGGTGAGGGTGTAGAGAAAGGGGCGGGAGGCGGGGCGGGGGGAAATGGGGGGGAGGGGGGAAAGAGGGGAAAAAAATAAAAATAAAAATAAATAAATACATAAACATGATCCAGATGTAACGACCCAGACATAATGTGAAGAGGACCCATACTGCACACACCCCGAAGAGATATCCTCTAGTCCCTACTTTGACTACACGCAAACTACCCTCAAGGTACATCCCCCCCACTCGACACCAGCGACACCGAAAAGACGCAACAAACAGGCATAGTGCTGATAACACTACAAGCACACACAAATGGCATTAGTGATGACTATATAACAACTCTACTACAGTGAACGGACGCTACAACCCCAAACGGAAACACACCCCTACACAACTAACAGACCATACTAACGATACACAACCTTTCTCAAGTGTCAACTCTACAACTAACACCGCATATACCACACAGGCACCATAGCCTAAATGGATAAGGGCCCAGACGCGCTACCCACCTCTCTCGGTGCGCACGCTTGATACTACGGAGGTCGACTGGTACACCACCGGGATATATCTCGGGGTGACCTCCGACCGACACCGTAGGCACACGAACTCCCTCTCCACGGAGAGGTCCACCTCCTTACATCACCACGACACGCACACCACACCTATCCTACTCTCCAACATCCAAATAAGAAACACACACCCCCGTCACACGGACCAGGCTCGGAGTCTAACGTAACCGAAAGACACTGAGCCTGAGCAGACACAACTCCCCTAGACCACACAGGAGCGGATACCAACGCCCCATGAACGCCAGCCACCTCACGCACGACCACAGCCCGGCAACCCACCCGAACATCCCACCCCCCCCTTGCACTCCTGACCCGGCCGTCGCGCCTGCCTCGAGTCAACCACCAGACGGCGCAGAGGTACCGAACCGCATTAAAAACCCAGGAATTAAGCTACGAGATCGGGCTTCCTTGGTCGACTCCCGCGTCCATAAGAGAGCGGGACGCGGACGGGGGACCCTGGTACCCGACGAGACACCACCATTGCGCAGAGATACAGACAAGATGGCATACAGACCAGACCCGCTAAAAATCATCACGCAAAACTGCAGGGGATTGAATCTCCCAGAACGCAGAACTAATCTTTTGAGGGAACTTCAGAGAGAGAGGGTTGCAATAGCTCTTCTCCAAGAAACTCACTTTCGAGAAGGAGCGGCCCCGACACTCAAGAACAAACACTACCCCACTAACTACTACGGCAACCACCCTACAGCGAAAAAGGCAGGGGTCGCGATCCTGATAGCAGCTCGTCTACAATTCCAGGAGCAGGATCGCCTTATAGACCACAACGGCAGATACGCCTTCGTCAAAGGGAATATCGCAGGACGATGTTACACATTCGCGACAGTATACGTCCCCAACAACAATCAATCTAGATTCCTCAAGAACACACTGAAGGCACTAACAGACTTCACGGAAGGAACTTTGATCGTGGGAGGAGACTTCAATGTCACACTAGATCCTAAAGTAGACTCCTCAACGGCACACAGCAGCATCCCACAGAGAGAAATAAGAACCATACACCACACTCTGAAAACACTACGCCTGGTAGACTGCTGGCGAACACTGAACCCACTAGACAGAGAATACACTCATTATTCCACAATACACAAAAGATACTCCAGAATAGACTTCCTACTTCTGCAACAAGAAGCTCTAATAAGACTTAGGAGAGCATCCATACACGCTGCAACGTGGTCGGACCACGGACAAGTGTCGATGGACCTCGAATCTCCCCTCATAAGACCGACGAAAACAACGTGGAGACTCAACGACTCCCTTTTAACCGACCTCCCACTGAGGGCCCAAGTCACCGACACTTTACAGACATACTTCACCGAGAATGAGACGGGAGACGTATCTGATATGACAATATGGGAGGCACACAAAAGTATACTCCGGGGCAAGCTTATCCAAGTCACGTCACAATGGAAAAGAGAGGCGGGCGCAATTATGTCAAACATCCTAGACCGGATCCGCTCCCTGGAAACACAACACAAACGTCAACAGGTGGAGGATACCTACAAAGAACTATTAGAGGAAAGAAGAAGACTACACGCACTGCTACTCAAGAGACACCTCCGTAGATCTAAAGGATTCTTCTACCTCCATGCAAACAAAGGGGGCAAACTCCTCGCACAAATGCTCAGGGGACAGCAACACCCCTCACAAGTCCACAAATTAAAAACACGCGACGGCACTACTACCCAACACCCGGAGAAAATCGCCAAGGAATTTCTAACCTACTACTCCTCGCTTTACAATACACATTCACAAAGCAACGAAGAAAGCAGACGAATCAAACAAGGCCGCATGGAATGCTTTCTAAGAGAACATCTCCACACGACGGTGACGGCCGAAGACGCAGAAATCATCGACCGCCCGATCACCGAAGACGACATTAAGACATCTATCAAAACGACGAAGACAGGACGCGCACCCGGACCCGACGGACTTACGCTGGACTATTATAAACGCTTCCAAGATATACTAGCCCCCAAACTCACAAAGGCGCTCAATGCCATCACTGAGGGACACACATTCCATGCCGAATCATTATCGGCTACAATTACAGTAATCCCAAAACCAGGTAAGGACCCGGAAACCTGCGGCAGCTACAGACCCATCTCCCTATTAAACGTGGACACAAAACTCTTCACCAAAATATTATCCACCCGACTTAGTAACCTAATGCCAACACTCGTGCACCCTGATCAAACGGGGTTCATACCGGAACGGGAGGCTCAAGATAGCACTCAGAGTTCTCGCTATACAACATCTGGCGAGACAACACGGAACACCACTCCTGCTACTCTCCACGGACGCCGAAAAGGCGTTTGACCGAGTTGACTGGGCATTCTTGAAAACGGCGATACGTCTATTGGGGTTTAACGACGACATACAGAAACGGATCGGAGCGATATACAGCACCCCGACGGCAGCAGTGCGTGTTAACGGAGCCCTGACGGAGTCCTTCCCGATTCGAAATGGTACGAGGCAGGGTTGCCCCTTGTCCCCGCTATTGTTCGCACTTACATTGGAACCCCTATTGGAGGCAATCCGACGAAATATTAACATCACGGGCTACACCTGTAAAACCGCCACACACAAAGTTGCCGCATACGCGGATGACATGCTGTTCTTCATTACACGTCCGAGACTCACCCTACCATGCCTAATGGAAGAATTTGAAAAATACGGACACCTCTCAGGCCTCAAACTTAACTTAAGCAAATGCGAACTGCTCAATATCACGGACCCACTGGGAGAACACGGGGATATAGCCTCGACCTTCCCGTTCCGATGGTGCCATACCCAAATAAAATACCTGGGGATATGGGTGATGGCTGACCCCAGCGCCATCTACCAGAAAAACTTCCTCCCACTCCTCACATGCATTCAACAAGACCTCCGAACCTGGAATTATCCACACATCTCATGGTTCGGCCGCATAGCGGTCATCAAAATGAATATACTACCCAGACTACTATATTTATTCCATACGATCCCAGTGACATTACCGACGACCTTTTTCGCGACACTGAAAACCGCGTTCCTGACCTATGTCTGGAGAGGATGCAGACCTCGACTAAGATATGAAATACTATGCAAGACCAGGAGTCAGGGCGGATTGGCACTCCCGGACCTGCGCAAATACCACCAAGCGACAGCCCTACAACGGATACTGGAATGGCACACTAACCCGAGATGCAAACAATGGGTGGCCTTGGACAAAGAATCATGCAGCCCATCTATTTTTGCATCCCTATGGAATCAGAAAACGCCACGGCATGATGACCCCGGCGCACCCTCTCCGGCGAGTCATACCCTCCGCATATGGTCAACAATGAGGAATGCAGCGATAATCTCCCCAACACCCAGCCCGATGACCACGCTAACACACAACCAAGCCTTGGGGGGAGGATTACCGATCAAGGCCTGGGACTTTCTGCAGGGAAGGGACTTCATACCACTCCACAAAACGCTAACCGCCACTGGACTGACCCCCCTGGAACGCCTAATGGAAGGCCCGCCAGCTCCCATGCACAAATTCAGATACTCCCAGCTGACGCATTTCTACCACACCCTACCGAACAAACAAGAGGTACACAGAACCCTCACATGGTTTGAGGACATCTGCGACAAACAAGCACCAACTCAGAAACCAACGTCGACGCTCTACCAATACCTAATCACAGATGAGCAGCAAGCAACTCGACGATATAAAGAAAAATGGGAAAGCATCACTGACAAAGTCTTCACCGACGCACAATGGGACAAAATTCTCATCCTTCATCACAAATCTACGATTAGCTCAACATAACAAGAAATGAACTATAAGCTATTGACACTCTGGCACAGAACCCCAGACCTACTCCACAGAATATTCCCCAACACCTCGGCGACCTGTTGGAGATGTGAGGCAGATATTGGAACACTAAAGCATATCTAGTGGGACTGCCCCAACATTAAACCGTTTTGGAACCAGATAACGTCCCGCAAGAGGTACTAGGGGACACAACGCAATTGTCCATAGACAACACTCTCCTGCATCATACTAAAGACCCGATCTCAAAATACAAACGATCCATCCTACGACACCTTCTCGACGCGGCCAAGGCTCTAATCCCTGCCCTATGGAAAACGACAAACGCCCCCACAATGGAACAATGGCTAAGCAGGGTAGAAGAGATCAGATTCGCAGAAGAAATGCATGCGACCTTACGAGACACCCTCACGAAACACGTCGACAAATGGCAACCTTGGATAATATACGTGGCGAGACGAGATGGGGGAGACGCGGCGGTCGGGGAAGGGAGTTAAGGGGGCCTCCACCCATCCCTCCCCCTAACAAACCACACACTACAATCACAACGCTCACAGGATCAACACACCGCCAACACACAGCCACCCCATGAACGCAACCAATGAGGGCACAGGACGTAGCAGCACACTGTACTAGCAACAACCTACCATTCCCGATAAACAACATCATACAGACTTCTCATAGAACCCAAGCCGACACAACCGACTCATGCACCAATACCCAAGATAGAGCTGAACAACAGGAGACCCCTGAGCGAACCTCACACACTATCACTCTAGAGACTGAAAATCCTGATCCTAGAACCACGATACCACAAGGAACGAGGATGGCTCTCCTTCCCGTGGGACCCACATCACACATACACACAACCCAGCGGAACACCTTACACAAGACTGGGACACGGGTCGCGAGGAGGGTGGGAGGGAAAACAACATAAGTGGGATGGACTTGGGAGTCAACCACACAACGAAAACAGATGCCACTCATACCACCCAAACACGACCACAGGACGCCCATGCCACTAGAGTTACCTCTACATTCTACTTACTACTCATCCACAAACACATTACGCAGATAACAGTCTATAATAGAATACGAGTTTCAGACCCAACACCTTGTAACTCCTGGAAGCCACTGACATACACACTCACATGGATATAACACATGCAAAATTATTACCAACCCTAGCAAAATTGGCATAGGACCTACGCACCCCAACCGACCTATACCATGAAAGCATATCACCACCAGAGGATCCCAAACGAAAACATAACTGAACACCCCAACTGAATACACCGATTCTCCACATAAGAAAATCGACCTCGATCAGGACCTACGAGTCCATTATATCTCTACCATAACCTCTCATAAGGGATCTACGTGTCACCACACCAGGTTAAGATGCACCATGTTAAGATACACGCTGTCTCATTTAGTTAAACGAACACACAATACTCAAAAGGGACCAGTGAGTTACCACTGGTTGGGTTTTTTTTTTCCTCTCTCTTGCAGTAACAACGAAAACTATCTCATAAAAAGGTTTACAAATAGACAAAGGGAGGGGGGAGAGGGAGGGGAGATGGATGGATGGATGGATGAAAAAAATAAAATGGAGAGAAAGGGAAACTATACGTGCTGGGCTATGACCTGTGTGTCACCAACGTAAACCTGACCGAACGACGCCTCCTAAAAACGACAGTTAATATTTCATACTGATGGGACCTGCGTGTCCTAACTGAAACTCGCTTAAAGATGCATGACAAGTATATGACATAGGACCTGCGAGTCCAACACGTAAATGCTACCTGCGTTTAAATGTTACCAGTGTATGCATACAAGAACAGCATTTGTTCCATTGCGATAGTTCACATGCAAAATTAACGGGACCTGCATGTCCTTGCCGAAGTTTTCTTATGACATGTTCGAAACTGAAAAATTTAAAATACCCAATAAAAATATATTTTCAAAAAAAAAAATATTCTCTATTTCTCGCTCCCTGGTGGTTCCAGTGGGGAATCCCTGGTGGTTCCAGTGGTAGGGGTAAACTCTAGCCCGCGCTCCAGGGCTAGAGTTCACTCTCGCGAGATTTGGAGCGTTGCCGTGGTCCCTCTGGTCCGTGAAGGCACATTGCAGGGCTGGCACTTGGACAATGCCAGCCCTGCATTAGCCGGCAGGGAAGAGGGCGTGGCGAATCCTGCCGCACATGCAGCCGATGACGTCGGTAGGAAGGAGGAGGAGGAAAGCTCCCCGCCCGGCGATGGAGAAAGGTAAGATTTTAACCCCTTCCTCTCTCCAGAGCCCAAGTATTTTCCTGGCACTATAGTGGTCCTTTAATCTATGCACTACACAAATTACAATAAATGACAATACTCCATAGGGCAACAATTAATTATGCACCCCTCCTTTGGTTTTATTTTACTCTGTGTGATTTAATTAGAGCTAGACTTTTCTCTAGCTTCTTAACATATGTATTAAATGTTAAATATTTTAACTTCACACTAGGCCATTAGACAGAATATTTCTCTCGTCTTCTGTTTTATCCAAGATCACATTCACTGAGCCTTTCAGAGCTCAGCTGATGCTACCAGCCCATGTAGTGGTTATGTGCCTTTACGTTACAACCATAAAGGCGCTTCATCTTAATTAAGTGATTTTGGTACATAAGCGCTGTACCTTGACTAAGACAAATGTTTCCATTTGCTAAAGAACATGCCTCTAGGTTCCGTCTGTTTGACAGCTAGTAGCAGCAACCTCCTCACGAAGGTCGTCCAAAATCTAAAGCCTTCACATTCAGTGTCATCGCGCACAACAAAATAACATCAAACACCGCTGGATTTAAGGCTTCTCGATGAGAAGCATTCAACTGAACGAGCACAGAGATGTAGATCACATAATTCTATGTTCCTACTCATATTCATATGGATGTCTAATGGGTTAAAAAGGACAGATGGTAATTTGCTGCGTTGTACAATGAGAAGTCTGGGATGTTTGTGTATAATGTGAAGGTCGATGGCCTTCATACGACCAGAGTTTTATTTAAAAGTTCTGAAGTAATTTCTATAAAAGAACAGGAAACATCGAAGGTGACGGCAGATAAGAACCATTCGGTCCATCTAGTCCGCCCAATTTTATTTTTAAATATATTCATTAGTCCCTGGTCTTATCTTATAGTTAGGATAGACTTATGCATATCCCATGCATGCTTAAACTCCTTTACTGTGTTATCCTCTACCACTTCAGCTGGAAGGCTATTCCATGCATCCACTACCACCTCTGTAAAGTAATACTTCCTGATATTTTTAAACCTTTGCCCCCCTAATTTATGACTATGTCCTCTTGTTGTGGTAGTTATCCTTTTAAATATGGTCTCCTTTACGGTGTTGATTCCATTTATGTATTTAAATGTTTCTAATCATATCTGTACTCTGCTCTTGGGTTTTTACGTCCAAGATGCATTATCTTGCATTTATCCATATTAAATGTCAGTTGCCACAATTCTGACCATTTTTCTAGTTTACCTAAATCATGCGCCATTTGTCTTATCGCTGCTGGATCAACCCTGTTACATATCTAAGTATCATCAGCAAAAAGACATACCCCTTACCATCAAGACCTTCTGCAATATCCCAAACATATATTAAAGAGAATGGGTCCAAGTACAGATCCCTGAGGTACCCCACTGGTGACAAGACCTTGCTTCGAATATACTCCATTGAAGAAAATATGATATTGCGTAGTGGAGCGATAGCAAACTGCAATACACCCCTGTCCTGCATGCAGCAAAATCAAATAAAAAATATACTTATACTTCTTGCTGAATGGTATCTCAATTGATGTTCAGCATGTAAAAGAAAACAAAAATGATCATAGAACAGATCTGTTACGTTAGTTTGCACTTTTGTAAATAGTGCTAAATGTCACATACTATAGTGAAATCAGCTGAGTATTAATACATTTATTACAAATGTAAAACAGGCTGTAATAGCAATTAAAACACAAATGCAAAGCATATCACTGCTTAGTTAATATACTAAGAACACCTCATTGCTTAATCTGTACACCATAAAGCAGATATAAAACAAAAGTAAACCACCACTAAAAATTGGCTATATAGCAGATAACTGCTTACTAGATCTGATGGTGAGTACAACGCTGTGTATACCCGTTACTCACAGCCAAGCTTTCCCACACTGGGAGATGTTTCCTGTATTAGAAGGTTGATGGGGATCAAATGGAGTTCCTTTTATTGCAGTCCGGGTGGCATCTAGTTCAGCGTGTAACTCGGCTGTTACACTTTCAAAAACGCCCGGCTTCTGGATAAGCTCCACCCCCTTGTCAAAGTGCTTCCGTGTTGTCTACGCGTTTTCTCCGTTCACAGACGGCTTCGTTAGGACGTCAAAGTGCTCAGTTACTCCCCACTCTCGGAGAGCTTTTATACACGTTCTACTTATTATTACATTTAGGTGCACCTCATTTGCATATGTGTGGAGTCCGGATCGGCAGACCTGTTATATGCACAGTTAATGTCTGCTTCATCCCATATTAAACGGACAACATTCACTTGCAGCAGAGGTGTACATATTCATCAATAAGTTTGTACAGAATACAGATACAGTTATCTTTGCAATACCAAGTACAATTATTTAATCATAGGATCTCATTTAAATCTAAATTCCAGCTGAATCAACATATGCAGTATATGGAGAAAAAGAAAAAAAAGAGAGCATGTGTTCGTATTAATTCAACACCATATAAATATTATTTAACCCTGTGATTTTAGTGACATTTAAAGTGACACAGTAATAGTAGCCTTTAAAGTGACACAGTAAGTGTCATGATATGAAACAAAGTATCATAATAAACAGATACACTCTAAATTTTGAGTGGATAGCTGAACTTTTTAAAGGGGTATAACTCCCAAAATCTATTTCTTTTAAAATTACAAAATTATATAAAATAAATTTATAAAAAATTACACATCTCAAAGTCATTATTCATTCCATTAGGAATAAGAGTATTCAGTTCAAATATCCATATCATTTCTATCCGGCCTAAACTCTGGATCAGATTTCCTCCTCTCCAGTCATTTTTAACCTGTTGGATCCCTATAAAGTTTAAAAGGGAGGGATCAGAGTTGTGAAATTCCTCAAAATGTAGGGAAACTTGATGTAGTTGATACTTTTTCTTAATATTGTATGTATGTTCGCATATTCTTGTTCGTAATTGACTAGTCGTACGGCCTATATATATCAAGCCACATGGGCAAAATAGCATATAAATTACATTTTTTGTTTGACACATTATGAGTGTTTATCTTTTATGTCTTTCCATTGGCTTTAAACTCTTTTTAATACTTTATCACGGTCCGTATTACGACAGGCATTACAGTAGCCACATCTAAAGAATCCCTTCAATTGATTAATAAAATTAGATTTAGCCTGATTTTGATTCGGAATTTTATCTGTTAAAATTCTCTTCATATTTTTCACACCTCTGTGTACTATTTTTGGGATAGGTGGTTACAATTTCACTAGAACTGGATCTTTTAGTAGCCAGTGCCAATATTCAGAGATGATTTTTCTGACTTGTTTATTCTGAGGTCCTGAAAACTGACAGATAAAGGGAACGTTTTTCTCTTGTTTTGTGTTTTCTTTCCTAGTTCTGTACTCCAATAGGTTATCTCTGTTTAAATGTTGAGTGTCTTCTACAGCTTTACATAAAATATGATCATGATAGCATCTCTCCTTAAAATCGGACAAAATCCATTGACTTTGATGTAAAAAACCACAAATATTCTGATCCGTACAATTTCTTTTTATTCTAGTTAATTGGCCCTTCGGGATATTAGTGAGCCATGGGCTAAAATGGCAACTGTTGATTTCTAAGTAGCTGTTTACATCAACAGATTTGAAAAAGGATTTGGTCTTCATATTCCCTGCTTCTATGTATATAGTGAGATCTAGAAAATTGATTACATACAATAGATGGTGAATCACACTTCTGAATAGGTCTGTAAGAGATATACAACACACAAAATAGTGCAATATAGTTTGTATAAATAGGCAGTGTAAAATTTTTCAGTGAAGTACTCACAATCGTTGAGCCAAATATATGTGGCTCTCACTGTTGTCGCCTTGGGACTTTTTTAGGATGTCCCTCTCCTGGCTGGATCACTGGTCCCACTTGACTTTCTGAGAGTTCCAAGCTGAATGGGTATTCCCAGCAATTTCCCAGGAGAATCAAGCCTTTCAATAGGAAATTTCATGTGGCATAAATAGCCAAAAATTTATTCAAAGAGATACTTATTAAAAATAGTGTAAAATAAGAAACAATAAATGAATAAAAATATATAAAACAATGTGTTAAGAACTTATAGCTGGAACTGCTGTATAAAAGTCCAACCAAATGGCTGATAAGTGTTCCAAAACGCGTTTCGCCCCTGTCAGAGGCTTTTTCAATCGGTAAAAAGTCTATCCGCTTCTCTGGCGGCTTTTTTTTCTTCAAACTTTGCCCATTTACTCCCGGGTTCCGGCCAGTTCTGTTTTGGAACGCACTATGCGTTCCAAATCGCTTCCGGGTTTCTTTCATCTGGAACGCATCATGCGTTCCACTCCGTCTTCTGCTTACTTCCTGGTTTCGGGAACTACCCGTTTAGAACGCTTTATGCGTTTCAATACATTAGAATCAGTCTCTTTTATAGCATGAAATAAAAATAGTCTTTTTGTAACATCAAGTATATAAGTGATTAAACTTTGTAGTACATACCCAAGAAATAGTGCATATTCATTTTCTATTCCACCAGAGTATAAAAAAAAGATTAGTTTTTGTGATATATATTTTATAGGTTACTTGTCATGTATTAGCAACCACTAAACTAATCTTTTTTATACTCTGGTGGAATAGAAAATGAATATGCACTATTTATTGGGTATGTACTACAAAGTTTAATCACTTATATACTTGATGTTACAAAAAGACTATTTTTATTTCATGCTATAAAAGAGACTGATTCTAATGTATTGAAACGCATAAAGCGTTCTAAACGGGTAGTTCCCGAAACCAGGAAGTAAGCAGAAGACAGAGTGGAACGCATGATGCGTTCCAGATGAAAGAAACCCAGAAGCGATTTGGAACGCATAGTGCGTTCCAAAACAGAACTGGCCAGAACCCGGAAGTAAATGGGCAAAGTTTGAAAAAAAACCGCCAGAGAAGTGGATAGACTTTTTACCGATTGAAAAAGCCCCTGACAGGGGCGAAACACGTTTCGGAACACTTAGCCATTTGGTTGGACTTTTATATAGCAGTTCCAGCTATAAGTTCTTAACACATTGTTTTATATATTGTTTTTATTCATTTATTGTTTCTTATTTTACACTGTATTTTTAATAAGTATCTCTTTGAATAATTTTTTGGCTATTTATGCCACATGAAGTTTCCTATTGAAAGGCTTGATTCTCCTGGGAAATTGCTGGGAATACCCATTCAGCTTGGAACTCTCAGAAAGTCAAGTGGGACCAGTGATCCAGCCAGGAGAGGGACATCCTAAAAAAGTCCCAAGGTGACAACAGTGAGAGCCACATATATTTGGCTCTACGCTTGTGAGTACTTCACTGAAAAATTTTACACTGCCTATTTATACAAACTATATTGCACTATTTTGTGTGTTGTATATCTCTTACAGACATATTCAGAAGTGTGATTCACCATCTATTGTATGTATTCATTTTGGTTATATTGAGTGGTGTGAGGGGTTTCCCACTCAGGTGGTTTGTAGCACGTTAAGCTACCACACTTATTCCCATTGTTTTATTGTATACTCTTCTAATTTTCACTAGATCTAGAAAATTAACTTCTTTATTACTATAGTCAAAGGATAAATTCATTCCCCACTGATTTGAATTTACATGCTGAATGAACAATTTGAGTAGTTCCTCCCCTCCTCACCAAATAAAGAACAAATTGTCAATGTAGCGCCTGTATAGCACCAAGTTCGGCTCCCAGCCACTGTGTCCTCCAAAATGGAGGGATTCCCAACGAGCCATGAATAAATTTGCGTAGCTGGGAGCGAACTTGGCACTGCAATGGGCACCAAGTTCGCTCCCAGCTACACTCCCAGCCACTGGAGGAAACAGTGGCTGGGAGCAGAACTTGGTGCTATACAGGCACTACATTGACGATTTGTTCTTTATTTGGCGAGGAGGGGAAGAACTACTCAAATTGTTCATTCAGCATGTATATTCAAATCAGTGGGGGATGAATTTATCCTTTGACTAGAGTAACAAAGAAGTTAATTTTCTAGATCTCACTATATACATAGAAGCAGGGAATATGAAGACCAAATCCTTTTTCAAATCTGTTGATGTAAACAGCTACATAGAAATCAGCAGTTGCCATTTTAGCCCATGGCTCACTAAATCCCGAAGGGCCAATTAACTAGAATTTTGTCCGATTTTAAGGAGAGAGGCTATCATGATCATATTTTATGTAAAGCTGTAGAAGATACTCAACATTTAAACAGAGATAACCTATTGGAGTACAGAACTAGGAAAGAAAACACAAAACAAGAGAAAAACGTTCCCTTTATCTGTCAGTTTTCAGAACCTCAGAATAAACAAGTCAGAAAAAATCATCTCTGAACATTGGCACTGGCTACTAAAAGATCCAGTTCTAGTGAAATTGTTACCACCTATCCCAAAAATAGTACACAGAGGTGTGAAAAATATGAAGAGAATTTTAACAGATAAAATTCCGAATCAAAATCAGGCTAAATCTAATTTTATTAATCAATTGAAGGGATTCTTTAGATGTGGCTACTGTAATGCCTGTCGTAATACGTACCGTGATAAAGTATTAAAAAGAGTTTAAAGCCAATGGAAAGACATACAAGATAAAAGAACTCAATGTGTCAAACAAAAAATGTAATTTATATGCTATTTTGCCCATGTGGCTTGATATATATAGGCCGTACGACTAGTCAATTACGAACAAGAATATGCGAACATACATACAATATTAAGAAAAAGTATCAACTACATCAAGTTTCCCTACATTTTCAGAGAATTTCACAACTCTGATCCCTCCCTTTTAAACTTTATAGGGATCCAACAGGTTAAAAATGACTGGAGAGAAGGAAATCTGATCCAGAGTTTAGGCCGGATAGAAATGATATGGATATTTGAACTGAATACTCTTATTCCTAATGGAATGAATAATGACTTTGAGATGTGTAATTTTTTATAAATTTTATATAATTTGTAATTTTAAAATAAATAGATTTTGGGAGTTATACCCCTTTAAAAAGTTCAGCTATCCACTCAAAATTTAGAGTGTATCTGTTTATTATGATACTTTGGTTCATATCATGACACTTACTGTGTCACTTTAAAGGCTACTATTACTGTGTCACTTTAAATGTCACTAAAATCACAGGGTTAAATAATATTTATATGGTGTTGAATTAATACGAACACATGCTCTTTTTTTTCTTTTTCTCCATATACTGCATATGTTGATTCAGCTGGAATTTAGATTTAAATGAGATCCTATAATTAAATAATTGTACTTGGTATTGCAAAGATAACTGTATCTGTATTCTGTACAAACTTATTGATGAATATGTACACCTTTGCTGCAAGTGAATGTTGTCCGTTTAATATGGGATGAAGCAGACATTAACTGTGCATATAACAGGTCTGCCGATCCGGACTCCACACATATGCAAATGAGGTGCACCTAAATGTAATAATAAGTAGGAGAACGTGTATAAAAGCTCTCCGAGAGTGGGGAGTAACTGAGCACTTTGACGTCCTAACGAAGCCGTCTGTGAACGGAGAAAACGCGTAGACAACACGGAAGCACTTTGACAAGGGGGTGGAGCTTATCCAGAAGCCGGGCGTTTTTGAAAGTGTAACAGCCGAGTTACACGCTGAACTAGATGCCACCCGGACTGCAATAAAAGGAACTCCATTTGATCCCCATCAACCTTCTAATACAGGAAACATCTCCCAGTGTGGGAAAGCTTGGCTGTGAGTAACGGGTATACACAGGGTTGTACTCACCATCAGATCTAGTAAGCAGTTATCTGCTATACAGCCAATTTTTAGTGATGTGTTTTATATCTCCTTTATGGTGTACAGATTAAGCAATGAGCTGTTCTTGGTAGATTAACTAAGCAGTGATATGCTCTGCATTTGTGTTTTAATTGCTATTACAGCCTGTTTTTTTTATTTGATACTTGTTTTACATTTGTAATAAATGTATTAATACTCAGCTGATTCACTATAGTATGTGACATTTACCACTATTTACTGAAGTGCAAACTAACGTAACAGATCTGTTGTATGATCATTTTTGTTTTTTTCTTTTACACGCTGAACATCAATTGAGATACCATTCAGCAAGAAGTATAAGTATATTTTTAATTTGATGATTTTGCTGCATGCAGGATAGGGGTGTATTGCAGTTTGATATCGCTCCACTTCGCAATATCATATTTTCTTTAATTTAGATGTGGTGAAGGGATCACTTTGAAGTGTGGTAGCTGATATTGATAGATTATATAAAATATTAATTCAATAACTTTATCTCTACCCCTATAGAGTTCTCAATATTAAGCACTCCAGTATTGCATGTCTTAGGATATACTCTATTGATTACAACCCTCTGTTGCCTGTCATTCAGCCACTGCCTTACCCATTCAACAATATTGGAATTAAAACTTAAAGGACCACTATAGGCACCCAGACCACTTCAGCTTAATTAAGTGGTCTGGGTGCCAGGTCCAGCTAGGATTAACCATTTCTTCTATAAACATAGCAGTTTCAGAGAAACTGCTATGTTTATATTAGGGTTAATCCAGCCGCTAGAGGCTGTCTCGTCGACAGCCGCTAGAGGCGCTTCCGCGCTTCTCACTGTGATTTTCACAGTGAGAAGACGCCAGCGTCCATAGGAAAGCATTGAGCATGCGACAAGGAGGAGGAGGAGAGTCCTCCGCCCGGCGAAGGAAAAAGAGGTCAATTTAACCCCTTCCACCCCCTAGAGCCCGGCGGGAGGGGGGCCCTGAGGGTGAGGGCACCCACAGGCCACTATAGTGCCAGGAAAACAAGTATGTTTTCCTGGCACTATAGTGGTCTTTTAACCCCTTAAGGACCAAATTTCTGCAATATAAGGGAATCATGACATTTCACACGTCATGTGTCCTTAAGGCTGCAGTTTATTGATAAGCCTTCTATGTGCAACAGTGTCAAAAGCCTTACTGAAATCTAGCTAAGCAATGTCTACTGCATCACCCTGATCACCAAGACCAAGGACCACATTCTACATAAGAAGACTTCTGCCAATCAGCATTTACACATGTATTAGAGCCATGTTTTCCATTGCTTCTCTAAGAGAATCACAGCATTTCCTGATTCCTGTAAAAGTTGCTAGCAAGAAAGAGAGCTAAGGATCTAATTATTCAGTCATTTTCCATATTTTATTTTTTTTTCAATTTAAAACCTTGGTTTTAATGGTGCATCACATTGTTTAGCTTTTGGCGCCTGCTCGCCAGGGTACAGAATAAGAGAGAAGGGTGTTATGCAGGACATTTTGTTACATCATTGGGGTCAAGAACATTTTCAGTTTTGCACATTATCGCCTTTACACAATACCTTCCTTTTCTCTATTTAGCATTACTGATCCTTCTATAAGTTGGCTCGGGAATCTCATGATCCCCTTTCAGTCAGTACATGTGATTTTGTTGTGGGTATGTAATTTGCGCTTGCTGTACAGTCCCCTCTAAACGTTGCCATGTCCCCCCCTCTACTTCCCTTCTTAATCTATGTGTCCCCTTCCTCCCCCTTGTTGACCTTGGTGCTCGCTGAGGTACATTCTCAATCTCTCCCCCGCTTGACTTGTGTATTTCCTCTGCCCTATGTGCTTGTCTGCCATTAGCTCATATTTCCAGTTGAGAGATGTTTGGGTTATTAGGGCTTCTCTAGTGGGTGTATGTGTGGATTTCCATGCTATTGCTATAATGGTCACTGCTGATACAAGTAGGTGGAATACCAATCTCTCTTCTGTTTTTCCTAGTGTTGTTGGTATCATGAAAAGTATACCTTATTCTATGCTTATTGGCCATCTCCGTCGCCACCCTCTCCACAACGGTTTGATATTGTTACATGACCACCATATGTGGCTCGTCGAGCCTTTCCTCCCTCTACACCTCCAGCATTCAATTGGTGTACCTCTGTATATCGCAGCTAGTTTCTCTGGTACCATCTGTATTGTAGCTTTCGGATGGTCTCTAGGTGGGTTGTGCATAGTGTATTCCCCTTGTGTATTGTGAATGCCCTTTGCCATGCTTCCGCCTCAATATCGTAGCCCAGTTCTGTGTGCCATGTTGTTTGGAAATTCATGGCTGTCCCTGTGTCTAGTATCAGTAGGGAGGTGTACATGGTCAACAGTGCTTTTTTGGGGGAGTCTGCCCGCCAGGCACAGTTTTTCGATGCTGTTCGTATGTGTTGTCTCCTGGCTCTCTATTGTCGCGCCTATGAGGAGCGACTTCATTTGTAGATATGTGAACAATGCTCTGTTGGGTATGTTGTATAGTGTTTGGAGTTCTGGAAAGGGCAACAGTTTGTTGTCCTTCTATAGATGTTTAATCGTGGTGCAGCCCTGCTCTTCCCATGGTTTCGTGTCTAGGGATGGGATGCCCACTTAGAGGCATGTGATTGGCGCGTCCAGCCGTATTTCTCTTTGTTCCTTCCCTTTCTTCGTCCCAGTGTTGTAGTGTTAAAGTAGTGATTGGTAGGGGGTATATGTGTTGTGAGCGCATGGATTTCGGGAGCCAAAAGAGGTCCCTCAGGTCCTGGTTATTGATCCAATGGGCCTCTATTCGGGTCCACTGTGGGGCTTCCCCCTCTGCTGTGGCTGCTTTGAATGTCACCAACTGTGCTGCTTTGTAATAGTCTTTTATGCTTGGTAAGCTTAGTGTCCCCCCTTATGGTGGGTTGTTGCAGTATGCCAGATGCCACCCTCGTTTTTTTGTTGGCCCACACGAATCGGGTAATTAATCTCTGTATTGTGGCTAGGTGTGTGTTTGGCAGTGCTATAGGTAGAATGCGTAACAGGTATTGGAATTTTGGGAGCAGCATCATTTTCACTGCTGCTATCCTCCCCACCCATGATAAATATTTCCCTTCCCATGATCTTAGTGTGGTGGCCATGACTTTTGTGAGTGCAGTGTAGTTTTTTTTCCAGTAAGTTGTTTGAGTTGGGTGGGATTTTGATACCTAAGAAGGTTAAGTGGTCTGTTCTCCAGTCTAAGGGGAAGGCTGCTTTGAGTCTCTCTAGCGTGTTTGGTTGGATCCCTAGTCCCATGGCTTGCGTCTTTGTGACATTTAGTTTAGAATGTGATTGTTTCCCATATTCGGCAATGGTTGCCATTAGGTTTGGTAATGATATGTGTGGCTGCGTTAGGGTCAGTAATACATAGTCTGCGAATAGGTTCGCTCTAAATTCTCTGTCTCCTATTTTCACTCCATGGATTGATAGAAATGGTGAGAGGGGGCACCCCTGTCTTGATCCATTTGTTATCTTGTGAGGGTCTGAGACGAATCCTGCATTTGGGACCCTTGCTGTGGGTGAGTTGTATAATGCCCTGACCGCTGAGAGGAAGCCCTCTGGCACCTCAAACGTGAGGAGGATCTTTTCCAGGAACTCCCAGCTCAGTCTGCGTCTAGCGACACCAGCAAGCCTCCCACTTTCATGCGTTGGGCACTCTGAATGATGGTATCTAGTACTTGCCTGGTGTTGTCCCCTCCCTGTCTCCATATTTTAATTGCTACACTACTGACATTTTATTTTGCACAAATACTTTCAGTCATTACCAAGGAACCCAAAAATGACAGCAATAAATGACAGGCGATATGCATACACTGCACTCTCTGCTCCTCTCTACCCCCCCTCTATGAGGAACACGGGGGCTGTGTGCCCCACTGCCCATCCAACCCATCACAGCAGATAAAGCACCCTGACACGGGCTCACATTACTCTCCTCACCTGCTTTTCCACGCAGATATCCGGTGCAGCGCATCCCGCTGTAGCTTGCAGTCCCGACTGTACAGGTATTCCAGGACCTGCTCCCATTCCGCCTTGCTGAGCCAGGCTACGACATGCTGCCGGCCCGCCATCTCCCAGCAACCGAGTGCCTGTACTGTGTGACACTCTTTAGAACCAATCAGCGCGCAGCGTGCGTGCGTGCGTACGTACGTGCGGTGCAGCGGAAAATATACTCCGACTGGGAATATTGGATCGAACACTCTAGTTCCTAGGCTTAGGCGTTCTTAGCCTTCAGCCTAGTTCACGTTAGAAGGGATGCTCCGTGTTTGATAGTAGAATTCTCAGTTAGTGCTGAAACTACAGTTCAAGGAAATTACTCAAGCACAACCTAGATATTATATTTTATTGTGTGAACATCTTTTAGGGACATTGAAATACAAATAAATTGAGGATGTCCATCCCAAAGTTTCTGTTCCTGATTTAGCATAGCTATAGTACAGAATAAAGTAAAAAATATAGTATAGATAAAGTACTTAATAAAGTAAAAATATAACATAGCTATAGTACCGAATAGAGTAAAAATAAAAAATATAACATAGCTATAGTACCGAATAGAGTAAAAATAAAAAATATAACATAGCTATAGAACCGAATAGAGTAAAAATATTGTAAAACTATAGTACGGAATAAAATAAAACTATAGTATCAAATAAAGTAAGAATGTAGTATAGCTATAGTACAGAATAAAGTAAAAATATAGCATAGCTATAGTACAGAATAAAATAAAAGTATAATATAGCTGTAGTACAAAATAAGGTAAAAAATATAGTATAACTATAGCACAGAATAAAATAAAACTATAATACCAAATTAAGTAAAAAAAATATAGTATGCTATAGTACCGAATAAAGTAAAAATATAGTATAGCTATAGTACCAAATGAAAGTAAAAATTGAATATAACTATAGTACTGAATAAAATATAGTATAACTACAGTATAGAATAAAATAAAACTATAGTATCAAATAAAGTAAAAATGTAGTATAGCTATAGTACCTAATAAAGTAAAAGAAATATAGTATGCTATAGTAACTAAATATTGCTATGACTGGAGCCAGTGAGACAACTCAATCTCCCTTTGTGAAGCCTCTGAATATTACAATCCAGGGACAAAGAGTTACAAACATGAATTTGTATTGTCTGAGAATAAATATATGATCTAAAACCGTATGTGAGATACCCTTTCAGCTAATGATATCAAAATGAATTTGCCTGCTGATCAGATGCTGCACATGAGTGACCAGCAGGCACCCAAGGAGTCAACCCCTCCGGAGGATATTCTCTCCAATGTTCCTACCGATACTTGGGCCAATGACAAACATGGATTAGCCAAAAAATGTCATACCTGTGAGTATTGTATTAAAATCATCAGCCCAGCCTGTGAGACTTGGATAATACTTTCAAAGGCTGGAGGCATACAAAGGATTACAGTTACAACTCGTGATACAAATGTATTACTAAATGATGTCTGCTAATTAACCAATGCTGCTATATTTTGTAAAGGAAAATATGCAGGTAAAGTTCCTGATTGCCGATTGTTCCGGACGCTAGTCAGAATATCAGTTTACAGACTTCTTATTATTATCTTGCTTCATTTGTACTTTCTGTGCTATATAGTCTTGCTTCACCACAAGGGATCCTCTAAAATCCTGGGCCAGCAGAACATCTGGGCTCAACCAGAGAGGCTTATCTGGTTCAGCATAAAAAACTCCCATGGTTGTATGCGCAGCTCAGCCATAGGACGATATGTGATACCAGAGAACTACACCTTTAAGCAACAGCAGATCTGAACTTGATTATTACAAGGACATTGTATTGGCTGATGCAGGCATTTAGTGCTATCAATCAGACCATGCTATAAAGTTATCGTATAGTTCCTATTCTCCATATAGCAATGTCCAATGTTGGGGAGTAATATTGTGATTTTACTACAATGGACTTAAAATCGCTTTCTTTTGTATTCTGGTGGCCAAGTAAAGTCAACAGTTATTTGCCTTGGAATAAGAAGATTCAAATACATGACAGAAGCCTCAGCTTACCTGGAATAGGCAGCCTTAATGATACACAAAGTCTTTATCTATATTGGTGGGGATAATTGCATCATATGTGGATGATTTATTGCTTAACCCTTTAAGGACCAAACTTCTGGAATAAAAGGGAATCATGACATGTCACACATGTCATGTGACCTTAAGGGGTTAAAGGGACACTCCAGGCACCCAGACCACTTCTGCCCATTGGAGTGGTCTGGGTGCCAACTCCCACTACCCTTAACCCTGCAAGTGTAATTATTGCAGTTTTTATAAACTGCAATAATTACCTTGCAGGGTTAAGTCCTCCTCTAGTGGCTGTCCATCAAACAGCCACTAGAGGGACTTCCGTGTTCTTAGAACACGAAAAGTGTTTTAAGCGACGCTGGACGTACTCACTCTATGTGAGGACCTCCAGCGTCGCCGAAATCCCCATAGGAAAGCATTGAATAATGCTTTCCTATGGGGAGGCTTAATGCGCATGCGCGGCCATTACCGTGCATGCGTATTAGGTCTCCCCCGCTGGCTGAAATCGTCGTGGAAGGAGAGTAGGCGGAGCCTGACCAAGCGCTGATGGTCATCGGCGCCGGACTCCGGTTTAATCACCTTCAGCAACTTGGGATGGGGGGTGGGAGGGAGAGGGGCAGCACCGCAGCAGGGTCCTGCAGTGCCAGGAAAACTAATATGTTTTCCTGGCACTGGAGAGTCCCTCTAGCAGCCATACTGGACAAGAAAATGTTGAATGATGTGTTTCACTGTTGTGACATCTATGCCAGGGTAAATATAAAGTTGTTAAGGAAAAAGGGCTAGCATTGCCCAGCCGCAAGTGGAATTTTGGGAATATTTTTTATCTCAAGGACTTCGCAAATTATCTTCAGAAAAGATGGATGCTATATATAAAATTCAGCTGGCAAAGAAAGAACTGCAAGCTATTCTGAGAAATGCCAGATTCTAGAATGTTGCATTCTCACAAAAATACTTTATGAATTTCTGAAACAAGATCAGTCTGACATGATACAATGGGAAAAGCAAAGCCAGAAAGACTTTCAAGAGAAAGTTAGTGTCATGCCAAAAGCATGAGTTGGTGTTTGATGTGTGTTTATATATGTTAAGAGTTGTTTTTTTATAAACCTTGGGATGACATTTATTGTGGTCTTTGATCTTGCACCAGGCCTAGACCATAAAACATCTAGATAGCCATCACCAGAGCTGGACATAAGGAATTTCATAGAGTGGGCAATAGACTGCCAGACCAGCCCCCTCTGACCCCCCCCAGGGGTCTGCCCACTGAGAAACAACTAGTTTAGATATATGAGGGTGTTGGACTATCCAGGGAGGTCAGTTATTATTTTTTTCTTTTGTCAGTAACTTCTAGGAGACCTATACCATCTAAGACTCCCACAAGAATTCTATATGGGGTAAATATATGTAAGGGATTTCTTGTGTTTTCTCCTATTTTATTTTATGTACTGTTTTGCAATTTGTTATCTGTATGTCATTTATTTCTGTATTTTGTACTCAGCACTGTGAATCCTTTTGTCAGATTAAATGTTTACTTAATCAGCTTGTGTCTCTGTTCTCTATGAGCTTCACTCTCCAGAGGAAAGCTCAGGTAAACACGTTACCAAAAAGGGTTAACTATATATGTTTTATCAGTAAAAGTAGAACTGTGATACTATAATTCTCCTGTGTGTGGGGTAACCTAAGACGCCCGGGTTTAAAAGTCTTGGTGGTGGCAGTAAAGTGTACTAAGGGAGTTAGTGTAGAAGGGATTGCAGGGGTTAATTGAGTGGTTGCTGGGACTAGCAACAGGTAACCAGGGGTCTGGTGTCATTAACCCTGTCACTTCCACACTCTCCCCACTGTCTCGGCTGGGCCTATAGCCCACGCACGTGACAAACTGGAGGCAGCTAGTGGAATATATTTAGAGATTTTTAGTGCTTGCTAGATTTTACCTGTAAAGGGGGTCTTAGCACTCAAAGAAATTGCATACTTGTTTTTGTGTAATTTCCAAAGACCAAGCTCAGTGCTGATTTAAAATACATACAAAGTGCAAAACAGTTCTCCCCTCCCATCTTTTGTTTTTCTTTCTCTATCCTATTTGTAAATATGGAGGCCTATCGCAAACAATCAAAAGAGGCCTTGGAATTGTTGTGCCAAGAAAAGAATTTACCAACTTTTGGCAAAAATAAGGCACAACTTATTGCTGACCTTGTGGAGGCTGACAGACATATTTTCCAGCCAGAGACGGACACTGAAAGGGTTACCGAGCTCCCTACTACTGCAGGAGTGTTGCTTACTGAAATGCCTGGTGGTTGTACCCCTCAAAACATTAAGGACATTTGCTCAACTGATTTATTTCGGCAACTGATGGCTGCAAATCCTCAGGAGGCCCTGCATGTGATGATCCAACAGCAGGCTGCAGAAAGGGAATCTGCAGAGAGGCTAGCCGAAAGGGAAGCGCAAAGGCATGCTGCAGAAAGGGAATCTGCAGAGAGGCTAGCCGAAAGGGAAGCGCAAAGGCATGCTGCAGAAAGGGAGGCACAAAGGAGACATGAGCTGGAACTTGCTAAACTGCAATTTACCCTTCAGTCCTCACTGAACAGCAATGCATCAGAGTCCAGCACACGTAGGCTCCGTAAGGATGATTTTCCTTCCCTCGAAGAAGGGACAGATTTGGATGTATTTTTAAAAAGTTTTGAGAAAGTATGCAGGCAGCATCAACTACCCTCAGACCAGTGGGGCAGATATTTAACTCCACAATTGAAAGGGAAAGCCTTGGATGTGTTTGTGTCCCTTCCCCCAGAGACTGATAACAACTATGAGGCAATCAAATCTGCATTGCAAAAAACTTTTAACCTTACTCCTGAGTCTTACAGGAAAAAGTTTAGGAGTATGCAGCAATGCCCATCATCCAGCTGCATTCTATATGTTGCACAATTAGAAACCACGTTCCGGCAATGGGTAACAGGAGTACAAGCTACTACCTATGAAGCCCTTAATGACTTACTGGTCCTGGAGCAGTTCTTGCAGACCCGGAGCCCTAATGTACGAGAGTGGATTTTGGAAAGAAAGCCAAAAAATGCTAGGGCTGCTGCAGAACTGGCAGATGACTATGCCGACATCCATGCACCCACATCCAGGCGTGGACTTGTGTCAGCTGCTACTTCGACCTGGAGAGAAGCTACAGTTCAATCACCACCTTGTAAGATCTGCAGTGAGAACTTCACCACCGACTGCCAGCGTAGCCGGGGCTATGTCAAGTGAGTCAGATGCCCGCCGTTGTTTTCAATGCAACCAGATTGGTCATCTGAGCAGGACTTGCCCCACTAGGAATATGCCCTTACCAGTCCGTGGAGGGGCACCATCAGTTTTGCTTGTGGGTGGGTCTGTGGGGAAACGAGAGGATAACCTGCAGAGTGTAATTGTGGGTGACCGAGTGACCATGGGACTGAGAGATTCTGGAGCTCCCTTCACCCTGGTGAGACCTGAAGTGGTGAATACGGAGGACATAATCCCTGGAAGAACCATGTCCATCAAAGGAATTGGGGGTGTACGCCCCGCTGTGCCCTTGGCACGTGTGTACCTTGATTGGGGTGTGGGCAAAGGTTTGCGGGAAGTGGGGATTTCAGAGGATATCCCTGTTAATGTTCTGTTGGGGAATGATTTGGGCAGGATGCTCTGTCACTATGCTCCAGCCAGGGCCGCCATCAGGGGGTGACAACCATGACTGTTGTCACGGGCCCGGCGACCCTGGGGGGCCCGGACTGCTCTGGCAGTCCTGGGCCCCACTTTCCCTCTCTGCACACATAGATAGCGAATATCGCTATCTATGTGTGCAGCCGCGGGCCCCCTGCTCCCTGTTACCGCAGAGGGGGCCCAGGCAGCACACAGCTTCTTCTCCTGTCTTCTCTCTTCTCATAACTCTCGCGAGACCCGCGGAGCGTTGCCATGGTAACCGGGTCTCGCGAGAGTTATGAGAAGAGAGGAGAAGCTGTGTGCTGCCTGGGCCCCCTCTGCGGTAACAGGGAGCCGGGGGGCCCCCCACCGGACCACCAGGGATGGAATCTCCCCCTCCATGGACACAGGTAAGCAGGGAGGGGGGAGAAACATTTAATTAAATTAATAAAAAATTAATGTTAAAATGCCCCTCCCTCCCCCACCCCCCAGATCACACACTAACAACACACACTGCATACAATAACACACACATACACTGCATACACTAACACACACATACACTGCATACACTAACACAACACACACACTGCATACAATAACACACACATACACTGCATACACTAACACACACACACTGCATTCACTAACACAACACACACACTGCATACACTAACAACACACTGCATACAATAACACACACATACACTGCATTCACTAACACACATACACTGCATACACTAACACACACATACACTGCATACACTAACACACACACACTGCATACACTAACACACACATACACTGCATTCACTAACACAACACATACACTGCATACACTAACACACACACACACACTGCATACACTAACACACACTGCATACACTAACACACACATACACTGCATTCACTAACACAACACACACTGCATAGAATAACACACACATACACTGCATTCACCAACACAACACACTGCATACACTAACACAACACACACTGCATACACTAACACAACACACACTGCATACAAAACACACACATACACTGCATTCACCAACACAACACACACTGCATACACTAACACAACACACACTGCATACACTAACACAACACACACTGCATACAATAACACACACAAACTGCATTCACTAACACACACACACACACACTGCATACACTAACACAACACACACACTGCATACACTAACACACACACTGCATACAATAACACACACATACACTGCATTCACTAACACAACACACTGCATACACTAACACAACACACACTGCATACAATAACACACACATACACTGCATTCACTAACACAACACACACTGCATACACTAACACACACACTGCATACAATAACACAACACACACACTGCATACAATAAAACACACATACACTGCATTCACTAACACAACACACACACACTGCATACACTAACACAACACACACACTGCATACACTGACACACACATACACACACTGCATACACTAACACAACACACACTGCATACATTAACACACACACTGCATACACTAACACACACACACACTGCATACACTAACACAACACACTGCATACACTAACACACACACACACACTGCATACACTAACACACACACTGCATACACTAACGCAAGACGCACTGCATCCACTACACTAACACACACTCTGCATCCGCTACACTAACACACACTCTGCATCCGCTACACACTAACACAGTCTCTGCATTCACTACACATTAACACTGCATTCACTACACTAACACACACTCTGCATCCGCTACATACTAACACACTCTCTGCATTCACTACAAATTTACACACACTATGCATTCACTGCACTAACACACACACTACATTCATTGCACTGACGCACTCTGCATTCACTACACACTAACATACACTCTGCATTCACTAAACTATGCACACACTCTGGATTCACTATACTGACACACACTCTGCATTCACTACACTAACTTACACTCTGCATTAACTGTACACACAGCATCCACTACACAAACATCCTGTATTCACAGTACACACACTACATCCACCACAAATTGAAACACTCTGCATTCACTATACACAGACACTGCGTCTGATACACACACTACAGACACTGCATCCACTAAACACATTTCATCTAGTACATACAAACACTACATCCACTACACAAACACACACTACATCACTGTACACACACTACATCACTGTACACACACTACATCCACTACTCAAAAACACTCTGCGTTCACTATACACACTGCATCCGCTACACAAACACACACTCTGCATTCATTGCACAAACAGTATCTAATACATACAAACACTACATCCATTACACACATTCTAATTCACTTCCACTATACACACACCACATTCAGTCCTGCATCATTGTGAGCGGACTAGGTAGGGCGTGGGCGGGCCCGCGAGGAGGGGGGGGGGGCCCAGACCTTGTGCTTTGTCATGGGCCCCAAATTTTCTGATGGCGGCCCTGGCTCCAGCGGACACTGTTTGTGAGCCAGAAGGGCTGACTGCTCCACCTAAGGTATTGTGTGAAACTTTGGGAGACATTGTGAAGTGTGATTGCTGGGAGGGAGAGCAGGGTGTGGATAAATATCTACCTGTAACTGAACAAGTGATGTCTACCAAATGTGAGATAGGGGTGAGTAGTGATGTGCCTGTATTAAAATACTGTGAGGCTGGGATGTCAGAGAGTAAGGGAGAGGAGGAAGGTGAGAGCCAGGGATGTGTACCACTAGTCGCAGTGGTAACAAGTCAGCAGTGGGTCAGGGCGGCAGCAGGAGAGTCTCAGGGGCTATGTGAGATGTGAGATTGTGAGAGGATGGCCTGCCCTGGAGAAGAAATTATGTGAGTGTGTGCAAAATTCTGTATCTGATCAAGGGGGGTCAAATGTGTCCTGGGAAAATGTATGGGAAAAGCCTTCCAGCAAGAGGGGGCTGAATGAATATATGTGCCAATATGTGCCTGAAGCAGATGTATGTGATGCACTGGGTGAAAATGTGAAGGGACAGCAAGGCTATGAGGGAGGGCAGAGGGTGTGTGAGCTTTACTCTGCGCCAGACTTAGCCAGTTTCCAAAGTTCTGTATGTGTGATGACCTGGAGTGAAAGTGAGGGGCATGGACAGACTCAGCCTGTGGGTCCAGGAAGGATGGCTGCAGGGAAACATACTGTTGGAGGAACCAGGAACCTTGTCAGTTTATCACAACTCACCCATACACCTAAGCAACTTTCTGATTGTGAACCAAAGGTTCAGAGTCTGATAGTGCAACAAGCCCAGCAGACAGACCGCAAAATGAAAGAGATGATGGGTGTTGATACAGCACATCTATCCTGGGAGTGTTCTCTGTCTGCTTTTTTGTGTGCTTACCGGGGAGTGCTGCAGAAATCCATTGGTTTCTTCCCCTTACAGCTACTACATGAGCGCAGTGGGTGTGGTTTAAGGGATGTTACCAGAGATCGATGGGAAATTGAAACAGGCAAATCAGGCATGTTTGTTGAGGGTGTAGCTGTGGTATGGACTGATCACAACCTGCTGCAGGTGACAGGTAACAATGGTAAACTGCTCCATTGGAGCCCTATCCTCCAACAGTATAATTTCACTGTCCAACACAAAAAGGGCAGCTTGCATGGGAATGCAGATGGCCTGTCTCGGCAACTAGAGGGTTAATGGTAGACAGATAAATCAGCCTGTGGGTGCATTTTTCTGTCCACCATCTTAAGGGGGAGGTGTCATGCCAAAAGCATGGGTCTGGTGTCATTAACCCTGTCACTTCCACACTCTCCCCACTGTCTCGGCTGGGCCTATAGCCCACGCACGTGACAGTTACCCTACAGAAAACCTTTAGACTGTATGTGCATGAAAAGCAAGGGACTCACTCAGGTTTTTTGGAGACACTAACAGACCAGCAGACTACCTTTCCAAGCAGCTTTAGTGGCTAATGGGTGGCAAGGATATGTAAGAGTATTGGCAGCCACGGTCATTAAGATTGGAGATCTGTGAACTTTCAATTCTGCAACCCTTCTTTCCTAAAACAGGAACAGCAAAAATACAACAGGACTGTAAAGAAATCATTGAAAGTAATATCAGTCCTTGAGTGAATTATACGTGGACTAGGCCAGTGCAGGGAGTTTTGTCTACACATTCTTCCCAAAAATGCAAAGTGTCCCTTAATCCCCCTCTTGAATTTCTTTCTCTCTTCTCAATGTCTTTAGTATATTTTACCCCCATTTTTTCCCTTTGTGTTTATCTTACTGAGTCCCCAGACCATTTTTGTGTCTCTTTCTCCCCCAGCTCTTTTGTGCGTCTCTTACTTCACTCAGCTCCTTTGCGTATATCTTTCTCCCCCAGCACCTTGTCTTTTTCTCCCTCCAGCCACTCCGTGTCTCTTTGTCTCCTCCCAGCACATGCCTGACTATTTTTCCCTTTCCCCAGCCACTCTGTGTCTCTTTGTCAGTCCCCCCCACCCTCTGTTCTCTTTGTCTCCCCCAGCCTCTCTGCATCTCTTTGTCACGCCCAGCCCCTTTTGTGTCTCTTTCTTCCCTTCCCAATCACTGTGTCTCTTCCCCCTGCACCTTGTCTTCCACAGCACCTGTTTGCCTCTTTTGCTCCTTCCCTAGCCCATGTCTGTTTTATTTGCCTCTTTTCCACCCCTCTCTGTCTCTTTGCCTCCCCCAACCTTGTTTATGTGTCTCTTTCTCCCCTTCCCCAGCTCCTGTCTGTCTGTTTTGCTCCTTCCTCAGCCCCTCTGTGTATCTTTGTCCCCCCCAGCTCCTATGTGTGTCTCCCACCTTCAGCCCCTGGCTGTCTCTTTTGCCCCTTCCCCAGCCCCTTCTTTGTGTTTCTTTTACCCACCAAGGCACTTTTGTGTGTCTTTTTCTTCCATTCCTAGCCCCTCTGTGTGTCTCTTCCCCAGAGACTCCTGCCTCTTTCTCCCCACAGCCCCTATGTGTCTTTTTGTGTCCCCTAGCCCCTTCTGGGTGTCTCTCCCATAGCCCTGCCTGTCTTTTTTGTCCCTTCCCTAGCTCTTCTGTATCTCCCCCTCACCCCTCTGTATGAATCTTTCTACCCTTGTGGGTGTGTCTCTTTCCCTTTCCCAGCCCATCTGTGGGTGTCTTCCCCCAGCACCAGATTAACATAGGGGCCGATGAAGCTCCAGGCCCAGGCCCAGGCCCATGTAATAGGCCCATTGATTTAAAAAAAAAAATATTGCAGTCATACCGGCGATACAAATGCTGGTATTTTTCTCAGTATAAACAGAGATTACGATGCAATACCAGCACTGGCCAGTATGGGGTTGCTGTGTGTGGAGAGAGGCAGGGATAGGACGTTCCAGCATATCCCTCCCTGCCTATCTCTACTCAATGATCCGCAGGGGAGCAGCTACAGAGAGTCCAGACAGCAACTTCCACCCTGCGGAGACAGCCTACAGCTCAGGGAAGTGAGGGATGGGGGGGAGGGAAAGGCTGCAAGGAGACATGGGGGCACTGAGACACTAAGGGACATTGGGAGACATTATGACACAGACACTTGGGGACACAGAGACACATGGGGACACAGGGTCTCTATGTCTCCCAGTGTCCTCATGTCTCCCAGCCAGTGTCCCTGGTGTCTCAGTCTCCCTATGTCTCCCAGTGCCCCCTAGTCTCCCAGTGTCTCAGTGCCCCCATGTCTCCCAGTGCCCCAAGTGTCTCAATGTCCCATGTCTCCCAGCCAGTGTCCCTAGTGTCTGTGGCCCTGGTGTCTCAGTGTCCCCATGTCTCCCAGTGCCCCCAGTGACCTGGGGGCATGACACTAGGGGACACTTGGAGACACTGGGAGACGAGAGGCACTGAAGCACTGATACATAGGGACACTGAGATCTGGGGTACTCGACACATGGGGACTCTGAGTCATGAGGGCACTGGGAGACATGGGGACACTGGGACAGTGGGAGACTTGAGACACTGGGAGCAATCCATCTATACAGCAGAATCAAATCAAGTAGTTTTTTGGTTATTTTATAGCATTTTCTCTTATGTCACTCCTTGTGATTTACATCATGTGATGTCACCCATACATAATTAATTATGCAAATTAGTAAGGCAGGTATGTTTTTCCAAGAAAGATGGCAACCCTAACTACTTTTCACATACTCTTGCTTAAGTATGGAAACTTAAGAGGGATGTATGGAAACAAACTTTGTGTGGACTGGCTGACAATGAAATTAGTTAAGGTAATGCTGACTTTGGTCTCTGTCTGCATAGTATGCCCTTTGTTGGCCAGCCTGCATGATTGGCAGGCAACCTGACATGCATTCATGCTAGGCTGGCCTTCCAATTCTTTGGGCAGACAAGCCCTCATTTTGGGCATGTTCGCCCCTTTTGGCAGGTTATGTGATTTGTGTCAGTGGCATGCCCTTTTACCGTGCCCATTGACTTCCTGCTTGACTGGACACTGCTGTTAGGGGTTATGGATTTACTTGAAAGATGAAAACATAAATTAGAGAGAGATTAACATGGGGTATGTGTTTTCTTATAGCTGCTGTTTTCTTTCCCTCCAGCCAGTGGCGTACATACCAGGGTCGCAGGGGTCGCGGCTGCGACCGGGCCCGGCCCACCAGGGGGCCCGGCCGCCCCTGCGACCCGGTATGTACGCCCAGGGCCAGCCTCTTCCCCTGGGGGGCCCAGGAGCCGACCACCCCAGGGCCCCCCTGAGGCTGGCCCTGCTGACCCCGGGTGGCCGGTCGGGCAGGCTGGTGTGCGAGGGAGCACTCAGTGCTTCCTCTTCAGCTCCCTCGCGCACCGCACTGATACCGGAGCCGGAAGATGACCAGCCCAGGAGCCCAGCAGCACCACTGGACCCTAGGGAATCCCCCCAGCACTCCAAAAGGTAAGGAGGCTTGGGGGATTACATTTGAAAAAAAAATGTGTGTGTGTGTGTGTGTGTTAGTATGTGTGTGTGTTAGTGAGTGTGTGTTAGTATGTGTGTGTGTTAGTGTATGTGTGTGTGTTAGTGTGTGTGTTAGTGTGTGTGTGTGTTAGTGTGTCAGTGTTTGTTTGTGTTAGTGTGTCAGTGTTTGTTTGTGTTAGTGCGTGTGTTAGTGTGTGTGTCAGTGAATGTGTCTGTTATTGGGTGTGTGTCTGCTAGTGAGTGTGTTACTGTGTGTGTCTGTTACTGAGTGTGTTTGATGTCTGTTAGTAAGTGTGTGTTTGTCAGTGAAAGTGTATGTATGTCTGTCGCTGAGTGTGTCTCTGTCAGTAAATGTGTGTGTCTGTTAGCTAGTGTGTATGTGTCTGTTCGTGAGAGTGTGTGTGTGTGTCTTCAGCATTTACCTTTCTCCAGCGTCGGACTCCCCAGTGTCTGCCACTCAGCTCCGAAATGCACATGCGCGGCAAGAGGCGCGCGCGCATTTAAACCGCCCATAGGAAAGCATTACTCAATGCTTTCCTATGGACGTTCGTCTTCTCACTGTGATTTTCACAGTGAGAATCGCGGAAGCTCCTCTAGCAGCTGTCAATGAGACAGCCACCAGAGGCTGGATTAACCCTCAGTGAAACATAGCCGTTTCTCTGAAACGGCTATGTTTTCAGCTGCAGGGTTAAAACTAGAGGACCTGGCACCCAGACCACTTCATTGAGCTGATGTGATCTGGGTGTCTGTAGTGGTCCTTTAAGTGTGTGTGCATACCGCGGTCGTGCAGCCCTGCTGCAACCCCTGCGACCAGGTGCCCGCCACCATGTGTTGCGACCCGACCAGCTGAGTAGCGGCGGAGACCTGGATCAATTTTGCACGGGGCCCCATGGGTCATGTGTGCACTGCCTCCAGCACCATCCACTGGCGGATCCAGAGCCTTATCTCGGGAGGGGCACTCATAGATTATTTAAAGAAACAATCCAGGCACAATAACCACTACAGCTCTCTGTAGTGGTTATGGTGCCCGGAGTTCTGTGGTGCCCTCCCAGAGTAAATAGTCAAACCGTTTAAGAACAGTTTGACAATTTACCTGGGGTCTGCCAGGATAGGGGCTGTAGTATGGGGATAGGGCCTCTAGGTAGGTAGGTAGGTAGGTGTGTGTGTGAGGCAGTGTGTGTAGGAGGGGCAGTGTGTGTTTGTGTGAGTGGTGTAGTGTGTGCATGGGAGTGCAGTGTATATATGGGGTGCAATGGGAACACTGTGTGTATGGCGCCAGTGTGCTTATGGTGTAGTGGGGGCAGTATGTGTATAGGAGTGCAGTCTGTGTATGGGAGTTTAGTGGGGGAGTGTGTGTATGAGGGGCGCAGTGTGTGTATGGGGGTACTGTGGGGGCAGTGTGTGTATGGGGGTGCAGTTTGGGCAGTGTGTGTATGGGGGAGAAGTGTGTGTATGGGGGTGCATTTTGGGCAGTGTGTGTATGGTGGGGGCAGTGTGTGTGTAGTTGGGGGATGGGGCTGATTAAAACAAATAAGTGTTTTATTTTTTTTAAATAAAAAAAAATATGCTTTATATCCCCCCTCCCTTCTTACCTTACCCAGGGAGGGGAGGATATAAAGCATATTTTGTTTAATTTTTTAAAATAAAACACTTATTTGTTCTCATCAGCTCTTGAAATAGTTCTTATAAAAAGTATCCCCCCTCCCTTCTTACCTTTGCCCAGGGAGGGAGAATATCCATTCTGTGAATCCCTGGCGGTACTAGTGGGGAGTGAACTCTAGCCTGCACCTCCTGGGCTAGAGTTCACTCTCGCGAGAACGGAGCATTGCAGTGGTAAGAGCTCCCGGGTCTCCTCCCTCCCTGCCAGCCGCCCAGCAATGTGCATGCGGACCGGTGACGGAGATCTTTGATCTCCCCTCCGGTCCGTGAAGGCACTTAGCAGGGCCGGCACTTGGATAGCACCGGCCCTGCAGGAGAAAGCATCGGATCTCGGATCCGCCAGTGCCACCATCTCCATCAGATACATGACGCTTGGGAGTGTTTTAGAGTCCATCATAATTGTTAGCACCAGGCCCACTGGGCTCTTAATCTGGCCCTGCCCAGCACCTTATCTTTTTCTCTCCCCAGCCCCTCTGTTTCTCTTGGTTTCCCCTTTGCCCCTCTGGGTGTCCCCTCCCCCCCAGCCAATATGTGTATCTTTTGGCCTTTTCCTCAGCCCATGTCTATTTTGTCACTTCCCCAGCCCCTTTTTGTCACTTTGTCCTCCCAGCAACTCTATGTGTCTGTTTCTCCCCACCCTCTGTGTTTGTCTCTTCCCCAGCACCTTGTTTCTTTCTAGCCTTCAACCCCTCTGGGTGTCTCTGCCCTTCAGCACCATGTCTCTTTTTCCCTCCACCTCTGTGTCTCTTTATGTCCCCCCAGCCCCTCTAGATGACTCTGCCCCACCCCCGTCTGTCTCTTTTGCCCCTTCCCTAGCCCCTGCCTGTCTCTTATGCCCCTTTCTCAGTCCCTCTGTGACTCTTTTTTCCCCCTCCCCTTTGAAGTACCTTCTCCCCATCATGTGCCTGCACACCTTCCTGTGTAGCTTGGCCGAGCAGACCGGAGTAGAGGAGCATCTTTATTCTCTACCCGGTTTGACAGGAAGCTGTTCGTCACTCTCAGTGAACACTTCCTGTTAGACCATTAGAGGATACAGAAGCTCTTCTATCGCAGTCCACAATTTGGCCACCCTACAATCACTGGCTGGATGGATGGATGGGGAGCACTGTGCTGTGCACTCTCCCCTTTCCGGTCAAACAAATCTTGGGACCCAGGCCGGTGCACCCTACGGCGGCTGCCTGTACCACCTTATGGTTGCGGTGGCATGAAATAATATAATATAATAATATATTATTTTAAAACTAAAGCTGTCTTAACAAGAAGTTTTTTCGACTGCATATTTGATAATCACGTGTACATCCAACATAACTCCTTTTTCTGTATCGTATCACTCACTTGCCTCGATAAAGGAAAGATTGATAAGAAAAAAAAAAAAGATAATTCTTTTTACTGGTTTGTTCTACATATTATGATTGCATATCAATATAGTGAGATATAGTTATTTATTTTTATTTTTGTAAATCATGAGTTTTTATTAAAGCAGCAATTCGTTAAAACTCTCAGGTCAGAACTATGCATCTTCATAATGTATCTCACCTGGCGAAACAGACTTGTCAAAAATGTCCAGTAATTTTAGGGAAGATCGTGTAAATAATACCTTAAGGATGACCCCAAAATTGAATTTTACCCCAGTGGTATAATAATATCAACAAAGCTGATAACTATAGTTAACCCCCGTTAATAACGATAGGCTGTGCAATATTTAATAGATACATCATAAGCTTTCTGAACACGAGTGAAACTTGGAGAGCAGGAATTAACAAACAAGACCATATGGGCATGTACTGAGAATGGTAAGCATTTTTAAGTGTACTTGTTTCAATTTGCATTCTCTGGCTACTCTCCATGGATCATTCATCACAAGCGCGATATTATTAACAATCAGTCTATCCTAGCTATTGAAAGTATGATGGTGTTCTGTTGGTGCCCTACTCCCCAATATCAATCATCAAAACATATCCAATATTGCTGGGGTCATCAGCTCAATCCCTAGTTGCCCCATTGTTAAACCTTTCCGGCTAGTGTAAACTGCCAATTACGGAATTTGTCACAACTTGCTCTATAACAAATAAAACAGTACCAGATGTATGGAACAGTGAAAGCTATGTACCATTCTTCTGAAGAGGAATACCGTCCAAGAGAGGCTTATCTACCGTCGGTAGTGTTAGTATGGTCAAGGTTTGAGATAGGTATTTTCATGACCATTTTTGTATAGCATTTGCATATTGTCAGTTTGCAATTCCAAGCTGACATTGTGTAGTTGCTGAGTGGATTGCAAAGATCTAATTTGGTTTACAATCATTTATGGAAATAGTTATTATAAGAGATTGTCTAAACGCGTAATTGATACATTGTATAAGCAGCAAGTAAGGATTATTTTCTTGCTTTAAACCCCTAGAAATACATGTGGTATGCTATATTGCTGGAGATATTGTAATGTGATACCATGTCATATAAACCTGAGGATTATTAAGTGTTAACGCAATATGTTATGTTGACATTCATTGGCTATAAATTCCTTGAGCCAGTAACTGAATTGCCCATGATCCAGATTTCATTGTCACTGTGGAAATTATATTCTGACGTTGTATAACCCCTTAGTGACCAGACCGTTTTTCAATTTTCTTACCGTTAAGGACCAGGGCTGTTTTTAAATTTCTGCACTTTTTGTGTCTAGCTGTAATTTTGCTTTTACTCATTTACTGTACCACATATTATATACTGTTTTTCTCGCCATTAAATGGTCTTTCTAAAGATATCATTATTTTCATCATATCATATCATTTACTCTAACAAAAATTATAAAATATGATGAAAAAATTAAAAACAAACACACTTTTTCTAACTTTGACTCCCAAAATCTGTTACGCATCTACAACCGCCAAAAAACACCCGTCTAAATAGTTTCTAAATTTTGTCCTGAGTTTAGAAATACCCAATGTTAACACGTGCTTAGCTTTTTTTTGCAAGTTATAGGACTATAAGTACAAGTAGGACATTGCTGTTTCAAAATATATATGTTTAAAATAGTGACATTGTAACACTGTTATCTGTCATGAAATCTCTGAATCAGTGGCTACTAAAAAAGACTGAACATACCCTTTTTTTAATACATTGGGTTCTCTTCTTTTGCAAATGCCATCATGGGGGTAATTCTCATTCCTGGGCTACCAATCGCTCTCAATGGCAACATAACTAATCTGGCCAATTTCAATGTGTAAACATGGAAAATAAAGCCTTATATTTGACCCTGTATATTTTAAAAACACTATAAAACCTCTACATAGGGGGGTACTGTTATACTCGGGAGACTTCGCTGAGCACAAGTTTTTCAAAACAGTAAAATGTATCACAATGATATAATCAGTGAAAGTGCCGTTTGTGTGTGATATGAGTTACTGTTTTGAAACACTGATATTTGTGTTCAGCGAAGTCTTCCGAGTAAAACAGCACACTCCATGTACAGGTTTTATGGGTTTTTGCAAAGTTACAGGGGTCAAGGGCATTCCCCTTTTCCATGTTTTCACATAAAAATTTGCCAAATTGGTTTGCTGGGCCTATGTTGCCTTTGAGACCGTATAGCAGCCCAGGAATGAAAATTAACCCCATCATGGCATACCATTTGCAAAAGCAGATAACCCACGGTATTCAAAATGGGGTATGTCCAGTCTTTTTTAGTTGCCAAAATTAGCGTTTATTTGAGTTTTTTTGCATTTTTCACACATAAACTGCAATTTCACTGATGATATTATCAGTATAATACATTTTACTGCTCTAAAACACTCGTATTTGTTTAATGACTCACAAGTACAACGGTACCCCTCAGGGACAGGTTTTACAGTGATTTGGAAAGTTACAGGGTCAAACATAAGATTTACCAAATTTTTTTATTTTTTTTATACAAAAACTACTGGTGATTCCATCCATCGTCGTGATGAGTTTTACTGTTTTAAACACTCATATTTGTCCAGGTTTTATGGTGTTTTGGAAAGTTTTAGGGTCAATATAGGGCTTGCCCAATTCAGATTGCAAGATTTGTTTGCTGGGTCTATGTTGCCTTTTGCGACCATATGGTAGCACAGGAATGTCAATTAACCTCGTCATAGCATAACATTTTCAAATGTAGACAACCCAGGGCATTCAAAATGGGGTATTTCCAGTCTTTTGTAGTAGCCACTTAGTCACAAACGCTGGCCAAAGTTAGCGTTTTTGTTTGCATATTTTTTTTAAACAAAAACTGCACTTCTACTAGTGATATCTTCATCGTGATAAGTTTTACGGTTTTGAAAAATTCATATTTGTGTTCAACGAAGTCTCCTGAGTATAACAATAACCCCCATGTAAATGTTTTAGGATGTTTTGGAAAGTTTTGTAGTTAAATATGTGGGTTGTCAGGCAGGTCCCTCAAATTATAATTAATAAAATCAAATAATTATGTAGTTAATAATTAAAATATATATGTAGAACGTGTGTGTGTATATGTCACGTATCCTTCATATTCATGTGGCAAAAATAGAAATAATTACCTTCAGAAGATCGAGGGGAGTGCCACTCGGCGGTCTTCTGTCATGCTGCCTGACTTGTGCGGCCTGTCGTGCACGCCGGCCGCTGTGTACCCATGCTATTATTTATCCCCACTTCTGTCCATGGTATAGATGACGTGGACGTGTGGGTGACGTCACGCAAAAGACGCACACGCACGTTTTGGGGTCAAGGGCTAGGTACAGCCAATCGATCTGCAAGAGGGTTATTTAACCTTACTTTTTCCTTAGCTCATTGCCCTGTCGTGGTTTCCCTTAGATGGTTATCCATCCAGAGTGTGTTCCTGATCGTGTTTTTCTGGTTTTTGATTTCCCTGATTTCTGGTACCCTTGACTTTTCCTTATCGCTGTGTCTCGTTATGTGTCCCTGACCTCAGCTAGTTTTCTGACTATTCTCGGGTACGTTAAGTCCGGCCATTCTAAGGCCCGGTAAGTTCTAGGGTGTGATACTATTCTGCGTCCTGGATCAATATAATCCTTACAGTATAAATATATATATAAATAAATATTATATATATATATATATATATATATATATATTAAGGCTTTTCCTGGAGTTGTGGGATGGGCATATGAACATATATATGGGACTCCCCCCTGGCCTACCTCGCAGTCATTGGTCTGGCGATCTGCATGTTGCTACTTCCGGTGCATACAGACCGCCATCTCACCTACTACCTGTCCGTGAAAACTGAGGGCATAGAACATTCATGTCCTTTTTTCTACTTATCCGTTCAGCTCGTTTTCATGTCTATTGTTTGTTCGGTGGCCTGGTTATTACATCCAGGCCTTTACGAGACAAATGGGTCATTTAGGCGCACAACTGCGTTCGAACTTAATCATGGTAGACGGACTCGTGGGCTCTCTTACCGTTCGTGTCCTTTTCCCACTCATTCGCTTAGTAAGGGGGATTCAGTCATTTCCCTAGGTTCGGCTAGCTGTAGCTAAACGATTCTCATACATTTACGCCTGTGCTCACGAAAGCTTTGCAAATACTCTCCATACGTTCAGGGCCGGACTGGCCCACCGGGATACCGGGAAATTTCCGGTGGGCCGTCGGCACCTGGGGCCGGGCAGACACCTGGGTCTGCTGGCGGCCGCTGGGGGAGGTCTGCTGGCGGCCGCTGGGGGACTTGTGCTGGCGGCCACTGGGGGAGCTGCGCTGTCTCTGCTCTCCAGCGTGCAGCTTAATGAGACCAGGGCCGGAATATGAAATCATATTCCTGCCCCGGTCTCATTCAGCATTGCGTGAGGGCAGGAGAGCAGAGCCAGCGCAGCTCCCCCACCTGCCGCCAGCACAAGTCCCCCAACGGCCGCCAGCAGACCTCCCCTAGCGGCCGCCAGCAGACCTCCCCCAGCAGCCGTCAGCACAGAAAGCCGTCTGCACTGCACGACCCTCTGGCAGGTAGTAGTAATGTGTGTCAGTGTGAGTTTGTCTGTCTGTTATGGTGTGTCTGTCTGTCTGTTATGGTGTGTGTGTGTCTGTCTGTCTGTGTCATGGTCTGTCTGTCTGTCTGTGTCATGGAGTGTGTGTCTGTCTGTGACATGGTGTGTCTGTATCGTGGGTGTGTGTGTGTGTGTGTGTGTGTGTCTGTCTGTCATGGTGTGTGTGTGTGTGTCTGTCTATCATGGTGTGTGTGTGTCTGTCTGTGTCATGGTGTGTGTGTGGGTCTGTGTCATGGTCTGTCTGTGTTATGGTCTGTCATGGTGTGTGTGTGTCTGTCATGGGGTGTGTATCTGTCACGGTATATGTGTGTTTCTGTGTCTGTCATGGTGTATATGTGTATTTAAAAATAGTGTTTTTGCTCACCTTTTTTTTCCCCCACGCAGTGTGCTGGTCTCCCCTCGACTGGCCCTGCCTCTATGGCTGAGATCATCATGCTTTGCCATAGGATTGGCTGCAAAACGCTACACCAATCAGCATCTCCTCATAGAGATGCATTGAATCAATGTATCTCTATGGTGAACGTTCAGCACCTACAGAGTGTGGAGGCCCTGAATGTAGGTGCACTGACACAGAAAGCACCTCTAGTGACCGTCTGACTGACTGTCACTAGCGGTGTCACTTTGAAGCAATGTAAACACTGCCTTTTCTCAGAAAAGTCAGTGTTTACGTTGAAAAGCCTGTAGGGACATGCTATGGACACCAGTACCACTACATTAAGCTGTGTGTGTGCGTCTGCTAGTGAGTGAGCTTGCTTGCATGTGTGTGCTTGTGTTTTTATGTCAATGAGCTGATGTATATCAGTGAGATTGTTTGTCTATGAGGCTGTGTATCTATGAGCTTGTGTGTC